ATATATATTTATTCTTATAAGTTTTATAATTAAAATAAATATATTAATATGCTCAGGAAAGAATTATAATTATTTATATCTGTAGGTGGAATATATTTCTGCTATTTTAACGTAGGACTTATTGAAGAACACTTGTAATTTATAATTTAATTATCAAGATTTAAGAGTAATTTTGGTTCATTAGATAGTAATCCATCTCCTAAATTTGAGTTTTCATCAATTTTAATATTTCTATAAATGCTATTATAAAATTTATTATGTATGGCAATGATTTTTAGAAATAAAATAAAGTTTGTATGTACAATAAAAGAAGGAGCATATTTAGGATTGATAAATTTTACATCAATGATAGGAACATTAACAGCCTTATAATATGTGAGTTTTCCATTTTAAGCTTTGGTGAAAAGTTGCACGTAAGTATTTATGAAAAATTTATTGAATCCTCTCTGTGTTAGTAGTTGGATTATTATTTGGAAATCAAACACTTACAAAATAACAAACACTATGTGGTTTAATAATTTCAGTAGGAATCTATGCCTTTAATATGAGTGATAGTAATACAACAAAGAATACTTCTTCAATATTTGGAATTGTTTTATTGATTACATCATTATTTTCAGATGGTTGTCTTGCAACATTATAAAGTAAATACAAAGTAAAGAAATTAGAATAATGGGAAATGGGATTTCCTATTACTTTATGGAGTTTCATTGGTTCAATATTCTACACTCTAATTTAAGGTAAGTTTATTTAATTCTTATCATAAATATCCTAAAGTTATTCCACAAATAGTACAAAGTAATATATAAAGTTATTTATTTTGTCATTTATTTTCCATTTTCAGCAATGTATACTAATATATTATAATGAATTAATTGTAGAAGACAGATTCTGTAATAGATATTAATAATGTTTGGAATAATGAGGAAGATTAAAATTAATGGATGCATACAATATTTTTGAAAGTTAATGGAAAAAAATTTCAGAAGCTATACCAGGAAAAACTGAATTTTAATGTATTTAAAGATGGGAAATGTTATAAGTAAGAGTTATTTGTTAAAAAGAATGAATAATTAACAATATGGACAAGAGAGGAAGATGAATAATTAATACAATTAGTGTTAAAATATGGTGAAGATTGGAAATAATTAGCTTTAATAATGAAAAATAAAATTCAAACTCAAATTGAAACTAGATTTATCGATTTAAATATAATATTTAATAGTCAACCTTGGAATGAAGAAGAAGAAGATAATAAATTACTTGATTTATTTGATTAATATGGAACAAAGTGGAACTAAATAGCAAAATTAATGAAAGATCGATCTGTAAAGAAATTTGATTTAATTTTTAGGAAATAGAGGTAAAGTATAGATATTATACAAAGCATAAAATTTCAGATAATCAAATGACTTTGGTATTTAAACTAAAATATTTCATAGAATTTAAAAATTTCTGATTCTGAATTTGAAAAATAAGAAGAATTAGAGATTAAAACATTTAAGACTGAAGTTAAATGCAAATAAGAATTATAAAATATTGAACCTTAACCAAATAAAAAGGTAAATATATAATAATCAGAACAATATATCTTACCTTTAGTTCATTTCTAGGATAAGTATTCATCTTTTATTGTCTAAGGTATAATAATAAAAATAATTATTATTTAGTTGTTTCTCTCCTAGAGTTTTAAGTGTTATAACTTCAACTAGAAAGTTTTTCACTGTTCTCTTATCTATTATTATTCATAATCATAATGTTAATACAATACAATGGATTGGTATTAGTTTAGTAGCTTTAGGAGTTACTTGGGAATTACTTATCGTAATTATATATTATTATTTCAAAAATAGGGAATCTTTACCTACTTCTCTTCATCTTCCTTAAATTTTCGAAAATGCATAATCGAATCTTTCAAATGACATTAAATTTAATAAAGACCAATTGAAGCTTCACTAATAATTGTTAACATCCACTATTTGAATGATTATATAACTAAATATTAATCAAACAAAATACATAAATCAAAACGAGACATAGGACTATCTCCTTAATTCTAATTATTCATTTTATAATAAAATATTATATTTCACTTAGCTTATTTAATTAATATATTACAAGAAACACCATAATGATCTGATAATTAAGTAAATTTCTATCCTTCAACAAAGAATTTCTCTACATTCACTTATTTTATCTCTATTGTGTTTTAATTACTTTCATTTTCAGGAGTCAATTAAAATATATAATCCAAACATTAACCAGTCAACAAATCAGCTTTATCTGTTAATTAAATCTCCATAGGTGATCTTTAACATTCTCCTCTATATAATCTGCATAAGTAATTACAAACTTCTCCTCCTAATCATACAATAAATTCACAAATTTATCTTTACCATTATTTTTCATAATTTATATCAAAGCATCATATTCTTAATACTTTTAAGGATTACCCAGCTGCTATAAGAGTGTTGGAAACTATTTCAATACTTCTACAGAATACCCTTACTCATATCTGCTATCAATATTGTAGTCTCCAACTAATAATATCAAATCATTAGGCATTGCTTACTGCTCTTATAATATTTAATTAACAAATTTCTTAACACAATACATTTAATCTATTCTAGTAGATACTGTTGCTCTCTATTTCATAAGCTATCATTTAATACCACATTGGATTCCTTTCCTACATAACTAGCTTACAAATGTGTATTGAATATATGCAATATTTATCCATTAACTAGAATCTTCGTATATAAAACTCCTTTATTTGAAAGATTGTCTGATAATATGCCATATGGAAATTCTCTAAAGTCATGATAACTGGTGGACTCTACCCTGTAGGACTCATTACTCAATAAAAATAAGTCATGAGAAAAAAATATAAGAAGATCTTAGAAAATTAGATTAATAAATCAAGAAATAAGAAAAAGAACATCGTAGCATCACTATATGTATTGGTAGTGCTCAAGAGACTGATGTAATTTATAAAATATAATATTATAGGAAATAGATGAAACCAGATTATTAACTATTTTTGAAGCTGGATAGAGAAATGAAGATATTAAAAATAAAACCCAATAACATATAGTGTATTTGAGAAATAAGTGGGTTAATGAAGCACTTCCTATCCCTAATTCAGTCAAAGATAAATTAGATAAATAATTAAAAGATATCATTCCTCAATCTTAATTGGTCTTAAATCAAGAATTAGAAGGTTTATACTCACAACTTAGAAAGTTTTATTTAGAAGTGTTAATTAAATAGAGATTATAAAAAAAGAGAGAAGCTGATAAAAAGTATTTAGAAGAAAAAATCAGAAAACTTAAAGCACAATTTGATTCTTAACCTGCCAGCGATATTAAATAAAAAAAATGATTCATTCAGTTTGTTTCTTTACCTCATTATCAATTATTTTATTATTACTTAATTAACAAAGCTTTGATAATTAAAATTTAAATATGAAAATGTGGTATATTATGATAAAAATCAATTTCTTTAAAAAATAGATACAATCATCTATTTTAAATCTTACATCATTGCAATCATTCTGTCTTTTATGAAAATTCCTTACATTAATATACTCAATCTAATTAAATCTAATTATTTCAAAATTTTTTTTATGGAATTCTAAATTTATGATTTTGCCTAATAATTTTAATGGCTTTTATTATCTTATTTGATATTATAAAGAAACTAAATTTATCTCTAAAATTAAAAGAATTTCTAAAAATTATTTAATTTTTTTTTAAATTTATAACAGGATGCTAATGCCGATTCCAAATACCTCATGTTTGCCAAGTTGATAATAATAATTATTGAAGATTAAGAGCTAAAGCCAGGAGAAAAGCATCCTACAAATCGCTTCCAAAATAACAAAAATAAGAGGAAGTAAAAGTAATTTTTAAAATACATCGTTTCGTTTATCAAACAATTAAAAGCATGGCAGATGAATAAACAGTTGGTGATCTGATTTCATTCCAAAGAAAAATGTCACATTGTAACTTGCATATCAACATTTGAAAATTTAACCAATGATGCTTCACTGAGTACATTGCAAAATGCAACACATTTTAATCACTGTTAATAAAATTAATCCAATTTTCTCAAATTAATAAAAAGAATTAAATCAGATTTTCTTCTCTTTTTAAATAGAGGCATTGTGACTGTCATTATTCCTCTAAGAAGCTTGACTACCAGAGGCAAAGGAGTGGTTTAAAAGAATTAAGTTTGCGTAAATCTTATTTATAATCATCTTGGCATATATCTAATTACTAGTTCAGATTAGCCCTTATTTCTTGTTAAATTAAAAATTTTAATACTTGATAAAAATACAATTTTTACAATTAAGAAATATCTTCTATTTTCTTTTATCATAATAATTTTTTTATTAAAAAATTAAATGCCAAAATACAAAATAACTCTTCTGAACATTCTAAAATTTGACAATAAGATGAAATTCTATTTTTCTTTATCTATTTCAAAAATAAAAATAATATTTACAGCATTATAATTCTAAGACCTTGGTAATTAAGCTATCAAAGATGACAAATTTTAAGTTTTTTTCATAAGTAATTGAATTAATTGAATTGAATCCAAATTATCATATTCTCCTTAATAATAGATCAGGATCATATGCTTCACTCTCAAAATATTAAGATGCATTAACAAATGCTGACAAATGTATTTCTTTGAACCCTTTGTAAAATAGGGTAAAAACAATCTATTTGCTTCTGCACTGATTATCCAAATATTATAAAGCTTTTGGGTTTACTCTAAAAGGATCCAAGAACTTCTGCTTTGCTTCTGATCCGACATTCTTGCAATTAATTGGCTTAATAATTTCTAACCCATAAATGGCAAGTTAATTTATGAAGACTTACCCAAGCGATTAAGCTGCTTTTTCAATAATATTAGAAAATCCAGAAGCATAATAAATCTTTTTCTCAGAATTTGCTGGAATAGTTCAATAGCAGCCATAAAAATAGAAGAGGAACATCCTCAAACTTAACAAGAATAACATCATCCTCATTTTGAATAAACCTCATTAAAACATCAGAGTTAAACACTTCCAAAGCCTTAGCCATAATTAGAAGAACGGGAAATATAAAAAAATTTTGTTAATGATAATATAAAAATAAAAACTTTGAAAAGGCTCAACAATATTACTATGCTACACTTTAATTGAATAAAGAGGAGCTTTATTGTATAATAATAAAGCAGCTGTCTTTATTAAATAGAAACTTGATAATGCTATAGATTGAAGATCTTAAAGTCTTGGAGGTTCATTGTTCACTTTAAAATAATATTGATGAAGCCATTCAATAATAATAATCCAAAAGTGCTATGTGAAATTTAGTAAATACTTCTGGAACCTGAGGTAGTTTGATTCGACAAATGTTTAGGTTATTAATCTTTTAAATGATATGAAAGAAAATCCTTAAGATGGTATGAAGGCAATTAAATAGAATTCTTCTTAAGCAGCCAAGATTGAAAAACTGATTGCGGCTGGAGTTATAAAAACAGGTTGATAATATTAATAAAATTATTATTGTTATTTTAAAATTATTAAACAACTCAAATATTCAGCAATAAAGTTAATAATGTGGAGTTAAAGAAGGGTTAAAGTTTATAAATTCTTTTACTTTTGTTCCATCTGTTGTTTTTTAATCATCATCTGAAATAATCAAACCAATCATTAGAATTAAAAATTAGGACTTGCTCATCTCAATAACCAAAGATAAAGAATATTTTTGGACAATTTACTCCAAGACATAAATTTCTTTATCTTCTAAAAGATTATAGTTAATCATATTTAATTTTAATGTCTTCCGATTTTCTTATGTGCTCAATAAGCGAGAATATAATTAGACGCAAATTGGATAAATAGAATTTTCTATTGAAATGTTTTCAATTTATTTGTATACCAATTTAATCAAATTATCAAGTTTTGCAATATTGTTTATTAAAATTTTTTTTCCTGTATTGTGTTGCTATTAAAATGCTTCTACAAAATAAAAATGTTCATTCTGATAATGCATCACATTTTGATCTTGAGGAATTTAATAATCTTGAATAAATAATTTGTTTTCAACTTAATTTATTTATTAATTAACAAATTTAGTTTTTAGTGACTTTTAGTTAGGTTATTATTTAGGATTAAGAACTTTGGTAGAAGGGCTGATACTTCTGTTTTATTTTTATTATAAAATCTTAACTTTTTAATCTTATTAATTATGAAGTTAGGTTGAGGGGATGATAGCTTTAAATGATGATTAAGGTCTATTTTCAAAATTCTCTGTTCTCACAAATTCATTGTAAATTAGATTAAAAATTTAGTCATCGTACTTTTGTAAATCATTTTCCTTACAAAATTATTACACTTTTTTCCATAAATTATCTCCTTAAAACAATCTAAACTCTAGTATTTATTTGTTTATTTTCAAATGAATAGTTGTTAACATAATTAATTTATTTTTATAAATATTTTTATTAGAATGATCATTATTTTTCAACAACTCAAATTTGGATAAAATTCAAAAACTTGTCAACAATATATTTCTTTAAATTAGGATGCAATCTGCTCTCTAACTATTCAAATAAATTAAGGAAAAAAAACATAAAAATTACACATAGCACCTAAAAGAGAACCTTGATAGAATAATCTGCTAATATGTTTAAGAGTTGAAAGCATCGATTTTCTCAAAATTAAATATAAATATAATTAATGCCATGCTAACTTGGAACTAAAGATAGCATAATTGTTTAGATGGGCTCTAGTTATGAAGAGACTGAGCTTGATATGTTTTATTCAGTGTCTGGCTTCTCTATTTATGAGATTCAGTTATCAAAAAAATGAGCTAAACAATAAGAGTGCTATAATAAATAAGTAACCATGAGGCTGTCGAAATTATTTTGATTTTTAAATAGCTTTTATTAAAAACTACATATTAATGAAGAAAACCTTTTTAAAAAAAATAATATTGTTTTTCTCAATTTTAAATTCTTCTCACAGATTTATGCAAAAAATTACTTGCCTGTCAAATTAAATTGTTGCTTACTTCGATATTGCCCCTTTAAATTTAAATTAACTTTCAAATAAATAGTAGAATTATAACAATTTTCTCTGCCAACTGAATATGGCGTATGAAGCCTTGCTTGCCATTTTAAATAAGGCAAATGATTCAACAAAAGTTAGTTATTATACAAGAGGACTTAATTAACTTATTATATATTTTCTTAATCATAAAATAAAAAAAGATTAAGGATTTTAATTAATGCTTTATTTTGTATCAAAATTTTATGAATTTTAATAAATATGATAATTGATTCTTTATATTAAATGTTTGATGAAACAAAACTACGTGAATTATTGATGGATGATTGTAATCCAATGAAACTATTAATAATTTGTAATTCAATAGAAAACGGTAGCATAGGCTTATTTGTTAATTTTTTGACATTGAATATTATTGGCAAGATATTTATTCCCTATTTATACTCTTCTTAAGTTTCTTCAAGTATCTAAATATTTGGGTCTTCATTAGATGCTTTATTTTAAAGAGATGAAATATCAGGTGATCAATTTTCTTTTGTGATAAAAGCCTTTAACACAGAATAATTTAAAGTTGCCCTTGAAAGAAATTTATATAATATTGGAAATTGTGAAGAAACAAATAACAAAATAGAAAAAATATTGAATTTATGAGTTTTAATGATTGTAGCTATCTTACATTAAAATTTCTTAAATCCATCAGCAGATTATCACATTATCTGCTGAGCTTTCTAAGTTCATGTTTATTCTAAATAAATTAATTTATACTATATTTAATAAATATACTCTAGATTATAGAATTAGTTAGGTTTTTATAATGAGGTAATAAGTATTGACTTTTACAAATGAAAGTATTGATAAGGATCCTTATAAGTAGTATTTGAATCAGTTTAAATTTAAAATTAATTTAAACAAACAGAATAAAAAACTAATTGGATGAGAGACCTTCAGCCAATTATTTTTTAAATTATCAAAAACATACACATATAATAATTTGTAATAGACTCTATTACTATTGTTGGTTTATCAGGCTTTAATCTATTTTGAAGATGTTCCAGCAGTTAATTAAAGATGGATGAGAATAATTACCAAAATGAACTAGGCAAACATAAAATGCAGCTATTATCAACCAATTAAAATTTGATTAAATTTCAGTAATTTCTAATTTCTTTCTAATTCTATCAATTTGTGTTATTAATTAATCAGAATGAAACTAATTCAAATTTCTCTTCTTTAAACATCATTTACTATTTTTGATAATCAATTTTTCAACATTATAAAAAAATTTTATTTTATGATTTATCTAATTATTCGAAAACAGTCAGTAATATTTAAATATAAGTTTTTTATCATCAAGTCATCAAAAATTTCTTCTATCATCTTTAATAAATATTTTTATTATAAATTAATATTTTTTCAATCAAAAAGAAAATCTGGGCAAAGTTCTCTGATAACCATATCACTAATTTTTATTTCCATTCCTTCTGCTATTCCATCTTCTAGAGTCACTTCATCATAATTGACTATTTTTCCTCTAAAATAATCAGCAAATTTCTCTAATTTTTTTGAATCGGCCTTAATTAGCCTATAATGAATTTATCTGATATTAATTCGATGGATTACTTAATCAGGTTTCAATCCGCAAGGACAACCTGATTCATCCCATAATTAACTGAATCCACCAAATTCTTTTCCATGTGGAGGTTAATCACAAATATGAAAGATATATCTCAGACTTGGTATCTTACTGCTATCTCTCCAAGAAATTTATGATGCTGCTACATTAAGTCCATCTAAAGCTGCTTCAGCACCATCACCTCCTCCATGACAATCTGATTTCTAAATTGCTTCCAATATCTCCCTATTAGAACACAAATCATGCAATTCTGTTACATATGTTTTTTCTTAAGGAGGATGATCACGATAACATACTAATCCAAATCTAACATTCACTTTTTCAATTTTTGATTATTATTTAATCCTGTCAACTAACATTTGAACTGTATTTGTTGTTCTTTCTAAATATGCATCCATAGATCCTGTGGTATCTACAACAAAAACACAGTCAACCATCCCTATTGAAGGTTGATTAGCATCTGAAGCTGCTGATATGTTTGATTTTGTTTTTCTTGGTACTTATTTTATTTATTTTTATTCTTAAGGTTAAACTATCAATTTTCCCACATTTTTCTGTTCCTTTTTTTATTCATGATTATCTATATATGTTTCTATCTTTTTTCCAATACTTTATTCATTTTTTTTTTCTATTTCCATCTCATTATTCTTACTTATTTCAACTTAAAACCTCTTTTTGGTATTTTTATTAGTAGCATGCTCATTTTTTTGCACTCTTTAAGATTTAATAATTGATTTTTTCTCAATTTTTAAAATAGACTTAGAGATAGATATTGAAGACCGCTTCTTTAGGTACTCTTTTGCTTTTTTTTATTATTTTTACTGCTTTCCTCTCTTTGCTTTAAATTATTTTTATAGATCAATTTTTTTAGGGGAATTCTTATTTTTCTTATCAGCTTGTGCTCCTCTTTAATTTTTTTATCTTTATTATGCGTTTTATTTTCTACATTTTACTCCTTCCATTTATTCCATTCTTTATAAATATAGATTTCCTTCTTTTATTGTTGTCTCCATTGATTTAGATCTTCTAACCATTTTTATATAAATAAATATAAAAAAGTAATTTAAGATTTCTTCAGTGTATATTTATGATCAGATTTCTATCAGATTATATTAATTTAAGTGTCTTCTTTGTTATTTTTATTTATTTTTATAATTTTTATATAAGTAAAATTAATTTAGTATTTGATATTCTAAAATTCATTTAAAACAGAATTGTTTTTAACATAAACTACAAATTACCACCTTTAGAAAATATTTTTTGACAGAATCAAAACAGGGGTAAATTCTTTTTATTAGCATCCTGTNACCAAATTCTTTTCCATGTGGAGGTTAATCACAAATATGAAAGATATATCTCAGACTTGGTATCTTACTGCTATCTCTCCAAGAAATTTATGATGCTGCTACATTAAGTCCATCTAAAGCTGCTTCAGCACCATCACCTCCTCCATGACAATCTGATTTCTAAATTGCTTCCAATATCTCCCTATTAGAACACAAATCATGCAATTCTGTTACATATGTTTTTTCTTAAGGAGGATGATCACGATAACATACTAATCCAAATCTAACATTCACTTTTTCAATTTTTGATTATTATTTAATCCTGTCAACTAACATTTGAACTGTATTTGTTGTTCTTTCTAAATATGCATCCATAGATCCTGTGGTATCTACAACAAAAACACAGTCAACCATCCCTATTGAAGGTTGATTAGCATCTGAAGCTGCTGATATGTTTGATTTTGTTTTTCTTGGTACTTATTTTATTTATTTTTATTCTTAAGGTTAAACTATCAATTTTCCCACATTTTTCTGTTCCTTTTTTTATTCATGATTATCTATATATGTTTCTATCTTTTTTCCAATACTTTATTCATTTTTTTTTTCTATTTCCATCTCATTATTCTTACTTATTTCAACTTAAAACCTCTTTTTGGTATTTTTATTAGTAGCATGCTCATTTTTTTGCACTCTTTAAGATTTAATAATTGATTTTTTCTCAATTTTTAAAATAGACTTAGAGATAGATATTGAAGACCGCTTCTTTAGGTACTCTTTTGCTTTTTTTTATTATTTTTACTGCTTTCCTCTCTTTGCTTTAAATTATTTTTATAGATCAATTTTTTTAGGGGAATTCTTATTTTTCTTATCAGCTTGTGCTCCTCTTTAATTTTTTTATCTTTATTATGCGTTTTATTTTCTACATTTTACTCCTTCCATTTATTCCATTCTTTATAAATATAGATTTCCTTCTTTTATTGTTGTCTCCATTGATTTAGATCTTCTAACCATTTTTATATAAATAAATATAAAAAAGTAATTTAAGATTTCTTCAGTGTATATTTATGATCAGATTTCTATCAGATTATATTAATTTAAGTGTCTTCTTTGTTATTTTTATTTATTTTTATAATTTTTATATAAGTAAAATTAATTTAGTATTTGATATTCTAAAATTCATTTAAAACAGAATTGTTTTTAACATAAACTACAAATTACCACCTTTAGAAAATATTTTTTGACAGAATCAAAACAGGGGTAAATTCTTTTTATTAGCATCCTGTAAGTTTAAATTTCCAACAAAATAAAGTCAAAAAACATTAAATTTTTGGAACAAACTTAAATAATGCAAGTGTATTTTAATAAAACTCAATATATATTTATGAATCAAAAATGAAATATGCTTTATAAATAACACAAATTGCATCTCTTATTTGGATCCATCTCAAAAATGCTTTAAAGTATATCTTTATACAATTATGAAACTTTTTTATTTTTCCAAAAATCCTTCCAATTGCTTTTTGTGATTTATATCCATTTTAAACAATTAATTTGATTCGTATAAGGAAATTCATTTGTTAAAAGTTAATATAATATTACTCCTAAAGCATAGATTTCTGTTTTTTCATCCATGTTGATTATTTCTTTCTAGAAAAATTCTGGGGCAAAATATCCTCTTGAACCTCTTCTGCTTTTGATGTTTTAGTTTATTTATTTTGCAAATCCTAAATCGCAGATTTATATTTAGAGGGTAGAAGAATCCACTAGTATATTGGCAGTCTTTAAATCGCAGTGATAAAATCCAGATTAGATGATATCATTATATNTCTTTTTTCCAATACTTTATTCATTTTTTTTTTCTATTTCCATCTCATTATTCTTACTTATTTCAACTTAAAACCTCTTTTTGGTATTTTTATTAGTAGCATGCTCATTTTTTTGCACTCTTTAAGATTTAATAATTGATTTTTTCTCAATTTTTAAAATAGACTTAGAGATAGATATTGAAGACCGCTTCTTTAGGTACTCTTTTGCTTTTTTTTATTATTTTTACTGCTTTCCTCTCTTTGCTTTAAATTATTTTTATAGATCAATTTTTTTAGGGGAATTCTTATTTTTCTTATCAGCTTGTGCTCCTCTTTAATTTTTTTATCTTTATTATGCGTTTTATTTTCTACATTTTACTCCTTCCATTTATTCCATTCTTTATAAATATAGATTTCCTTCTTTTATTGTTGTCTCCATTGATTTAGATCTTCTAACCATTTTTATATAAATAAATATAAAAAAGTAATTTAAGATTTCTTCAGTGTATATTTATGATCAGATTTCTATCAGATTATATTAATTTAAGTGTCTTCTTTGTTATTTTTATTTATTTTTATAATTTTTATATAAGTAAAATTAATTTAGTATTTGATATTCTAAAATTCATTTAAAACAGAATTGTTTTTAACATAAACTACAAATTACCACCTTTAGAAAATATTTTTTGACAGAATCAAAACAGGGGTAAATTCTTTTTATTAGCATCCTGTAAGTTTAAATTTCCAACAAAATAAAGTCAAAAAACATTAAATTTTTGGAACAAACTTAAATAATGCAAGTGTATTTTAATAAAACTCAATATATATTTATGAATCAAAAATGAAATATGCTTTATAAATAACACAAATTGCATCTCTTATTTGGATCCATCTCAAAAATGCTTTAAAGTATATCTTTATACAATTATGAAACTTTTTTATTTTTCCAAAAATCCTTCCAATTGCTTTTTGTGATTTATATCCATTTTAAACAATTAATTTGATTCGTATAAGGAAATTCATTTGTTAAAAGTTAATATAATATTACTCCTAAAGCATAGATTTCTGTTTTTTCATCCATGTTGATTATTTCTTTCTAGAAAAATTCTGGGGCAAAATATCCTCTTGAACCTCTTCTGCTTTTGATGTTTTAGTTTATTTATTTTGCAAATCCTAAATCGCAGATTTATATTTAGAGGGTAGAAGAATCCACTAGTATATTGGCAGTCTTTAAATCGCAGTGATAAAATCCAGATTAGATGATATCATTATATCCTTCAATTAATTGAGTAAAAATAAAGTTAACGTGATAATTCTCTAGTTTGTAAAATTGAAGATATTTTTGGAGATTAAAGTCGCCAAATTTTTCATATAAGATCCAACCAAGTTATTCTTAATCATGACTAAAATAATGTTAAAATATAATATTACCAAACATAAACTATAATATATTTACTCTTAATTTATTAGCTAGCTTAAATCTCCCCTATTCTTTCATCTAAAGATGTTGTCTCCTTGAATATTTTGATAGCATATTTAAAGTCTTTATATGGCAACTCATAAATCTAAATATTATTAATCTATACATTTGCTTAAAGACCTTCATCTATCTTCCTTAAACTTTAAATGTTTTTTAGTTTCATTTAGATGTTTTCAATAAGTTTTGACTCTTTCATCAAGTTTCTTTCTAAATATTTTATTAAAATCAATCTTTATCATTTAAATCTGAGATAATTTATGATTATATAAACTTAACATAAGTTTTTTTAAGTATTATTTTCTAAAATGTTGTTATTTTTAATAATTTTTAGACAGCAAACTCATAATATAGATGCTTTTATTAGTAGAAAAGAGGTATAGTAAATTGAATTTATGAAGAATTTTATTTATAATATGATTATTAAATTATATATATTTCAAATTAGATGAGCGCTAACGATAATTGCTAAGATTTTAATACAATGGATGAATAACATAAATAATAGATGATGTAATTAGAAACAATGGGTATGAGGTGCAAATATTAAATGATTTTTACTAAAATGGATGCAGCATTATTGAAAATTGCATCAATATTAAGATAAAGGTATAACTTGAATTATAATCTAAGATAAAATAATGACAAGTCTTAAGCTTTATTTTAAATTAAAGATAGATCAGCATGTTAAAAATAATTGCTCATAATAAATGCATTATCAATAGCTTAAAGAATGAAGTTAAAAGTAAATGGATTATTTAATTTTTGTGAAAAACATGCTCAGGAAAATTAGTTTATAGGAGTATTAAAATTAAAATATTAAGCTATTCACAAAATGTTAATTATTTTAAAAGCAAGAAATTAGGAGCAGAAACTCAAAGAAGAAAATGAAAAATATAGAAGAAAGAGTTCTTATTTAAATTGAATTAGAAAGATGAAGATATTGATAGACAAAGAAAAAAGAATGAAGAATTAGAAGGAATTTTATATTAATAGAAGCAAAGAGAGAGTGATTGCACAATAAAATTACAATAAAAAATGAAATTATTTTAGAGGTATAAAAGTGATCTCTTAGAACTTAAAAGATAACCTACTTCGACTAAGAATTCTAACTAGGAAAATAGAGTTAACCTATTGTATAATAATTTAAGTTGAAAGAATTAGAAAACAATAATTCCATTTTAAGTTTATAGATTTAATTAAATTCCTAATCCTTAATAAATTTTGTAAAGGAGATGAATGAATTATTAGACAGCCATTCTTTTATATTGAATGAGAAAAACATAAGCAGCTTTCGCACAAAATATAAATGATTTTTTTATTTATTTTGTCTTGATAATTTACAGTTTGATACTGAGCTAATTTACTTATGTTATAAAAATACAGAAAACATTGATTTAATTTTATCAATTAATTGAAAAAATTAATGCTCCAATCTTATAGAAATAAACATTAAGTTCATAGGATAAGTTTCTAGTTTTAGCTTTCTATTAATTTATTATTCCATTAAACAAACTTTCATATTATTACTTATATTTGGAAAAGATTTAATCAATTCATAAATTATCACTCGATTATACATCAAAATTGAGATTAACTGTTAAAAATTAAGTTTTAAAATCTACTTGAACCTTAAATTATTGTTAGCGTTGTTTCAGTTATAATTCATAAGAAGAAAGTTAATATTTCAATTAAAAGCCTTCTATTAATTTTACTTTTAATAATAATAATAATAATTACTATTATTTTTATTTATTATTATTTATAATTATATTATTATTTATTCTTCTTCCATAGTTATCAAATTATACTACTATACTTTATAAAATAACCAGCCTAATTGATACTGATTAGGTTGAATCTCTAGCTTAAAGTCTTATTTAAGAGGAAGACATAAATTAGGATTTAAATCAATTAGAATAAAAGTATCTAGATTTGGAATTTTAAAATAGCACGACAAATTTTTAAGAAATAATTAAGTTAGAATATCCAATCAGTTTATTATCTAATCTGTAAAAACTAATAATCAAATGAGATGGAGGAAAATCAAAAACTATGAAAATAGAATATAAGAAATGAAGTAAAAAGAGATGATCATGAATGTATTGAATCAATTACTTTTCTCCGAAATACTATTATTAAATAAGATAAAATTACTCACTAGAATATAATCTCATAATAAACTATCACAGATTAAATATTAGAAGAATTTGCTAAATAATTTAAGAAAACTTTGGTTTCTTTTGATACTTATTAATTTGAAAATTACATTTAATAGATATTTTATCCTAAATCTAAACCTCTAAATAAATAGAATCAAATCAAATCAGTAAATTAATCTATGTTATCTCAAGAAGGTATTGTATCAGTTAAATAAATTAAAAAAATAACGATTTAAAATTAATTTTAATCCTAATATATTGCAAATTCTCTAAAAGTAGTAAAATAATGCTTTTATGAATACAATTCATTTAATCAATTATTCTAATTAGATGACAAAGATAGTATTAAAATATTGGCAAAAGGTTTAAATGAAAAAGTTTTTGCTTCCAATGGTGAAGATAAAGTGATAAAAATATGGGAAAAGTATTTTCTTGAAACTGAAAGAGCTTTTCAAATTGTACTTAAATTTGATCTAGAGTAATAAGTTAGTTAAGTATAATGTTTAACTGTATGTGAAGGAATTTAAATATCAAAATAAAAAACACTAAATTTGTAATCTTTATTATTTAATATAATTAGAATTTAATTGGATCTATTGAAACAGCTAGCCTTGATTTGATGGTAAATTATTTTATAATTTAAATAAAAAGCTTTTTCATCTTCTCATTTGCTCTAATACTGTTCGAGTTTGGAATTATGATTATGGATAATAGTATTTACAATATAATCCTTACCTCAAAGACTCATCTAATTTCAATCAGGAGTTATAGTCATTTAATATCTGACACAAAGGTAAGAATTTATGATTACAGAATTAAAACACTTCTGCATGAAATAAATAGTAAATGATTAATACTATATGATTTAGATTTAAAAAGAAATGTAGCCACATATTGTGTTGATTATGAAAATAAGAGTATTTTATGAGTAAATGAAAATCATATAAATTTATTTTTTTGAAGAATCAATATATATTATACATTTAATCCATTTTTGAAGAAATTTAAAGATTTAGATGTTTTAAAAATAAAAAATTTTACATAATCACAAACGTATAATTGATTTTAAGGATAATAAGTGTTAAATAGAAAAAGTAAAATTTTTAAGGTATATAAAGCATAATTTTATTACTTTAACAATTAGAATCTAATAAATAATTAAAACCATCAATTTTATGAGTTTATATATACTCAATCTTTCTTCATTATAAATTCTATAACTTCAGACATCAGTTTATCTAATATTGGCAAGGGTAATCCTATTACATTAGAATAATCACTTAATAAGTTTTATTTATTATTACCCATTTATTCTTTTGATTAATATATTACCCAAAGCTTAAATTGCATATCCTCCTGCTCTACCTATCCAATTTTATTCATCTTCAACATAAGCTTCAATACTCTTCTCCGGCAAATATTAAAAATGGACTTCAGTGGTTTCTAATCCATTTACTTAGAATAATTAATCTTTTCCATTTTTACCAACAACGTACACACAAGTATGTACCAAATGTAATGAATTGCTAAATAACCTTAAAAAATTTGAAGCCTCTTCCTTATTATTTGGCTTTTCAATAATCTTACCATTTATCTCACAGACAGTATCTGCAAAAATGCAAATATCCCATTAGTGATTAGTTTATTTAAATGTTTCAAGAAGATTTTTTACTTTACCTTCGCATGTCTTTTATACATAGATTAAAGGGTCAACCTATTTATCTAAGTTTTCTTCAAAAGTTGAAGGAAATACTTCAAAATGAAATAAATCTAACATTTTTAGTAATCCTTGTCTTCCTCTGCTTTGTGAACCAAGCACTATTCTTGCATTTTTTAAAAATTCTTTGTATGACAATAACATTATATTATATTAAAAGGAAATATTATTATTTAATATACTTAAAAAAATTTTCTAGTATTTAAGATAAATTTAAATAATAAATGGAAATAGCTCCATATAACAAGTATAATATATTCAAAAGACCTTAAAAATTTTTAATTTAAGAATAATAATAAGAATTGTTGTGATTGATAGTTTTAAAAATATATTATTAAATTCATCTACATTTTCTGTTACCCTTAATTATTTTTCAATGATAGTAAAAAATATATCAATTTTCAATATTTTGTCAAGCTTTTTCTTTATTTTTTAGTTTATCTAATCGAAAATGAAGATTAATTTATGAACAATTTTATTTTATTCTTTTATGAAATGTCTATAGATAGAGCCTAAAATCTTCATTCAAGAATATAATGATACTTTCAATTAAAATTTTTTTTAGGTGTTAAAAGTAAATCGAAATTAATAATTTTGAATCAAGAAATTCAATTTATTCTATTACAGTGCTGTGTTGTGATGTTTCATTTCTTCTAATCTACAAAATAGTAATTTTGATTAAAAGATTTCATTGAAGCTAAGGATTTTAAAGCTAGATTATATACGCAAAAAGGAACCAAAAAAGTCTAATTACAAGAATATTAAAATATAAGATAGTAAATTATAAATAAAACCTTCTTTATTTAGAAATTTTACATTTTTTTCAGAAATAATCATTACTATTATTTCATATTTATTACTTATTATATAAGAAATATATATAACAGTAATCAGACAATATATTTTCTTTTTTGCATAAAGCATTTTCTTTTTTATATATTTGATTATAGCTCACTTTTTTTTTCTAAAACTTGTTGTAATAATGATTATGACCTTCTTTAACGAGGTTTCTCATATTTACTCAATTATGCAATATTTTATTTTTATATTTACCTTGCAATTAAATTGATTATTACTTGTCTTCCTAACATAAAATACTGTATTTCGCAATTATCTCAAATACATTTGATAATTTTTATATTTAAGGATTTTCTTATTTTGTTGAACCATTTTTTTTAATCATAATTTTTTAAGTTTTAATAATAATTATTAACTTTTTATAAATATCCAAAGAAGAAATATGTTAAAAATAATTGATGAAAAAATTTATTATAGATTTGCTTATCAAACTAATAATTAAGATTATTAGTTTTTATTATATGTTTTATAATTTTATCAAAATAACTAGAAAAAATTAAGTATTAACTTATTAATATATATTATCTTTTATTAATATCTATATTATATTGGAATGCAATAAGTTAATTAGAAGATAATTAAGACTTTAATTTTTAATTTTTTTTCCTTTTTTTTGAAATTTCTTCTTATTATATTCTCACCAAAGCATTCAGTTCTTCAATTTATTTTTTATTTTTTTCTAAATCTTCAAGTTTAAACCATGCTTCTTCAAAATCATTGCAAATAACTTTATAGAAGAAAAACTTAATTTAACAAGTTATTTTCTCTAATAATTCTTCCTAATCAATAATATTTTATTGCATTTCAATTAATATATCTTGATAATCATTTTCATATTTTCAATCTATTTAGTTGATTAAATAATAATATTCTCTTTACAATTTAAGTTTTCTAATATAATTGGATTTGTTGTATTAACAATCTAATTAGAAATAATCTTATAAACCATTGATTTCTTAAAAATGACTTTATATAAATAATGCTATTTCTTTTTGTTGAAGATCAAAACATTATCTCATAAAATAAATTGCTTCATCTTTTATACATGAATCAGCGTTTCAAAAAAATTTGATAAATTTAATAAATTCTTCATTCCGTTCACAAATAGAGATTTCATAAGTAAATTCTTTAATTTAAAGGTTATGATTTCTTCTTATTCTTTACAAAGAATTAATAATTTAGTTTCATAGTAATTTTTTCAAATAAGTTTGAAAGCTATAATAAATTAGAGGATATAAAATACTAATGATCTTCCAATTATGCAAATAAAATTCCGTCCTAAATCTCAGCTAAATGGTAGATTTATCTCTTTGGATAGTTAAATTTATTAAGCTAAATGATTAGTGAATTATTTAACTAAAGCTATGACACTTTCCATAAATTATTAAAAAAAATTTTGACAAGATAAACAAAAGAAATATATATGAAAAATCATTCTTCAAACTCTTAGTCTTAAAAAGATAGAAGTTCCATTTTTTTAGTTAACTTTCCAGGTTAATTTTATTTACCACTTTATTTAGCTTCTATCTACATTTACTCAAATTTTTCTTATAAATCATTTTATTTCATGCTTAAAAATTTTGCTGCTTCTATCTAGGCTTCAGTTTGATCATAATTAATATCAGACAGGTTATAATAGTCAAAATTATGAAATGGAGTATTTATACTAGAATCAAATTAAATTGGTTCATAAATATCTGGTTTGCATTGATTAGATTTCAATTAAGAATCTAGTTTATCAAATAAATTTAGTAATCCTAATTATTTTTCTCTAAATTGATTTGAGACTTAGCCATTAACTGGTAAAAGTTGTTTAGATTAATTATACAAATCCATTAACTCTTTTATAGTTTTTTAGTCCTTAATATCAAAATAATCTTCAGAAACTTCAGGAAAATTTGGAACTTCATCCTAATAAATATTTTTTCCAAACATCACAATAATTTAAATAAAATAGAAGTTAATTCTAAAATATAATATTAAAGTATAGAATCATAATATTAATAAATATATATGAATTTCGTCATTCATTGTTGCTTTCAATGAATCAAACTTATTTATTACGAATAATAAAAGATTCTTAAGATTATTAAGTTATTAGATTTGATTGTATTTAATTATTTACAAATGTTAACAGCAATAGAAGACAGAATATCTACAATCCTTAATGTAGGGTGTAAAGGTTAATTAGCAAAATTTAAAAACTAATCGTTTCGTAAAAGGCAATCATTTAAAGAATCAGAACTAAGAAGAAAAAGCACAGATTATTGGTTAGCTTCAGATAAAGAAAAGCGCCTGGATTTATTCATACCTACAGAAGAACATTAAGAATTGAATTAAAAATTATTATTGAGATGCAACAATAAAACTTTATTAGTTAAAGGAGCTAAAACTTTAATTAGAAATGAGGTCAAATCAAAATCATTTTAATCTATAAACAATACAGTTTAGAATAAAATATTTTATATGAAAAAGTCAGCACAACATATAGAAAAATAAATAGAACTTGAAACACCTTCGAAAAGAATCAAAGGGTTTGAAAACATGATAAAATCTAAAAATTATGAAATTTATATAAAAGGAAGAACTAATTGTATGATTAGAAATTATATTAATGAAATATTCAATTGTGAATAAAAACCTGAAATAAGTAATTCAAAAAGAATATAAACTTTACCAAGTACATCAACAATAAAAAAATAAAAGCACACGATTATTAGAAGTGAATAAATTCTTAGAACCTATAATTCAAAATAAAATGATATTATTTTGAAATCTCTGAGATTTTGATTAAATATTGTATTAAAAAAATAACATAAATTTTTAGTTAACTAAATATTATAATTATAATATCCAACAACAATGATATTAATAATATAGAACTTTTCTAATTGAAAATCATTTTAATTATATATTTATTAAATTAATGAGTGACTCAATAGACTAATGTAATTAGTAATCTTGTTTTTAAGAGGAAAACTTTCAAGGACCTAATTTGATGATGGTTTCTGAAAGAATTTTACTAGGAGACGCAGATTTTATTTAAAAATCTCCAGACAGTAACTCGGTTTCTCTTAGAGATCAATCAAAGATTTAAGATTTTGGTAAAGATTTAATAGATGCTGTTCCTATTGATATGCATAAATCATATAAAGGATTAAAGAAATCAGAATATTAGTCAGCCTATGCAATAGAAGAAGAATTAGAAACTGGTGGCAAACCATAATTCTTAAAACTAATAATCTCAAAAAGTCTACAGAATAACTTCATGAATAATTTATGGAATAGAAGCTATTTAAGAAAGTTACATCAGTTAACATCTTTTCAAATTTAAGCATTAGATGATTTATAATTTGAAAATGAAATTTATGAAGAAGAAGACGAGAGCAAAAAAGAAATTAACATTTTTGATGTTATTAAGAGATTTTTTCTTTTATTAGAAGTATTTACCCCATATAGCAAATTAATTTTTATTTGGGATTTGTTTTAAATTTTCACATATATTTTGATATTTTTTTGGTTACCTTACAAGATTTCATTTTAATAAGACTTTATAGGATAATTATTAAACTAAAAATCAAAAAATCAGACGATAGAGATAATTTTGTTGACAACATTAAGTTTCGATGTAATTGTTGGATTGAATTTAGCATTCATATATAAAGGAATTATAATAAAAGATAGAAAAAGGATTATTGCAAATTATTTTAAATAATATGCATTTGTAGACCTTGTAAATATAAAGATGTATATTAGTAAATAAGGTTTCAATAAGTACAGTGACAATTCAATTCTTTATTTTAAATGATAGTTAAGAAGATCATGAAATAGACAATAATTTAACATTGTAAATAATATTTTGTGTAATATTTTATGTATTAAGAATGACTAAAATAAACAAAATATTAGCATAAATATAAGAGTATAATATTATAAAATAATAGATTTTTCAATTTAAATGGATCCTTAAATGATTTAGTTGGATTACTAAAGTTAACAATGATAATTTTATTTATAGCCCATATTTGTGCTTGTGTTTGGCATGGAGTAGCTTTTTATAATGATTCTTATTCTTGGTTAGATGCATATAATTTGAGAGATTAAGGAAATGCATCTAAATATAATACAGCTATATATTGGGCTACTATGACTATGACTACTGTTGGATATGGAGATATAACAGCAAAAAATAATTCTGAATTATTAATAAATAATTTGACTATGTTTATAGCATCAATAGTTTTTGCATATTCAGTAAATAGTATTGGAATATTTGTATCAAATATGTATAAAGGAACTATGGAATACAGTAGAAGTGTAACTTTAATTAATACTTTTATGTCAAAAAATAAGATTTAATTTGAATTGTAAACTAGGATTAGAAGTTATTTAGAATATATTTGGTAAGAAGAATAAAATATGAATGATGAGGAAGTTTCTCAAATAATATGTAAATTAAGTAGCCATCTTTAAGAAGAACTTTAATTCTCATTAAGAGGAAATATTTTAAGAAATTGTAAAGTTATGATAAAAATATTCTCTGAAAAAATGATTAAATGTTTATTAGGATAGATGGAAGAATAAAGTTTTTCACCAGAAGAAAGAATTATAACAATTAATTAAATTGATGATGGTTGTTTGTATATTATAACAAAAGGAGAAATAGAATTAATTTTTGAAAGCATGAACATTCTAAATGATAGAGTGAAGAGAAATAGTTTAAAATATTTATCTAAAGGTGATTTTTTTGGAGAACTTTCATTTTTTACAGGAGAACCTAGAAAATGTACAGCAATTTCAAGGGGATTTACAAAAGTTTTTAAAATTAAAAGAGAGAACTTTTTAAAAGTGTTATCTTCATTTCCAAATGATTATGAAAAATTTAGTGAAGTGAAACATTAATTAAAATAAGGAGATTTTAGTTCATTATAAATCTAATGTTATAGTTGTTAAAGTAATTAACATTTGATGGATTCATGTAATTATTTGCATTTTTGTGCAGATAAAGAAGCAATTATAAAAAAAGAACTTTATCCTTATTATTAACATCGATCTAGATTAGCTATTAGAGGTGAAAAAGCATTTAAATATAAATGGAATCAATATAAATATTTACTTTAAAGACTAAAAGATTATTAAACAGATTGTTTATAATAACCCACAGATAATGATGAAAATGAATAACCTTCTTAAATTGCTAATGATAATTATACCTATGAAGATGAATCAAAAAGTAAATATTGTAATTATTATTTAGTTGAAATTGATGTACCTTCAACATTGAATTAAAGAAGTAATTCAAGAACATTAAGTAGAGTGAGTTAAAAACCTAATCAAGTTATTTATGAAGAAGATGAAGATTAAAAACTTTATACAAGAAAAGTAGCAAATTCAAGAGGAACATTATAAACAGCAGGGTTTGGTAGTGCCAGTTTAAGAGAAAGCAAGAAATTTGATATAACTAGAGATTATGAAATGGAATAACCGATTTCTGAAGAATCATCATCTGAAGAAAAAGATCAAATTATTATACCTTCAGTGTAAAAATCAACATAAGATCGCACACAAAAGTAGAAAATTACTTTTATTCGAAAAGAATCATCAGAAGATATTGTGCCTAGATAGGCATCACTTCGTTCAAGAACATTTACTTAAAATAAATTACAATAAGAAATTTTAAAAAGAAGCACAACACCAGATAGACTAACTTCAGAAGTAGAAATATCTCCTAATAATATGAATACCAAAAGATAAGCTGGAAAAAAACATTCTACAACAAAGACATTTACAAAATAAGGTTAAGAGCCAACAGAAGGAAATTAAAATATGACTTCTGTTATGGATAATTAAACATACTTACCAAATTTATCATAAATATACATTCAATTTGATAAAATGTAGATATTTACTCATTTTTTTCCTTTTAGTAATTATGATGTTGTTATCAAAAGATATTCAAGAATTTAAAAATATTTTGGTAAAAAAAGACAATATCCTGAATCATCTAAATACTCATTTTATTTTATGACAATTAAGAAAGGATGGAAATTAAGAAAGTTAGGAGAAAAACTCTAAGGCTTTAGATTAGTAGATACAATTAAGAAACCGTTTGTTAAAACATTTTAAGGCACAAAAGCTATTAAAACTAAAAATAATATATTGAACACTTTAGGGAATAATGGATAAAGTCCTAAATTTAAAGATGGATAAGATAGAATAGAAGAAAACTTCTGAGAATAATCATATTTTGAGTGAACATAGTATTATGTTAGATTTATCAAAAATTTCTCTTTTAGTTTGATATTTTTTATTAGATTTAAGGATTGCCCCTTTATCTGGAAATTATTAAAATTATTGTTTCAATTAAATTTAATTGAGATATTAACAATTAAATTCTTATGCGTCTTTTATTTTAAATTCTGTTTATTTGGATTAATTTTATTATTCACTTTCACTTAAAGCAGGTAATATTGGTTCTGAAGATTATATAATTTTATTTTTTCTACATAATCCTTATTTTTTTAAATAAAGTTTTAAGTTGTTATCCTATTCCTTAAAGATACTAGAAATTTCTTACTTTCTGATTTAGATCCTAACTAATTCTAGTTTTAAGAATAAGACTTTGTTTAATTTTTTTTTCTAAAGATCTAATATCCCTTTCTTCATCACTTTTTATGTCAAGCCATTTGCTTTGATTATTTAAAGAGTCTAAAGAGCTAAAATAGCGATTGGTCCTTTGAGATGGCTTTTTTAAAGTGAAATTCTTTTTATGCGATAAAGGTGAAGTGATAGAATCTTAGATTAATTCTTTAGGTAATGATGGAGGACTTAGAGAATGTTTGATATTTTTTTAAAGAAACTTGTTTATTACCATCTACATTTAGAGTCTTTAGTTAATAGCCATATCATTTTCTTCAGGATTTTTGAATTTGATGATCATTTTAGAAAAAGTTTAAGCATACTTTGAAATTTTGGAGAAATCGTTGGCTTAAATGATTTCTTATCTTCTATCAATAATGGAATCAATTAATTTTAATCTATCTTTGTAAGTTTTTAGAGATTCGACAGCATTCTTAATTTAGGTCTTTGAAAAAACATCAGAGATTTGATTATAGGTATTTTTGAGATTATTATTCATGAAATAATTAGTTAAATTATTATACTAAAATATGTATATATATTTAGATATCAATCATCATTTAGAGCAGGTGCTGCTCCATATGAATTTTCTCGTTATTATTATTATTATTGATTATGATTATCATTATCTATTAAATTATCATCTCCTCCTGTATCATCATCTTCATCTTAGACTTTATCTGGATCAAAAAGACCTAAATCTTCAGGATTTACTTCAGTATATGGATGTGGAAATGGTTTTTCCATTTCATCAGAAGGATTAACAAATGATTTTTTGAGTGCTAATTTATGTTTAACTTCTTTAAGAAATGCAATGCTTAAAATAGCTAAAGCATATAAAGAACATATTATTGTAATTCCAATAAATCCATCAAGTCTATAAAATAAATATATATAATAATACTTAGAAGCATCTTTACCATGAATAACCATACTAACAATTTAAGCAATAAATGAACTACCCATAGTAGCACCAGAATATTATAATCCAATACAGAAGGAATCATTTAATGGATATATTTATTCACAACCCCATTCTAATAATAATGGAATTGCAGGTAAAATGAAAAATCCTTATAAAGTAGCCATTGCAAGCATAACTACATAGTTTTATAAATAACATCCCCAAAGAAATCCATAGAAAGTAAAAATAGTGCTAAATTCTAGAATAATAATAATTGGTTTGTATTTTCCCCAACTCTTATAAATAGTTGGAATAATTAAGGAACTAAGAAAACCTCCAATTACAGGCATAACTGATAAAATGGCAATATCAGATTTACCATATCCATAAGGTTTTAAAATGTATACTAAAGCTACTCCATAGCCTTTATATGAGCCATAAAATAAAGTAAATGATATAAATATCTAAATCTAAAATGTAGAATTATTTGAATTACAAATTTAATGTCTTTTAACATTTAGCAAATACTATCAGTAAATGAAATTACTTTAGTAGATCCTTTAGCAGCAGCAGATGGTGGACTTTTTGGTTTAGTTTCAAAAAAGATTAAAAGTGGAATTAAAAATAGTGCAGAAAATACTGCTTCTGAAAATAGTAAATACATAAATCTTGAATCTCCTGTATCTAATACATCTTATGGGGAATGTTCATCAATGGTAACTCCAGCAAAAAATATTGGTGGAATTATATATCCCAAGATTCCACTAAATGTCACTATAAAATTCAACATAGTCATCAATTTAGTTCTCTAACTAGTTGGAAACCATTCAACTGCAACTGAAGCTTAAGCATTCAAAATTAATGGTCTACCTATTCCACATAATGTTTAACCAATTAAAACATAAATGAATCTAGTATTATGATAACATTGTTACGATTATCTAACTAAGCATCTTAAAAATACACCTAACAAAGTTAATATAGATCCTATTTTCACTGACATACTACTCCCCTTATACATTATTAAATAACTAGCTGGAAACGTAAACAATGGATGCATAAATAAATATAAAGTTGCAGATAGTGTAACTACAGATGTACTTTCATTATATATGTTGCTAAGCTTTATTCTATTTTAATTATTTTACTTCAACTGCTATTGGATTACAAGTAGCATACACTGCTGTATTACATAATTCAGCCATTGTGAAGAAAAATAAAATCATAAATCTCTTTTTATAAAGCTTATATCCTTATACCATGCTTTATTTTGAAATACTTGAATTATTTATTGCATCCTTTTAATCAGGATTCTATTCAGAACTTTTAGCATCCATTATTTTTATAATAAATTTTTATTTTTTAACTATTAAATCATTTAAGTAAATTTGTTTAAATTGTTTATTAATCATAATTCATCATGTTAATTCATCAATCCATCAATAAATTATTTCATCTCTCTTGCTTATCTTTATTTATTATATTTTATTTATTCTACTGAATTTCCATCTTTATAAAATAAAATCACTGTCGGAAATCCACTTATACTTACTACACCAACCTAATGTTGAGTCCAATCCATTTCTGCTATTAGAACATTTCCATTCCCTCTATATAATTATGCCAACTCTTCATATTCTTTTGCCATATTCTTACAATGTCCACACCATGGTGCATAAAATTTTACTAATACATGTTATTTACTCTTTATTACTATATCTTAAAATGTTTCTGATGTTACAGTTATTACTATTCCATTATTTATTATTCTTTGATAATCATTTTTTATTTTCAACTAATCATTTATAAATTCAATCAATTTTTCAATTGATCTTTATTAAGAATCATATTTTTAAATCTATTTTTCTTTTATAAAGAATATTGATGGATAAGAATTCATATTAAAACTTTCAAATTTATACTTAGTTGCATCTGTCCTACTAAATATTACTTTATTTTCAAACATAGGTATTAATTATTCAAATAATTAATTAGCTGCTTTTGAATGTTCACAATTTGGTGAATAAAATAATAATAGAACGGGTTTATCATTATTCATTATCATATTCTCAAAATTTTCATTATTTATTTCATTACCAGATGTAAATGGAAAACTTCCTGTCTAAAATTTTGTAAATGGAATATTCTCTTCAATATATAATGATATAGTCTCTTCTGATAATTCACCTTTATAAATCACTAAATCAACTTATCCATATTATTTTAAATATATAAATAAAGATGGTATTTCATCAACAATTATTTCTCTTATTGGTTTTAAACTTCTATTCTATTTTGCAAATACTAAATTATTTCGATGCTAATATTTAATAGCCAAATCATTAAAAACATCATTAAAACCAAAACACAAATCACAAGCATTCATATCATTAAATAAAATTATATGATTAGGATTCTATTTAATTTAAATCTAGTAATTTAAAGGAGTCAAATCATGAACATAACCATCTCCTACCCAAAAAGGTTCAGAATATATTTAAATTTATTCTACTATTTTTTTAAATGTAGGTATCGAACCTTCATCATATGGTTAACTTATCTTATATTTTGTATAGAAATTATAATAGTAAATTCTCTTGTATTCCAATGATTATCCAACAAAATATTAAAATCTTCTTACAGTCAATTCATTTTTAGTATTAATCAAGACAAAACGTAATTTACCTTTGTATTCTTCAGCAACAATCTCAAAATAACTTTTAATAAAATCATTAAATTAATTGGGATCCAAAACCATTCCAACTAATGGTATTTCATCAGCTTCTGCTTTTTTAAATTCCTCTTCAGTTAAAGAAAAAACTAAAGGATAAGCATTTTTATCTATGAAATCATAAAATTCTTCCAATTATCCATTAAAATATATTTCTTTTTCAAATGCTTTGTTTTTTATAAATGCTTAATGAATTTTAGGATAAATGTGTTAATTGAGAATACCAAATTTAATTTATGGCATTTTAATAGCAATATCAGCTATCTCATTAGTAGAATAATAAGATATAACTGCAATATTAGATCTTTTGATAAATAAGTCAATCTAAATAATAAACTAGTTATTATACTTCTTTTTGTAAATTCAACTATGTAATTAAGCCATACTAATTTTATAAAGCGTACTCAAATAACAATTCAATATCATCATCATTCGGAAATCCTGATTTTTCACCTTCATTATACATATAAGCAGCTGGATATGTTGAACTATTCATTCTAATAGAAAGTGCTTTATTTTCACATGCTATTACTTCAGCAACATATATTTCATATTCTCTTAATCTTTTTGATAATTCAATGAAAGTGGATTTTAATTACAAGCTAATTTAAATTCATTTGATACCATAAATTACAACCATATGTTGTAAAAAGAACAATCAATTTTGGATATTTTGCTATTGCAAAATCGTAATTATTTCTATCCAATAATAGGAGACCATCTATTTCATCAATTTATTCTTTTAGTCTATTTTAAGTATTAATTCCAACCAACAAAATAACAAACAAGGCAAATACTTTCATATATTTAAATAAGTAATTTGTTTTAAAATTAAAAAATTTTTAATTAAAAATGATAAAAATATTCTTAAATTATTAATAATCTTTATTGTTTCAATACTATAGTATTTTTTATTCTTATAACATTGGTGCTGTTACATAATTTTAGGTCATCTTTTGAGTTTAAAATTAATTTTTAGGATTTAAATTTCCTGAATTAAGAGGAAAATTAAATTTTTATTTGGAATAAAATAAAGTATTGAATGGAAGTTGTTATTAATTACTATTTACATTATCAAATATATTTTATTTTCTCGTATTTGTTAAATTGTCTGAATCTAAAATTTAATCTTGCTACTCAAATATTGGATGCATATATTCATTTAAAACATTAGTATCCAGTATTTTAACCGTCTAATCATTTTTTACAGTACGTTAAGAATTTTTATTTTAATTACTTTAGTTATTTCCCCCTTATATAAATTGCTTTTCAAGTAATCCATCTTTTCTTGATCTTGATGGCCTTAAAAATTTGTCTATAATTTAATTTTAATTTTTTTTATTATCTAAAGGAGGATTTATTCTAGAGAATGTAGGGATTGTTATTTTTTGATTTTAACCAAAGTAAACTCCTTATTAAGTAGCTTTGTAATCTTATAAATGTACATTTTTCTAATAGTTTTTAATTGAAAATTCATAATTTTATTAAGAAGAAGGAAACCTGAAATTTTTAAGAGTTGGAGTATTAACAGGTTTTTTTCCAGTATAGAATTCATAATTTGACATTTCTACTTACTTTAACAATGGAACTGAAGCAGCTTATTAAAGTATTTTTTCTTCTTAAGGAAAAGGAGATTCTATAGTGATCAAAGGTTTTTCTGGAATAAATCGATCTATTGATTTGCGTTTAAATAATTAAGCAGATTTCGGAGTTTCTAGAGATGGTTATCTGATTGTTATTAGACGATAATCTGGAGATTTACTAATCATCACTTTAAATGGTAAGAGAGGACAATATTTAATGAATTATTCAGAAGAAATATTCTCTTCTGAACATTTAATTCTTTTTTTCAGGCAAAAAATATCTTAAGAACTATATTTATATTATTATTTATTCATAAAATTGATTAACCTTAGATACAAAATATGAAATACTTTAGTTGTGATATAAATTTTTGATTATCCTCCAATAAAGCACAGAATTACTTTCCATTTTCTTTATACTTTTCAAATAATATCATTCTAAGTGGTTCAGCTTATCTAAAGTATATTACTTCAATTTCCAAGAGACGTTTCAATTTTTGTAAAATATCAGAAACGATTTATTCATTAGGGTTGTCATAAATTTTTGTATCTAAATACATATCAAAAGGAGAGATTAATTAAGAAAAGTCTTCCCAATTGATATATAGATTATCAGATGAATACAATTAAAATATATAATCCAATTCTCTTTAGCTTATGTTTAGTATAAAGTTTCTAAGTTTGATAAATAATATTATTACCTAAACAAATTTATTAGATCCTTACGCATAATTCCTTTTGAATCTGTAATTAATAAATTATATATTGTTCTTGCTTAAAAATGAGGCGTAATACTCAATTTAATTCTTTATTCTTCTAACTAATAAGTATTATGATCTCATACTTTAGTTTCATAATGACTGGTCATTCCCAATAATTAAGCAACTTTGGTTAGATATTCATTACTCAACATTTTAATTAATAAATCATAGAATAAAATATTCAATCAAATTAAGAGTCATCAAGGAATTTTTTCTCTTGTAATCCTTAATAGGTAGTAAGTCCCATTTGATTTTCAGGTTTTGTATATTCTTTGATTTTTTAACCCTTTTCATGAATCTAGAAATAATATTAAAATATTTACTTTATCAATATCTTCTAAAGCATCAATTAATTTTTATTGAGTAGCAAAATGAATTCCTTCTTTTTATGTAATAAAATTTGCTGAGGAGGGTACAAATTAATGAAATGGTTCTTCTAAATCATTTTAAATAATTGCATCAATGCGTCTTACATTAGAAATAGTTTATTCAAGTAATCTTCTCAGAATTGGATTTTTGCTTGCAGCCAATAAGATTTCTTCTTTATTCAATTCACCATCTCCATCTTAATCAACTTATTTAATCATTTCTCTAATGACCATTTTAAGTTAATATTTATCATTTTCATTTATGATATTTTATTTTAAAATGTTAAAGATTTCTTTTTCACTAACTTTGCCTGATCCATCTTCATCGCATAAATCAAAAAATACTATTATATTTTTAGATAAAGTAAATTACTTTTTAGTTTTTCATCAATTGTATCATCTTTTAAAACTTCTAAACCAACAATAAGTTCTTTATAATCAACAGTTCCACTTGAATCTTCATCGAAAACATAAAATAATTTTTCTGCTAAATTTTTGTCAGCTCCCAATCCAAAAGAAATTAATAACCCTTAAAATTATTCTTTATTTAATCCATCTGGAAAGTCTTTAGCTTATTTTACAATAGATTAATAATTTTAGAATATTTATCTAATGGCATCTTTTCTATTTTTTAATAACCATTAAATAGTTTTCCACTTCATTTTAAATTTTGATTTAGGTGCAATCTTTTTTTTAAAGGATTACAAATTAAATCCATAATCTTTTCTGGCAACATTTAACATTATACTAATAGAGCCACTAGCCACAGGTAAAGCTTATTAATTAATTTTACTTTGCATAGAATATTTTTATTTGTTACTAGTCTTTTTATCATAAATAAATCGATATATCTATTCCATTCTTAAATGTTAAGGTGCATTACATCTATGTTTGAACTCTAATTTAATAAAAAAGAAAATACTAAATAATTCTTGGTCATGAGAAGTTTTAATAATTTAATCAAAATCTTCATCTTCTATAGGTTTAGATTTCATGGTTTTGTTAATAACAAATGATCTAATAGGTTTTGCAGTTGTAATTCTCGTTTAGCTACGATTAGATGAAATAGTTTGTTATGGAATAGTTCTATTACTATGAATAGTATTAGCTGTATTAGCAGATTAAATCCTATGATAATATTCAGTAGCTTATGGTCTAAATCCAGAGATTGAATAAGAGGGTTTATAAATTTACATAAATATATAAAAATAGAATAATCAAATATATGAATATGATTCATTATGATCATCAATGTAAACACTAGATTGATTTTTAGAATTGTTCGAATCTATAGGTTCAAATTTTATGATTTGTATATTCTCTATTTGAGTTACTTTATGAGATCTGAAAATGATACAGTATAGAATACTGTTTTATTTACAATGATAATTCGAATTATCTATATAAAGTATCGTAAAATGATTAATATCAATCCAAAAGAATGGTCGAACTCAATAATATCTGTCTTAATTGATCTAAATTCACTTTATTGATATTCAGTTACGAATGCAATTCAAATAAGTAATAAAGGCTGATTAAAATCAATATCAAAATGAATGCTACTAATCAATGATATTCCAATAATCTTTAAAAAAGTACTTTATTAATCAACATGTATAGAATTACTTCTCTTTCTGCAATTATTCTAATATAAATATCTATCATCATTGCTAATGTCAATATTATTTCTGCTTCTATTACCATGTTCTCCTTTAGACTTAATTATATATAATATTTTATTCTGGGTCAATTATTATCTAAATGTTATAAGTTCATACATACACTAATATCATAATTGAGAGCAATACCTGCACGACAGAAAACATTAAGTAATGTTTGTGCATTCTTAAATTGGTCATAAGATGCTTACAATTTTATTTTATTTTAATTATATTATTATAAAAAAACAATGCTTTCAGATTATGAATTGTAATAATAGGCTTTGAAATAAAAATTAGCCAGATAATAAGCATAAGAGTAAATAAATGCTTTGGAATCCAAACTCTAATGTATTTTATAAATAAATTTTAGAAATCATATAAATTTAAAAAGAAATTGAAGAACAAGATTGTAATTGATTATTTATGATTTAGTTTAATATTAAATTAAGTGCGATGATTTATAAAAGAAACGAGAATAACAAATGCTAGAAATTAAGAAATTAAGAGCTTCTCAAGAAGATGATTTATAAAGGTAGGTAAAATTTAATAACTTAAATTAGAACAAGAAATATGTATATGGAAATGTGGAAAATGGCTGAGTAGTTTTAAAGGAAGCAATAATAATTTATACATTAATAAAAATTAGATAAAGATTAATTGAAATCTTTTTAAGTAACTTAAACTTCAAAATAATCACATTATGAAATGAATAAAGAAATGGTAGTACCTCATAATCCTTTTGTCTTATTATCCTAAGCACAAGGATTTTTGGATTCTTAATATGATTTATTTTATCAAACCAATTATACTAAATTATAAGAAATAGTGGAAAAAGAGAGTTTATATCCAACAAGTTAAATCTAAATAACTTTTGTGAGTTTTAAACCAGATATGCCAACATTAGAATAATATGAGAAAAGAAAATTTGAAGGAACAATTAATTAAATACCATTATCAATGTAATTGTTAATTGATTTTTATGATTTTCCAACATATAAATCAAATACTCTTATTTATGAAGAATGCCCAACTATAGAATAAATTAGAGTAAATTATAAATTTAATAAAATTAGAGATAAGTTGGTTATGATTAAGAACTAAAATTGGCATATGAAGATTATTTTACTAATAAATCTTTTGGAAAAAAAGCATGTTTTGTATTTGAAGTAGAGAATGATATAAAATTTATCTATTATCTATTATTCAAAAATGCATATATAAGAGTAATAGATGCAATAACAGGGGAAAATTATGGATATTGTTAAATACCACTAAATTCATTAATTAGAGAGGATAAAAGTGATGTATTTTCAATATAAGAAGTCTAATTATTAAGTTATGATTGGACAATAACTTTTGGAATATTTACAATAACAATATAAAATATTGGAATAAAATAAGGATCTAATTTTGCAACTCTAACTAATTTTAATTTTGATTAAAATGCATTCAGTTAGACTTTGAATATATAATCATTATTATCAGCAACATAGAATGTTTAATTTAATTAAGTAATGGATAACAAATCAAAAATTTAAAATTAATATGTAAATTTATCAAAAATAACATCTGATTCAGCTGTAAGAAGTGAAGACAGATTAAAAATAAGAATATCATAACTGAAGCCTTAATCCTAAATTTCATAAGCAAGAAAGAAATTAGTTTCAGAAAAACCAAAAGATCTTACTCAATATGGACATCAAGCAGTTGTTAATATGAAAATTAATGATGTAGATGAACGAACACGTGTAAATGAAAGAATTAAATCTAAAAGATCAGATATGCTTACTTTTCTAAGTACAAAGGATGAGTTCCTGAAATTATAAGCGGTAGAATTAAGTAGGAAATGGGATCGTTATTAGATTTTAAGTTCAGTGTTACCATCTCATATGATTCCAAATGATTTATATTTACCAGTAGGAGAAAAGTGTATATAATTTATTGAGTATCAAAATGAAAGTGAGGAAGATAAAATTATCACTGTTGAAATAGCACCACCTATTATCACATATTTAGTAGGTGGAGATGAACTGGAATCTATATATGAAACCAAAGGAATCCCATTTCATTCAAGAGTTGAAGTTGAGTAGGATTCATTCAAATGTCATGCATAACAAAAATGTATTATTGCTATTATATTCTATACATTAATTGAATTTACTACTGAAATAGAAATTGCAGTCTATTTAAAATTAAGATAATAACCAATTTGTGGTTCATTATATAGAGTTATACCAAAATCTTAAGTTATTGATATGAATTTTGATTTTTATAGGTAACCAAATGCTTAAATACAATTATTTTTACCACAAATATTTTGTTTTTGTGAAATTAAATATAGAGCAACTCCAATAATTATTTGTAATAGAGAAGAGGTTACATTTGCTATTAATTCTGATGATATGAGAATCAAATTAGAATTAAAAACAAGTGATGTAGGTAAATAAATAATACTTTTGTTATTTTTTTACAGAGATAAATTCTGTCATTATTTATTATTATCAGTATGTGTAAAAATAACTAGTCTTAATTTAATTAAATTATCAACTATAATTGGTTAAGCAACATTATGTTAAACTGAATTTTAATCTGATAAAAAAAGACAAATCTATATTCATAGTTTAAATTAAGATAAGATTTGGTTTGAGTCTCCATATAATAAACCTGTATGGATTGAATAGAATCAAATTACAATTATTCCTTTTAAAGTATTTTAGATGACTTCAAATTCTCATATTGTAAAAGTTAATGTAGTAGATTCAACAACAAATGAATTAGTTTATTCTTGGTTATTTCAAATTAGCTCAAATATGCCTCTTATTAAAAGAGTGTTTACATTCGATTGTTATTTTAGAGAACCTCATCCATTTAAGATCTCCTATACAAATTCAACAGGAAAAGTTCTTAATTTAAATATAGTCTCTTCCTCATATTTATTTAAGGTTTTTCAATCTCAAGTTAAAATTCCTATAGCTGGAAAAATTGAAATAGAAGTTGCTTTTATGAAAGCTGAAGAATATCCTAGATAAGATTTTAATGTGATTGAAAAACAAAGGGAAGTTCAACTTTTTATTTACGAAATTAAAAATAACATTTTTGAATGCTACTTATTTTAATTCAATTTATATGACAAAGAAAATGATTTTGATCAACTTTCCCTTCCACCTACTGATCAATTACGAACAAGACCTTTTTCAATTTAACCTAAAAAATGAAATAAAATTTGATTTTGTTTTTTTACATAAATTATTATTTATATAAATTTGATTTTTATAATGGAATTCAATTCTACTGGCATAGCTATTTAACCTCATTAAACCATAAAAAAAGAAGTTTGGACTTAATTTGTTTGTGAATTTCCTAGATGTTCAAACGAATACAAATTATCTGAAAATCAAAAAGATAAATATAAATTTTTATCAGCTTTAATGATCGCTAGCATTTTTGATTAATTAATAAGTTGGCAATAATTAAAAAAGCTTTACGATATATATGAGTTTTTGGGAAAGATTGCTAATGATAGAGTCTAGCAATAGCCAATGAAACAACACATTTTAAATTTAATGAAATCATTTAATACTATTTTATAGAATTTATAACCTTTTGATTTTAGAAAAATTGAGAATCATTAATAACATCATAACAAAATATAAATAGTTAAAGAATATTTATAAAAATAAAGAAAATATATTTATTCTCTTTTAGATAATGAAGAAGGAATCAATAATCTATATAAACTATCAAGAGGAATAGCTTTGAGTTTATATTTAATGCCTGACTATGAAAAAATCACACCTTAAACAGGATATTTTAAATCTTTGAGTAAGGAAGAAATTATTAAAAAATTATGTAGTGATGATTTTGAAATTAATCCAAAAAATCCTTTCATTTTAGAAGATTATGAAGTCATAGCTATTTCACATTTATTTAGTTTTCCTATACATTTTTTTATGAATTAATTTGAACCATAAAACAATTGTCTATTAAAAAGAAGAATTCATTAACCAGAAAGCGAAGAAAAAATGATTGCTTTCTTATATAATATTCAATAGAATAATTTTACTATTAGAGTGTTATAATCAACTTAAGATATTATATACATCTAAAATATAATTAATCAAAAAAAAAAATTATTCCAAACTAATTAACCTAAGGCAGTTGTAGAACAATTGCTATTAATAATTAAAAATATCCTATCACAAGCTATAATTGATTTTTCAAATCTAAATAAATTTTGGATTATTAAAATGTTATAGATCATAAAAGAAGGAGAAAAATAGTCGCTTGTTGCTAATAAATAAGCAATAAAAATTGATGATCAATTTAAAAGAGAAACTTTAAATTTATTTTAGAATTTAAACCTTGATACCAAATTCTATGAAGAATTTTTAATGATATCAGAAGCAAACTTATAAAAAATAGAAGAGGTCATGGAAAATATAATCATCTCTTAAGTAACAATAATTAGAAATGAAATAACAGAAAAAGTTAATAATTAAAAGAGACCATAAACATCGTCTACATATAGCAGTCAGATAACTTCATATGATAAAGCTTCAGTTCCATTTTAATCTTAAGTAAATTAGACTCCAAACTACTTTTAATAATAAAAAAAGTTAAATTTAGCGAGTAGATTGATACCAAAATAATTAGATAATGATTTACCAGAAAATTCTGATTCTAGTGAAAAAGAATTAAAATAAAAGAATAATGTTCAAACTAATAATATTTAAAATATACCAGTACTCTGCAAAGATTATGATACTGATAATGAAGCTCAAATTAAATAGAATGATGATAAACCATAACCTTAAGTAGACAATCCCATTTAATAATAATGTCCTTCTGATGAACATGTTCAAATTAGATAACCAAAATATAAAAATAATGAAAATAAATTTAGAAGTGAAATTATGTCCTAAATTGTAACTTCAAAATCAAATAAAAATGTAAAATCTGAAAAAAAAAGATAAAAAAGTGTAGAGAATATAGATTTGGAAATAAAGTTGAAATTATAAAATGATTATCTTGTATCTAATTAGAATAGAGGATCTATTTTAAAAGCTCAATCTGACATAAATGTTATATAATAAAAAAAACAAAACGATAGCTTAGATTTTGAGCCAAAAAAATAAATTATAAATTAATAGAATAAAATGAATAATTCTATTATCATGGGATAAAATGTAACGTATGAATTAAAAGATACAAAGAATAAATTAGATTAAAGTCATATATCAGAAGTATTAAATGAATCAAAAAGTGAAATTAGTATAATTTAGAAATGGTTTTGTCCTATTTGTTTCATGGAAATCGATAAACCAGATCTCATTAGAAATTTACATAATGATCATTATGTTTGTAAATTTTGTTTAGAAGATTGGATAAAAGTATAATATATAATAATAATTAAAGGTTAAATTTAATGCTGGACAATGGAATTTTAAATTTTTTAAATGCCCAATATAACTAATAGAAAGAGATGCAATGAAACCCTGTGAACATGTAATTGATTAATAAGAAATTAAAAATGCATTAACTACTGAGGAATTTAGTAAATTAACAGATAGAGCAATGAAACATGGGATTATTGATATTCTTTGTCCAAATTTATCTTGTTAAGCTAGTATAAAAGGAATGCCTCCATAGGATTTAAATGGATTTTTATGTCCAAAATGTAATCATAAAATTTGTTGGGTTTGCAAGTAAATTTATAAATGAATTATAAATAATAGAAATTCTGATCATGGTGATTCAAGTTGTCCATAAAGATTAGATGAAATAAAAGCAGCTTTATAAGATGAAAGAGTTAGTTGTTGTCCTATTTGTTTAGAAATATATATGAAAAATGATGGTTGTGAACATGTCTCTTGTACTAATTGCTTAATAGAATTTTGTTTTTCTTGTAGTGCTCATAGACCTCCTATCATAGGACATGGTTATTATGTTATTATTAATATTAGGAGCTCATTATCATAGAGTTGGTTGTTAATATAGATAACCATGGTGGGATCAAAATAAATAAATAGAAAATTTGGATGAAGAATATGATCCAAATGGATGTGAATATTGCTAAAAAAATTAAAAACCATGTTCTCGTCCTATGAGTTTGGCTGATTTTAAGAATTTAGCTCATTTAAACTTTTGATTTAATTAAAAGTGATAATCATTTCTGATTTCTTAATTTAGTAAAATATACATATTTTTCTATATCCAAATTTATTTGGGTTTATAAAAAGTAATAGTTTGTTAGATTAGTTTATTTATTATAATCATTAGTATATTTTCAATACAGATGTTATGGGATTTCTACAAATCAGACAATCCTTCTTTATTAAATCTTTACAATTTTCACAATAAATATAATGTCCACATGGTATTGCTACATATTCTTTATCTTTTTCAAAACATATTTAACATTTTTTATCATCATTTATTGCTTTAGTTAAATTAGTTTATTATGTAATCTTCATTTCTATTTTCCATAAGAGTTATTTTATTTCTTTGTTTTAAGGATGCTCTTGTAATTCTTCTTGTAGTGTAAATAATTTATCTAGATTTCGTTCAATGTTTTTCAGATTCTTTTCTGATGGCTGAAGTACTTTGATATTTTCAACTATTGCATTTTTAGTTGATAAAAGTAGATTTGTAGATATTTCTGATTAGGTTTACTATACTTAAACCTATTAATTCTTATCATCCATTTAAGATAAAACATTCATTATTCTTTTTTTATACTGATCTAATTTGATACTCTGTTCAGATTTGACTGTTTATGTAGCAAAAGTTTTGCTGATGTCCTTTTTTAATTTATCAATACTTGTTTGGGAATATTAAGTCTGATTATTTTATTTCATTTATAATAAATATTTAAATTTCTATTTTTTTATTCATCTAACATTGTTGGTTGTATAATTATAGATATATCCATAATATATAAACTCAAACTCATTAATTTTCATCTTTAGAATATTGCTACTTAAGTTATTCTATTTCTTATTTTAATTTTTGATTTTCATCAATAAGCTATTAGGATTTTAGATTCCAATTCTATTATAAAATTATAATAAAAAACCTTTGAAAAATCATCTAATTATGCAAATGACTAAACAGAAAGAATATTGAGTTATTTCAACAAATCTTATCTAATTTGATCTTATTCTTCTAATTTTTAAACATTCATATGAGATTACTATTTGTTTTCTTCTATTTATTAGATCAAATTCTACAATAGACATAGATTTACATTTAATTTTTCAGTATTTTATATACTCTTTTTTTTAGAGTCTTATTATGCAGAATACATTTCATATGTTGGAAGAGTTATCAACAATGCATAGATAAGGATTTCATAAAAGAATTCAACTCCCTTACAAACTAATTAATTTTGATTACTTTTTCTAACGCCACTTCATCATTTAAAGGCTTAAAGAAAAAATCACTACTTTTTTTATCAATACCCATAAATTTGCTATCTATTTTTTACTATATTTCAGAATTTCATTACATCCCATCGATGTTAAAAGTTTCCTAAACGAACATAAAATTTCTTAATCCAATTAGTATGTCCTGATTAGGCTTTCTTTAAATGTGCAGCCTTTGTTCTTGCAATTACAGGTCTTGCAAAAACTCTGACAACCAATGAGAATACTTTGAATAAAGGCAACATTGTTATTAACTATAATTATAGATAAATAAATTAATAATCAATTAGCATGGTTGAATAGTTTCGTTCGAAAAGCTATAAAGAATTAAAATAATTTATACTTTTTGAAGGTGGAGGAGAATTACTAAAAACTACTTATCTTTCATTTGAAAGTAACCTGGAACGTTCCGTAGTGCTTACTGTAAATGAAGATTAGTGATCATGAGATAAATCCCCTATTACATAGCCATATTCTCGAATAAAGTTCAAGAATTTTTGATCTATTGGTTTTAAAAGTTTTATTTAGATTATATCGCTTTTATTTTTTGGACTTCTCTCTTGTTCTTAATATGTAGTTGAGTTTATTTTAGAAAAAGATTAATCTAACTCTAAACCTGAAAACAATCTTTTTTAAAGAGAAAGATCTTATTTAGATTGCTATGATGAAGATCTTTAATCTAAATTTGATTTAGTAGAGTTTTAAAACATCTTAATTTAAATTCCCTTTTCCACATCTTCAATTTACATTCCTCTTGTATTTCTTTGTTAAAGATTATAAATTTATTAAACTTATTGAATATTTTGATTTCCTTGATTAACTGGATTCTTCACAGGTTTTATATCATATTCCTATAATGTTTTTTATTAAATTTTATTAGATGTTGCAAATCTCTGTTAGTACATTATTTTATTTATCTGAAATAATATATTAAAAAATTTAATATTGTTAAAATTGTAAACTTACTTATAAAATATTAATATAATGAAACTATTCCATAAATAATCTGAATTATCTTACATATTTTTATGAAATATTATAATTTAAAGAATTCTAAAAGTATCTATACAAATTTTATCAAAAAAAAGAGATATTTATTGTATAATTTTTTTACAAACAAATACCTATGTATAATGCTTAAAAATAAATAAATTTAATCTAAAATGATTCGTAATATTTTGAAATTCAGATTCTCAACTGCATCATTAAATGAGGAACCAAAAAAGAAATTAAGCTTGTTCAAACTAATTGTCGGTGGAGCTATTGGAGTTTATGGCTATGATTTAGGTAGAAAATATCGTGAATATTTAACAAACACGTTTCTAACAAAGGAATAAATTAATGAATTAGTGTTAAAAAATATAACTAAAACAAAAGATTAACAATTGATAGCTCATCCAATAAATAGTGTCAATAATATAAAGAATAAAGAAAAGGTAATTGTAATAGGAGGAGGTAATATTAAAATAAAAAATTAGGAATAATTGGAATCTCGTAAGCATTAAAACTATTAAGAATGGGATATAATGTAACAATAATAGAATAAGCAAATACTGTTGCATCAGAGTGTAGTGCATTTAATGGGAACGTTTTTAATCCAATGTACTTTTTACCATTAGTCACTAGAGTAAATATTTACGTATAAAATTTAGGATAACTTAATTTATATGATAAAGAATATTTTTGAATAGCCAGAGTTGACTACTGTTAGATTTAATATGAATGCTTTTTTAGAAAATAATTTTATTTAATGGGGATTAAATAGTTTATTATTGAGTATGACAGAGTATCAAATTTTAATAATAAAATTAGTAATGCTTAAATAGAGAATTCAAGAAAGTAATTGAGAATTGGATCTTTAACATTGTAGGATATTGATAAATTAAAGCCTTCAGGTTTATTTAAAGGACATTTGGTAGCAAAAGGACAATTAGGATTTTTTGCTACAGATTAAAAAGTTAATGCTTATAGAGATAGGTTAACGTTATTAGGAATACCACATATTAAAGTTGATTCATTTGAATAAATAGAATAATTTACAAAATCAAATTTAAAAACAGAATCAAATTTAAAATTATTCAATAGATTTAACAAAGCATTAATCTTAACTACTGAATCAAATTTAGAAACAAGAGAATTAACATAAACTATGCTTAGGTATTGTTAAGAAAACTTTCCAAACTAATTTGCAATAGCATTTTCTACATCAGCTTAAAATTTTGTATTAGATACAGATAAAAATGTAAAAGGAATATAAACAAATAAAGGGTATAAAAATAATAAAAATAATGTAGAATTGTATTGGGTGATAGTTTTGTAATTTGTTTAGCACATAAGAGTAAACAGTTAGCACATAAATTAAGATTAAATCTTCCAATAATTCCAGCTAAAGGTTGGGCAATGGGAAGATCTGCTCCAGAAAATTTTAATTAAACTTTAGTAAAAGAATTTACATTAAATACACCAAATTATTTTGCTACAAATTTAAATGGACATTTAAGATTAGCAGGATGTGCAGAAGTTTGTAATGATACTCCATCAACAGATGCAAGTAAAGAATGGGGAGCTATATAAATATTAAATAGATTTAATGAATAAAATGGATTTGATTTTAAAATGAGTGATTTTACTGTAAGGAGCTGTTTTAGACCATTGACACCTGATGATGTTGCGATAATTAGTGAAGTACCTGGATTTAAAAATGTATTTATTAATGCAGGACATGGATCAAGAGGAATGAGTTATTGTTTTGGTGCAGCTGATATTATGAGCTAAGTTATGGAAGGATCCAAAGAGTTTGAAGACTACAGTGTGAAGAGGTATTATTTTATATGATTTATTAATAAATATTCGTTAAATTATGCAAAAAAAGAAAGGACATTCTAAGAATCTATCTAAATAAGCTGTTGATCTTATTAATTACTATAATAACTTAAAGACATCTATAACTAATGAATGTGCTATCATGAATCTAAATAAAAAAATATCATTATATATTGTTGATCAACGTAATATTGTTTCTAATTCTAATTATAGCTATTGCTGAAGAGGATGTAGAAGATTCTCCTATTTCACTTAAAAGAAATTGCTCAAAGACTCAACATATCAATATCAATATTTATTCCTAAGCTTATGATTTAGATGAAGAATTATAATAGGATGTAAAATAATTAAAATAAACCTTGAATTAAAGTATTCATCTTTTATTAAAATTAGGAATTACATAATTAAAAAGCATTATTAATCAATCAGAAAAAATGAAGAACAACAAAAATTATAATAATAAAGAAAATTAAAGCTAAAATAATCAAAATACTGCTAATAAAATTTCGATTAGAAAGAGAGTTTGAAAAAAAAATATTTGTTTCAATTTTATTACTTTTCTTATAAAAAAATCAAATTATTTTAAGAAATTTAATCTCTTCTTTATATAATGCAAAAAAAAAGTTAATATATAAATAGAATATTTATTTTTCAATATAATTATATCAATCTTATCAATGATTATAATTCTAATGATAAAAAATTCCTATTTAATAGTGTTTTGCTTATTAAAGAAGACTAATCTGATTTAAATTCTTATTTTAATTAATAATCTAAACATCACAACTATTTTTTCTGAATTAATATAAATTAACTTAACTAAATATTCAGAAAATTTTACAGATCCAATGCTTCACATAAAATCTTAATTATATCATGATTTGTATTACATTCTTTTTACCAAGTCATGATTTCTTCATACAAATCTGTATTCACAGAATTAAAAATCATTAATCTCTTTAATTAAAAAATCTCATTTACATAATTACGAAATATTATTATCGCACAAATATAAAATTTTTTGTTACTTTTAGAGAAATACCATATTAACTTTTCAGGATTTTTAAGAAGTTCTTTAAAAATTTTTGTAAAATAACATTTAATTTCTATTTCTTATTGAGTTTAAATTAAAGATTGGCCATTAACAAATAAGTTTAAGTTTATCTCTTTTGTCATTTAAATAAAATCATTCATTTTTTAACTTTTAGTTTAACTTTCTAATAAAATCTTTAAATATTAAAACAAAAAGGAAGTGTAAAAACTATTTCCATCTCCTCTTACTCTTAAATACCCCTTAATCCTTGATAAATTATTTCCACAATCTAAATTTTATATTCCATACTCTTTTTAAAAAGCGAATATATCTTCAGGATAATTTACATAGTTTAATTCAATCTATTCAGCGCCAGATATGAATTCTAAATTATTAATAAAAAAATCTAAAACATCTTGCTAAATCACCTTTGAATTAAAATTATTTTATTAATTTATAGATTATTTATTTAATAATTATTGTTCAAAATGAACATGATTTTTAAAATGAATATTTTAAGTAAATTCTTTCCCATTTTTAATCCATTCTTTTAAGTCATTTATCATCTTCTAAAATTTATATGTTAAATCTATTTTTTGTAATTCATTTTCTAATTCTTCCCTTAATTAATTTTCCTCAAAGTATGAATTAACAATACTTTTATAGAAATTATCAACCTCTTCTATAATTTATTCCAACTTTTTTATTAGCATCACTAACATTAATTTATGAATTCTATACTAATAATAAATATAAATATTTTTCCTCTTATTAATAAATCATATTTTTGGTATATTTTACATTAAACTATGATTATCCTAAAGTTTATAAAACTATTATAAATGATTAAAATTTTTAGTAGTTTGAAATCATATTTATGGAATGCTTTCTAAAAAAAATTTATTTTTTGTTTAAACTATCAAAATATGTGAAGCTCACATTAGATATTTCATTTATATTACCTAATATACTTTTCTTTCATAAACATAATTGTTTTGTATTTCAATCAATCTAGTTTTTAATTAAATGAAATTTTTTAATGATATCAAATTGAAGTTTCGGGAAGAAGAGTTGGAATAGAAATACTAGATAGAAAAAGCTAATCAAATTAAAAAACCTGTATTTTTATTTATACTTTTCCTTTCTTTCTGTTCTAATACAACAGTATTAGCGCTTCATTTTTTTGATAAACCTTTAGAAACTTGGTATATAAATATGATATTTACTGTTTTGGCAGTAATTTAAGTAATATTTATTCTGATACTGAAACAGCATCAATATATTCAAATTGCATTAACGTTTAGCAGCATTTCAATAGGAATTTTATAACTCAATGTTGACCCTTTAAATACTACTCAAAATGAATTTTATGCTTATGGAAGTCTATTTATGTTATTTTAAGCAGTGCTTTTTATGATTTCTAATTTCAATCATGCTTTTATTTAGGTAATCTGTAGTCTCGCTATAAGAACATCAATTACTACAGTTTATTCCAATAGACCTGATTATTTATCCATATTTGTTGGGCTATTTGGTTGTATTTTAATACTTATTACTATATATGTAAATGATAAAAATGCTAGAAGATACTACATACAAAATTTGAAGGAGAACAATCTATAAAAATTAGAGAAATTTTTGTTTAGCAAGCCTTATCTTAAAATATAATTTTATGAAGATTAATAAATTTTTTAATTACTAATTTAAAATCAAATACGCAAATTTCCAGGTTATAATTAATAGCAATGCCATGGATGTAATACTAGAAATATGTTAAGAAATTATGTTTCGGAAAATGGAATATTAGAGTAAATTTTATTAAATCAGCCTGATCAATTAAAGTTTGGTTGTATTTTAATGGTTAAATGTGAAAAAATTAAATTCTTAATTAAGTTGTGTCTTATTGATCCTTAATATCGTTAATATCTTATAATATTTCAAGAATACTAACATAAAATTGTAAGGGTTCTATAATAGGAATAAGAATAAAGATAATTATCAGAATTTTTAAAACAAAATCAACTTTACTATCACTAAAAAATATTTAATCTAGGAGCTTTTAGTGTTTTACTTTTAAATAAATAAGTTATAAAAAGATTTGAATTCAAATCACTTTTATAGAAAATAGTAAGGATATACTAATCCAGATTTTTTCCAAATATTGAAATCGAAATTCAAGCAAAAGATATATAACTATATATTTGTTAATATCTAAATTAATTAAGAATATTTTTAATTTAGATATTTGAAATAATTTCTGAAATCTCTTTATAGGATAAAGAGAAAATTAACATAACTGTTAATCAAAATCTTAATAACATTGAACTTAAGATAGAAGGATTGAATCAAAAACTCTTTTAATAAAAGTTTATAGAAAATTTTTTTGTTAATAAAATTAAATGCTTATTATTAGATGATTGCCAATTTTGTGAAACTTAATCAATCTTCCTGTTTATAAATTACCCTTTAGGGACATACTATTATAAGAATTAATGAAACAATGATTTTGAATTTAGAATTTTAAAAAAGCAAAATTATATTTAATTTAAAACTGCTTTGTTATCAAATATTAATTTTTTGCATATAAAATATATTTATATATCTGATCAGACTCTATCCTAAATTATTTCAAATAATAAAATTTGATGATGTATCCAATTAAATTAGACTTTAAAATTATCGATAATATATATGAAATATAATGCATACAGTTTAAATTATTACTATTTTATTTGAGGAATATTAATTTAAAAAATTAAAATAAAATTTTCTCTGGAGTTTAGATCGAAGGAATATTTTTAGAGATAGATCAATATGGAATTTGATAGGAATATTTTAAGAAGGATAAATGATTGATATTCACTTATTCTATTCACATTATTTGAATAGCATTCTAATCGTTAAATTCTTTCAAATATGAATTATATAAAAAAATAATTTTAATTCAATTCTTAATAGAAATATATTTTTCTTTCTTACTTTATGTTAGGAGAAATATAATTAAGAATTTAAATATGTTTTTTCAAAATAATATGTCTAATGTGTTAAATCATCAATTAACATTTATTGATTGATTTGAAATTTTAACTCTAATATCCATATCTATTATTTGCTTCAAACAACTGATTGCAAAGTTTGGATTTCCTTCTTTTAAGTATTGACAAAACTATTCTACTAAATTGATTTTATCTTATTCATTTTTCACTTCGAATGGTTCATATTTTTACTAAATAATATATAGTAGCATAATACTTATTATTATTGTTGTATATTATGATTAAAATTTGCATGATTGAAAGTGTTGGGGTTGGGTTTGGGTTGACTAATGGGTTGGGGTTGACCAAAGGGGTTGGGTTGACTAAAGGTGGGGTTGGGGTTGAATTTTGGTTTAAAGTTATCATTATTAATGTTTTAATATTGTCCTTAATCTCCTGTTTGTGTTATGTTAGGTTAGTTTTTTGTAATATTTGGGCCAGTGTTATTTGTTGGATTGCTATTAAGTTAAGATATATTTTACTTTATTTAAGGCTTAGGTGATGGTTGAAATTAAAAGGTGACAGGTTTTATTAGTTGATCATGTTATTGTTAAAATTCTTTTTGTGTGTAAAATTTTGTAGCCGCTTAATTTGGAATAAATTATTAACCTGTCCCAGGTTATTGAACTTGTTGTTTGTTTGTAAATTGTTAAAACTGTTAATTCTATTAATTCATAAATAATATTAAAATTTGTTTTATAAATATTGGGTATTTATGATAAAAAAATAATGTCATTAATAGATTTAAAAGACATTAAATTGAAAAAAAGTTTTTCCTACTTTAACCTTAAAATATGATTAAGGACCAGACTATCAATGATAAATATTAAGTGAAATAAAAATAGATATTCATGAAAAATAAAAATGCTTAATCATTTGTAAAAATGGGATAGTTACAATTTTCAAAATTAAAAAAAGTAAATTATCTTTCTTGTTTGAATATTCCATTTTAATTTTTTAAATGGAGTGTTTAAACACAATAATTTAAGTATATTTTAACTACTAGTATATTAGAAAAGGAAGTGAAATATTATGGAAAAAAAAATGAAGGAATATAATACTGACATCTCTATAAAGGTATAGATTATCATTAATGATAGTAGATTAAGAGTGGAATAAATAGAGCTTAATTTTATGAAAGAATATGGGGAAAATAATTTGACTAATATATAATAATAGGTAAAATCGGAATATTATTGTTTAAATGAGAATTTAGTTAAAAAAGGGAATGACAAAAATAAAATACTATTTATAAATGTTTAGTAATTTTAAAAACGAAAAATGATACGAGAATAATATCTTTACATTTAAAAATTAGTAAGTTTTTAAAGGAGAATTTCACAATAATTAAATGATAAATATAATATAGAGATTAAGAGGTTATACAAAGACATTTTATATATAAATTTGAAGATTTAAGAAAATTAAAAAAAGAGAAAAAAATAAATTAAATAAAATGAAGGAGAATTGAAAATAGATTAAACAATAGATTTGAGAAAATGAAAATAAAAAAGCTTAAAATAGTTTTAGATTAGGGAAAACAATGTATTTTTAGAAAAATGTGAATGAATATAAAGTTTAGTTAATATAATTTATATAATGAAATAACAATAACAACTTAAAGGAATACCAAACATTAAATCTCAATATTATGTAGCAGCTCAAGCTTTGAATTCTTAATTATCATCTAAGATAAGCAAGACTAAATCAAGTTACATAGATGATTCTAATAAAAGTACATATAAAAATCAAAATAATTTAGTCAAAGATTACTCCTATTTTTAATTATCAACACAGAAAACATAACCAAAATATACAGCCAAGAGAGTAAACGTAAGTCTTGAACAACCAAAACCAGAGGATTCATCAATTTTACCTCCATTGAGAAAAGAAATCTTGAGATCAAGATAATCACAACCTACTGTCGTAAAAAGTAAGTAATAGTAAAGAAACAATTCACCTCTTCTTCCATTAGAGAGTATTCCTGTAATAGAACCATCAAAAATTTCGCAAAAAAATATAGGGATAATATCAGCATATGCTGCAAATACTCACTAAGGTCTAGTTAGATAATATAACGAAGACAGAGTTTCTATAATTTTAAATTTAATGAGACCGAATTCCAATACAAATTCAGGATATTGGCCATAAAGTTCATTTTTTGCAGTTTATGACGGTCATGGAGGGCCATAGTGTGCAGATTTTATGAGAGACAATTTACATTAATATGTACAAAAATAATATAATATGAAATAGATTATCAAAGAGGATTGTTTTCCTAATAATCCTAAATTAGCTATTGAAAGAGGAGTTTTAAAAGCAGAGAAAACCTATTTAGAAATGGCTGATTAAAAGGTTTTAGATAAATCTGGATGTTGTGCAGTTTTTGCACTATTTGTTGATAATAATTGTTATATTGCAAATATAGGTGATTCTAGAGCAATAATCTCTCATAGTGGAAAAGGTAAATCAATAACAGTTGATCATAAACCTTCAACATAAGAAGAATAATAAAGAATAACTAAATTTGGAGGATAAATTTATTAAACTTAACTTTAATAATTAAACGGTGAAATTTAATTAGGACCTCATAGAGTTTTACCTGGTAGATTAGCTGTTTCAAGAACATTTGGAGATGCTGAAGCTAAATTAACTAAATATGGAGGAATTCCTAATGTTATATCCTCTGAACCAGATATCTTTTAGTTATAAATTACTGATTAAGATTTTCTAATATTAGCATGTAATTTATTCATTTGATTAAGGTGATGGTATTTATGATAAAATGAATACCGAAGAAGTTATTTAATGTGCTTGGAATGTATAAACATCTAATATTCATATTTTTGGAGGAAAAGCTGTAGAAGCAATTATGAAAATGTCATTACAAAGAAAAACTTTCGATAATATAACAGCAGTTTTTATTGGTTTTCCTTAACTAGAAAAAAAGTTAAAAAATAAATCATAAATTTAACAATGATACTGTATTTCAATTCATTATCTTTGGTTACAAATTTTTATTTATATATTTTTCAATATATTTTGGTTTGAGTTAAGTTCTCAAACGAAATTGTTTTTCTTGATTACAATTTTATTTATTTTATCGAATTAACATTCCTAAATTCTTTTTTATTATTATTAAACAGTATCGATATATTGTTTTTAACCGATACTATTTTAAAACTTGATTAACATTCCATTCTGGATCAAAGTAAATGTAATTTTAAATTTCATCAATATCAAAATTTTAGTTCACTTCTTAATTAAAATTTTATATCTTAACCATCTTTTAAGATATAATTCTTTTTCTTTCTTGCATAATCTAATAATATTAAATTAATTATTATTTATAAATAGTTCTTTATTTTTTAGAACAAAGTCTAACGAACTTTTTCTTTTTCTTTTTCAATTTTAATGAGACATAATGAAATAATAAACAATTTTTAATAACATGACCTTTTAGATTGCAACCATAACATTCAATATCTAAATCTAAATAAATGTTATTTTCTAGTTTATTTTTAATCATATGGAATTTCTAGAATTATTCATAATTCAGCTATTATAAGAATTATTATCTAGATAATTTGATTAAATTGGTAGTTTCAGTTGTTATGAGTTCTGCAGTTCTAGGAATATTGGAAAAGAAATTAATAGTACCAAAACATTAATCTGCAAATCCAAGATGATTATTATTAGCAGTAACAGAGACTTTTCCTTGAACAATGTAATAGATATGATGTTCATCATAAATTTAAGTCTCAGGAGGGAGAACTAAAAATAATTATATAAAATACTATATTCATTAAGTTTGATAGCTCTTGACATAGTAACAGGAAGTGTTTTAAAGAATCTTAAATTCATTTGAGTAATAACTTGATTTCTTAATTCTTCAGAAAGATCACAAATAATTAATGAAGATCTAACTTCATAATCATTTTCTACTACCCATTCTAAATAATTTTGAATTTTAAGTCTTAATTAAGTTGAGCAAACATGTGTTTTAGTATATTTATTGATGATTTATTATTTCATGATTAATTCTGTCAATTATGGATCTTCATATTAAAATATAGAAATCATGCTATTTGCTGTATATCCAAAAACACCAGAAGCTAAAATCATAGCAAATATAGCATAAATCTATTCTTCTACTGATTATGGATGTACATCACCATATCCGACAGTTATCATAGTAGTAATTCTGAAATATTGATTTTGATATTTACGTGAAATAAAATGATGTTAAGTAATCATAATCATCTTCATTAATAAAATTGAATATGCAAGCACTCCAATGAGCTAAAACAACTATGATAAATGTCAATTTTATAAACTCAATGAATGACTAGAACTCATTTCCAAGAAAAGTTTCTAATCTTCTTATGAGAAGTTTTAGTTTAACAGCTTTAATCATTTTGATGACTTTCAGAAATTTAAAGAATCTTAACATTCTAATTATTTACACATTGCCTCCCTATCATAATAGTCAAATTTACTTCAACAAAATAATCATATGGTAATGAACTAATTAGATCAAGCCAAAACCAGAATTTAATATAATTACAGAAGATTATTGATCTTTTTTAAATTAGTTTTCCATTGATATATATAGCACAATTAAATTGAACCAGGATATCTACTAAAAAGAATTCATCCATAATTTGCATAAATATTGATGTGTTTTGATCGATATCCTCAAAAGATAAAACAAGAGGTATCAACATCATTTGAGTTACAATAAATAACATTGAAATAATATCCCAACTCAATCTAAAAGGATGATTAGGTTGCCATGGTTGCAAAAACATATTTGATTTAGCTTTTTACTAAGTTTCTATTTCATTTTTTTTTAGAAAAGTGTGAAAATCATGTATGTAATCTTCTCTTAATTATTTTTCAATATTCATATTATATTTATAGTTTCATAACATAAATCAAATATAAATCAACATCATAAATAAGAATGCAATTAATTTTATGATCAAGCTTTCACATTCAGTACTATTTAAATCATAATCAACTTATGCCAATTAATATTACACAGTAGCCATAACCTAGGTTGGTGTTATGAATTAATTACTAAAGGAGCATTGATATACCCAAAGAAAATGATTATAATTAAATAGTATCTGATATGTTATATCCAATAGGTAATAATTAATGAACATAAAAGGATAAGAAAAAGTTAGTAGCTACAAAAAGATTTTAAGAATAAGTCGAATTAGTCTACATTCATGACCAGCTATCTTACAGTATTCTTAAGCCTAACTTAATAATTAGGGTAACTATTAAAAGATTAAAATACATTATAAAAATCACCTTAAATTTATTAATTAAAAAAATTTGCTATTGTAGCAACTCCACTTACTGTATAAACTGAATATGAAGTTGGTAATTAGGGCTAATCAATTTCATTATTCCCACATAACTCATTACTTATTATTCTACATTTACTATTTCAATTATTGATTAATTTAAATCCATAAAAGATTATTATTAAAGCACTACTTAACTTCCAAACAAAAATATGTGGCCTAAATATTAAATCAAAAATTGAATTACTTCATCTTAGCCTAATATTACATGAGGCCAGTTTTCATAAACAAATAAATAACAACTCTTGCTTAACTGCTTCCTTACCTTATATACAAGTTTCCTTAAATTATTCATATCTAATGATGTCATTCGAGAAATTATTCTCATGAGTATTGGATATGGATTATTTTTATGCAGTTTCCACTTTAGAATTTATAAATTCAAATATTAGAGATAATTAGGTGAATATCTCATCTGGATATTTTTTTGATATACCTGGACTTGTCTTTAACTATTTTGGATATTTTTAATTGCCATTTTAATTACATCTTAAATATTTTTGGTCAAAGGATAAAATCTACTTTTTCTATAATACCAAAAATATGTTGTTAATTTGGTGCTTGGAGATCCATAAAACTAAATTTTTTAAATGGAAAAAAAATCTTATTATAAATTTTAAAACATAATCCAACAAACAAAATGATCATTAAGCTTATTTTTTTTTCATTTTTAACTAGAAAAATCAATTCTATATTCAACAAAAAAAAAATAAAATTTATAAGATAGAATTATATTATTATTCCTAATTCTTCATTGTACTTTAAAAATAGTTTTAGAGAAAGTTTTTTTAAGCTAATTATCTTTAGATTAAGGCAGCATTCAATTTAAATTTTGATTCTTAAAATAATGAAAAATTGCTATAAAATAAAAATGTCAAAAATATAATAAATTTAGTATATAAATATATTTTTTCCTATTTTATTACAAGTTCAATCTGTAAGTTATTTTTAAAATGCTTTGAATATTATGAAAGACTAAAATAAAGTTATTAATATTTAAGTTTTATTAATTTATTTATACAAGACTTATTTGTCAAAAGAATGTACTAATTTAGATCTTCCATTTATTATGAACCTAGTGACAGTGGTAGTGTAAAGTCAGTTTAGGTGGGAAATGCCAAACAAGATTAAGTTAGATATCTTACAGATTAATTATAAGCAGTGATTATGTTTAACGAAAAGTTAGAAAAAGAAATTAACACTTTGAAACAATAAAATCAACAATTAAAATAAACAGTTGTGGATAAAGATAAATAAATTCAAGAGACTCAAGAGTCATAATAAAAAACAATTAATAAATTGCAGTAATTTAATTATATAGCATTTTAGTGTTCTATTATCAGAAAACAAAAAATTATAAGAGATCGTGATTTCTACTAATAAAAACCTAAAAAATTCCAATACTAAAGTTTAGTAACTTTAACAAGAAAATAATGTTTTAAAATAAACTATGCAATAGTAGGAAGAATATCATGTTGAAGAAATGAAAAAAAGAGCAAATGAATTAGAAGAACATTATTAATTGATGCAAAATATTGTTTCTGATCTAACTTAATAAGTTTCACAACTATGTGAGGAAAAATAAAGACTATAGAATGAATTAGATGAAAAAAATAGATTATAGTAAAAATGAAATGTTTATTATTTTGATAAAATTGATTAAAAATTAATAACATGTTGTAATTTTAAAACAAAATGCTATTTTACAATTTTTTTTTATAGTTCTTTATTTCATTATTATGAATTCTAGACAAAATGAAATAGGATTTTAATTACAATTACTTTTTTATTATTGAAAAAAAATGAATATTTGTTGGCATTAAATAAAAGAATAAAAGCAAATAGCTTCAAAATTATCGCTAGTCTTATTCATTATAGATAATAATCTAATTTTCTATCAAGTTCTCTAATATTTGTTAAATTAGTTAAATTTAATATTCTTTTAATTTTATCAACTATTCTTTAATAAACTTCTTAATCAACTATTAGACAGGCTCCTTTATGATTCAATTAACCTTTATTACATCTAAAATATTTGCATAATGTGAAGACTATATCCTTAGAAATAAATAGAAAAATTACTTCGTTTAATTATGCTTATTTTTTATGTTCTAAATATGATTATAAAATCTATTTTATAAATTTCCAAACTTCTTTTAAACTTGGATCTGATTAACAGAAATAATCTTAAGGGGCACATTAAATAATTAAGTCTTTTAAGCATCTAATAAATTTTTCGTTTTCTTTAAACTATTATTTGAGTGTTTTAACCCCTTCAATAACCTCTTGATTTAGTAAACTAAAGCTTGAATTAATATTTTTGCTTTCAATAGTTAAATTAAGTTCTTCTGCCAATTGTTTAAATGTTTTTTCAAATTATGTTAAATCACACTTTTCAATTACAGAAATTTGATTATTGATAGAGAGATTATTAAATTCAAGACTTTATTTGAGATCATGAAGTTATTGTCTAAATTAATCAACTTTAGCTAACAAAGCTTTATTTTCTCTTTCTAATTGTGAACACATACAATCTTTTTTAGATTAAAAGTTCTAAGAATTAGCTAATAAAAAATAAGATAATATCTATACAATTGATATAATTTTTATCTTATTTAGTTTTGATAACTTTTTTAAAATCCTTTTGATTTATTTTTAATAGAAATAAATCTTTATTTTTAAGTTAAATTTCTTATCTACATTCCTATAATTATTGTTCATAGATTTCAATTTATCTGATTTATTATTAAATTACTTTATTTTTTTCATTTCTTAGTAAATCTATCTATAAAGTCATGTTTTTTAATGTATTAGTTAATTATTTTTATAGTTCATCGATTAAACTATCTCTAGATTCAATTTTTTTTTATAATTCACTATAAGTTTTGGATGGAGACAATTAGGATTACATAGATAATTCAGTAACTTTTGAAAGATCCACACATTCTTATAATTCATTGATAAAACTACTAAAATAAAAGGTAAATTAGAGATTACTTTTAAGATTTTCTAGTAACAAGAGCATCACAGCTTTCATATCTGAATTTGGGAGATATAAAACCTGGATCATTTTCTTTTTAGGAGATACTATGTTATCGCTTTGTTTTTAAAGGTTATGGTTATGATTAATCAGAATTAATTCCAAAAGTATTTTATGCTTTTGTAAAACAATCATGTTCATATGATTTGGATCTAATATGTCCAGGTATGGATTCTATTTTATTGTTTTAAGATTCATAATTTTAAAGGACATTTATTTCTGGTTATTTAGTGTTATATTAAAACTCTTTCTTTTTCTAAGGAATAAAAGTTACCCTTGTGTCATAATTAGTTTAGAATTAGGCATTCATATTTTGTTATTATTTCAAATTTATTTTACAAATATTTGATCAACTGATATTATATAATTTTTTATTTGATACTCATTAATTTGCTAAGCCTCCAACAAAACAAGCAGCTGTAATTCTAGCTTATGTGTTGATATTCAATTTAATATCACTAAGATCCTTATCAATATTTTCAACATAATCTATAATAAAATTAATAATTCCTTGAACACTATATTTTTCTAAATGAGAATCCAAAATCAAGAAACTTATATCATACCCCTAAATGATAAAGATAGAAACATACTGGAATTGGTTTTCTTCTTAATATTTCAAAATAGTCAGCCCTTACTGCCATATATTTGGCAAATTTTTCACCAATGAGTCTATCAACTTCGTCAAGAGCTTTAATTGAAAAGCTAATCTATATATTTTATAATATAGAATTACTCTTGTTGAATTAATTGAAGGTTCAATAACACATTTTTCTTTTTCACTTCTACATAAATATATAGGTGATAAAACTATAGGTCTTGTTCTTGATGAATAACTAAACAACTAATAAATTGTATATAATTACCCATTCAATTCAATTTCTGGTTTACTTTGCTTTTCTATAATTTCTGATGGAAAAGATCTTAAACATAATGTAGCTTCTAATGTTTTTCTTATAGCATCCGAATAAACTTAAACTGCAGCTGCCATGATTATTATATTTATTAAATTTATAAATATTTAGTATATGATTTATAGTTGATATTTATCAGGTAAAATAGGGATTTAATAGTTTGAATGTGTATCTAAGATATCTAATTAGATTTACATTTGATAACATTCTTGCAGATCTAATCAAAGTTTATTTAAAATAGTATTATAATTATATAAAAGTTAAAAATGGGTTAATCGAAAATAGGCCCATCAAATTCAGATAGGTCTTTTTCATCAAATAAATTTTAATTTGATAGATAATTCACTTTTCATGAACCAGACAATTATGACTTATTAAATAAGGCTTTAAACTTTAGTAATGAAAACTTAATGATTCATGAATGTCTTTTCGTAAATGCTCATCTTTTTTCTAATTGTAAGTTTACTTTAAACTCATTATACAATCTAAAAGATATCAAAAACCTTTTACAAAAAGAAAATAAAATATTGACTTTTTAACATGAATTTGAAAGAATAAGTAAAGATTTTAGATTTAGATCAAATAATATTACTTAAAACACAAGAATTTAAGAAGTTGATTTTAAAGAACTCTATAATTAATCCAATTCTTTTCAAAATTAAAATATACCAATCTTGGATAGTTTTGGAACTAATAATTCATATAATTAAATTCCAAATAGAGGAAGATAAAGTAATCATAGATTTAAAAAATCAGAACAATCCTCTTCTGAAGATTTTACAGATATAGAAAATAAAAGTAAGTCTCCTAGTCCAATTAATAAATCATAAGATAATTTTAAGAAAAGTAATGTAATATTAAAAAAAAATTTTCCTTCAGATACAGATAGTGGATAAGAATAAAAATATATAAATAAAGATAATAGTAGAATTATTAAAGATAAAAAACCACAAAATTTTGATGAGACATCTGTTTAATTTAATAATTATTAATTTGAAATAGATTAAGAAGAATAAGATTTAGTATTTTAAGTGAATTCAGATCTAATGAATTTGAAAAGCAGAATCGAGTAGTAAATTGGGCCTTCATATAAAAATATCCCTAAGTCAGAAATATTTACATCCAACTATTAAAAACTTTTAGAAAAATAAAACAACCAATAAGTAATACAGTTTTACTATTTTATTAGTAAAAATATAATTAGAAAAGCCCCTTAATTGAATTTTAAGGTGAAGAAAAATAATAATTTTAATAGAACTATTCCTCATCCAATAAATAGATTAAATAATAACCATAATAATAATAGAATTTTCTTCAAGAAGATAGACAATTATATTTATAAAATTATTCTTAAAATAACTTTTCTGAAAAAAAAGAGTTGACTAAACCAGATCAATTAAAAGGAGTTTCAATAAAAATTAATTCAAATATGTAATCTCCTAAACAAAGTTTAATTTATAAACCTATAGTATAAAAAGAATTTTAAGTTCATTTGGATAGTTCAAATACTTCAAGTGTTTATAAACCACCTTGGGATGTGAATTAAGTGAAAAAATAATTTCCAAATGAAAGTAATTCCTCTGCTTGCTTTGATGATATATATTCACAAAAAAGAAAACATTAACAATAACAACAATAGCAATAATAACAATAATAATAATAATAGACTCCTAATCATATTAAAATTGACGTAAAATAATTTTAATAGAAGAAAAAATGAATTTTTTGAAATTTCCTTGAAATTATGTTTTAATTTTATAACAATTAAAATTTCTAAATTCTAACTCTTTTAAATTATTTTATTATTATTCTCAAATAAGCTTAATCTTATAAAATGATTCAAATAATTTATAAATTTTTTTATTTTTAAAACAGATAAATTTCTTGTTCAATCAATACTCTCTTAAAAATATATCTACCTTAATTACTTAATTAAATCTAATTCAATAAGAATTTCCCTAATTTTATGCTAAAAATTTTTGTTCCAATTTTTATTTTATATTAGACTTAATTTTTTATAATTATCTGAAATTAACTTTCATATAACCTTATTCAATTAAAAAATTCATATAAAAACTTACAATATAATAAGCTTTTTCTATCTTGATTTCTTTAGTTCTCTATTATCACATTCACATCAAGAAAAAATTTATCAAGAGATTTTATCAAAAACACAATTTTCTATAATAATAATTCTAAACCTTATTTCAGATAAAAAAATAAGAAAAAAAAATAAAAAAAGTCAAGAAACATCATTTCCATTCATCAATAATAAATAAAAGTCACAAAATTGTTTCATATCAATAAATAAAAAGATACAAACAAAAGATAAAAACAATTGCTGAACAACTACCTATTTCAAATATTCCCAAAAAACATTCTTGTTACAATTTTTAAATGATATAAAATCATAATTTCATAGAAAATAGATTTCTTATTATAAAACTTTCAGTAATAATCCCTCTTTTCTATATTTAAAAACCAAAATTTTATTGAACAAAATTTTCAATTATTAACTAAATAATGGGCATCTGTAATTCAAGAAAAAAAATTTAAAATGTTATCAATCCAAATCCTACTTCATATTATTCCTCAAACCCTTCCATTTTATAAAAGATAACCAATACAAAAGAAAGTATTTAATAACCTATTTACAATTCAATTGTTCCTCGTCAACCATAAAATTATGATCCTTCAAGTAAATATTATTCTTATTCAAGATCCTCATAGATAATTTAATGTTCTTATAAACGGGGTGCGGTTTGAAATTATTAACTCAATTGAAGAATGTATTTTTTCAATGGAAAGTCTAGAAGAATGACTAATCACCTAAAACTCAATAAAATATATGATTATATGCCTTAAAATTTATAAACAAGTATAAAAACAAATTTAGATAATGTTTTTTAATTTTAATATAAGAATTTTTATCTATCATCAAATCTCTTTCATTGAATAAGAAATAAAAATAGAATAACTTAAGCACAAATGTATTCTTTATCATGAAAATGTAAAAATTTTAATTTTTTTAAAAATTGTCAAGTTTAAATTGTTAAATTATTTTTCTTTTTATTTATTTTAATTTACTTTTATAAATATTCAGAGATCAGCTACGCTCCTTCTTATCAACCTTTATTTTCCTAATATGCTTTCATCAGCTTATTATTATTATAGCAAAATAATCTAAATATTTTTAATTATTTACTTATGTTTAAAATGATTTTTTAAGGCTCTCTAATTAATATTAATAAGCCTATTCTAATCTTCTTTTCTAATTTTCCATCATTTGATTAAATTACATATTGTTAGTTTAAGAATGTATTTCTAACTTTTCAAGTAAGGCTTCTTATTCTCTTATTGTATTATTTTAAGATTTAATTATTAAATTTTACTTGTAGGTTTCTTCATTGAGTTCATTACACTTCATAGTAAGCTAAAAATTAAAAAATATATTAATACCTATTCAAAAGAATTACGTAGTTGTTAAATTTAGTTTTTTTAGTTATCTAATTGCAATTCATACTGCTGAACAATTAATTCTTAATCTTGTTAAAGAGATTGTTTTTTTAATTAATTTTCATTAATGCTTTATTATTATTAATTCTATAATTTCAATAATTCTAACTTTAATTTTTATATATCCTTATCATTTTAATCAATTATTGATGTTTTTTCTAACAATTCTAATTTTAATAATTAAATTTATGTAAGTTAATTATTTATTTATTCGTTAAGACTTTTTTCTTTTTAAACTAATTCATCTAATTTTACAAGTACTTCTTGCTTTTCTTTTCCATGTTGTTTTAATAATTTTGAATAATAATTTTAAATTTCTTCTATTCGCAATTAATGTTATTCATTTAATAGATCTTCTCTTTGAGGTTGCTCTTCTTTTAGTAAACTAATTTCCTCTTGATATTTTGAGATTAATGAAAGAATTTCTTATGATTCTTTCTTAAGATTTTAAATCTTTAAGTTACTAATTTGTTCTTCTTAATTTAACTGAGCTCGATATTTTTAGTTAGTCTAAATTAAAGATTCTATTTCAGAATTCTTAATTGCAATAATTTCTTTTAACTTGTTAATTTCCTATTCATTTATTTTTTGCACTCCCAATAATCCTTATTTTTGTGTTTCCAATAAACTTTCATATTATTCTTTTGTTTTTGTTCTTATTAATTCTAACTACATTTAATGGTCTTTAAGCAATATTGATTATTTATTTCTAATATTCTCTAACTCAGATCTTAAATGAACACAATCGCAAATCATCTTTTTATGTTAAATAATATATGAAATTAGACTATAAAATTAAATAACAATTTTTTATCTTAAATAACTCTAAAGTTTTTTATTTCAAAGAAGTTTATAAGTTGAATTTACTCATTTATTAATATATTACTTGCTTATGTATAAACAAAGAAATAAAATTTCCATAGTTGATTAGCTTTTTGAAAATCAATATAAAAATTAAAGTATAACAAAAAAAATTTAAGTTTGAACTAAATGAATCATAAGAAAATAGAAATTCACGTTTTAGTTAGTAAATTAAGTTAATAATAATTATTGATCTGTAAAAAATTAATAAAAAATTGAAATAAAATATTAAATAAGAAATAAAATGTATTAGAAATAATGAAATATTTCTTAATAACAACTTCTAACATTTTTATTAAATATCAAATTCTTCTTATGAATGACAAATTTTTGTAAATTTGCTAAATCTAATCCAAATTTATTATAGAAATATCTCTCAGTAGACAAACTTCAATGAAATGTACATGATGTACAATAAAAACTATTTTCTCATAACAAATAAACAGTTAAAACAAAAGCTAATAAGAAAATAATTTATTGATCATTCTTTGAAATTAATTTTTTTTTAATTAACAATAACAATGCCTCACTATATTATTATTGTAAATTTATATAAAATTAATGTAAATTATAAAAATAACGAATTGTTAAATCGATAAACAAGTTGTTGATTTTTGCAGAATAAATGGATTTTTATATAAAACATTTTAGCTGGATAATTAATTTTCTATCAAATCATAATTTTCGAAAGTTGTTTGCATTTTAACTTTTAAACACGTTTCGAATGAATAATTGAATTGTTAAACTTTTTTACAAAATTTGCTGGTAAAATTTGAAAAATGGTTTGAAAAGAATGATATTTATCATTACTTGTATCTCTTTATATTACAACATTTTAATTATTATATTTATTTTAAAGAATGGGAGTTTGTGTTTCTAAAGAAAAGTAAAAGAGAAGCTCTAAATAATCTACAAAGTCTTAATTAAGTCTTTAAAATTTTATGATAACTTAAGATAAACAAACTACTAATTTGTATCAATCAACTAAAATTCATGTAGGAACTTAACCAAAAGAATATGATTATACAAGTATCATAAATATATAAATCTTAGATCCACATAGATAATACAATGTTGTACTAAATGGAGTGGTCTTTGCAGTTGTTAATTCAGTAGAAAGGTCTTTTAATGAAGAGCCAATGAATCATGATATTTGATACATAAATTTTTAAAAAAAAAGAAGAATGTTCTATCATTATTATACATCTTTTCAAATTGATTCAATTTAGAATTCAAATTTTTGCATTATTTTTATCAATTTTATCATTAAAAAGCCACATATTTATTAGTTAGATAATTAACAAATAACAAAATTAAAGACTCTTCTAGAAATTTTCATATTTGGTAAATTTTTCAGGATATTCTTATATTGAAATACACATAATATCATAGTTTATATATCTTTCATAAAAACATTTGCAATATTCCAAAAACACCAATAAAATATCTTGTATTTTCTGTAGAAAAAATGCTTTTTTATGGTTTTTCTTCAAGACATCTTAATTTATTCTCTATTTAATTTAATTATTCCTAATCTCTTATCTTATTTCTTTAAAATATTAATGCTTCTCTTAGTAAGTCTTAATTTGTTTTATTAAAAAAGGAGCAAATTTCTCTTACTATTAGGATTATGGATATTTCTTGAATTTTAATAAATGAGAAGAATTCGAAATAAGTAAAATCAAATAGTGGAATTCTAATCTTAATATATTGAATTACCTAATAATTTCTGTAGTTAATAATAATGATGCTTCTAAGGAAAAAATTACTAAAATAACATAAAGAACAGAATTCATTATCTTTTCATACTTCTCTTAATAAAATAAAGGGAAAAAAATTAAGAATACTCCTAGTTAGAAATTAAATGCATTTATTATATAGGCCTACTAAAAATGCTCTGATCTTAAAAGATTTAAATCATCATCCTAAATGTTATACTTCTCATAGAATAATATTCTTTCATTATTTTTTTCAATCTTTGGGCACTCTATTTGATGACAATTTTAAGGTTTAATTGTTAAAAATGTCATTATTTAAATTCCGATTATTATGGTAAATATGAAAATTCTTAATTGTTTTGAAAGTCCTCTTATAAGAATATTTATTCCAAATGGAAGAAGGGTTAAACAATTTTCAAAATTCTAAACCATTAAATTTAATTGATTATTTATTTATCTTTAAATTTATTGAATCTCTCAGCATTCTTCTTCAATTTTATCAGTTTTAAATGAAGTAGAATGATTAAGAATACACTAATTTCTAGCAAAAATTAAATTTATTTTTTGTATATTAAATTTTCTTTAGAAAAGAATATGCTGGATGATATTTCTAGTTCTAAGAGCATTTTAGAGTAAGATCTTGGGCCTGAAAATTAGTCTCATTTCTTAGAAAAGTATTTTTATGACTTGATTACTGATAATTGTGATCAAATATTAACAAATACTTTGTATAGAACCTTAATAGAGCAAATTTAAGATAAGAAAACTTTAGAAACAATCTTAAGCAGATATATTTAAGAATAAATTGATTTGTAATATCGTTAAAAGATTCATTCCAAATACTTTTTTGCAAAATCAGCTGTTTCTTTTAAAAAATTAATCTAATAATTTAAGCAATTATTAGTTCCAGAAGAAAATGTTAGTCAGACTAGTAGCACATTAAGTTAATCAATTGAAAAAAAAAATAAAGGTGGATTTCTTCAAAATTCAGAATTCATAGAACTCTATGAAAACGAATATTTTAAAGATTTTGGAGAATTAAACAAAGGAGAATTAATCTATATAGATGTTAGGTTTCGTATTACAAATTCATAATTAAAAGAAGAATTATACAAAATAAGATCTCATATCTTAAAATAATTGTTATATTAAACAAGCACTGATGAAAAGTAATTAATATCTTTTGATATAGTTTCTTTTAAACATTTAATGATTATTATAAATAAAAAACAATCACAGTCCTTTTGTTTGTTAATGGAGATATTAATTTTGATTATGAAAAGTATTTTGATTTAAAGGAATTATATGTTGGATAGAAAAAATTCTAAATTAAATTGAAAGTAAGTTCTATATATATTTTAAAGGTTTGTTATATTTCAGCAAATAGACTATATTCTAATTTTTGTATTTAAAACAACATTATAAGTCATACTATCACTTAATAGAATATGGCATTTTATGAATTAAAAAGATATGGATAATGCAAAGTAATTATCAATAAAACTATTGGGGAATTAAGAAAAATGAAATAAAAAGCAAATTATAGTATTTTTAAAGACTATAAATTTTATGTTTTGATTGGAGGAATTGCAACAGTTGGATTATTATGGAATACATTTTCTAAACAGCAGAATAAAAATGTTGGAAAATTATTGAGATAATCATGAATATACTGTTATTAATTTATAATTTTATTTATTTAACTGTTAATAGAATGAATTAACCAAATAATGTTATTTCAGAGAATCTTGTGATTTCATAACCACTTTATGATAATGATTAAGCAGCACAATCTATATATGATAAATATCTAAAAGATTGTTCTTTGATCCCAATTCAATTAATAGAAGAATCTAAGGAAATCTAAGAAAGACCATTTGCAGGAACAAGACAAAGCAGTTAGCAATTATCCAATTAAAGAAATGGACATAATATTTAGGAATTTAGTTCTTTAGAGAGAGAATAAAGACACAGAAATTAATAACAATTTTAGTAGATAAATTATTAATATGATCAGCACTATCAATATTATTAAAATAATTAAATGAGATAGTAACCTTATTAAAATATCTATTATCATCAGAGATAATATAATTAATTATAAAATTATTATTAAGATTAATATTAGTATCATTAAAATAGAAGAAACTAATAAAATTATAGATTGGATTAGGAATATTATGGTAATCGGATGAGAAGATAAGACTAAGGAAGAAGGAGAATACATCATTAACCAAAATATGGATTAGATTAAAACGAAATTGCAGCTTTAAGTGAAATAGTTTATAGATAGAGTAAAGCTTAATGTTGGGATGATGAAAATAAGAAATGCAGTATATGTATTTCTTCTTTTGAGGAAAATGAAAAAATTCGATTTTTACCATGCTTACATAGGTATTATTATTATACTTATTTTTGATTTCATTCAGGATGTGTTGATACTTGGTTATCCAATAAGGGATCATGTCCATTATGTAAAAAGTATGTTAGATCCTTGGTTTAATAATTTTCATGAGATAAAAACTATATATACTATTATTACTTCAACATTATTTATTCTAGGATTATTAAATATTAATAAGGAAAATACAAATACTAAATGGGAAATCATATATTAGAATTATCTTGAAAAAATTTCGTTTTTTGAGAAACAAATTTTCTCTTAACTTTTACTGGAGGCTGCTATTCATCCTCTTCTTTTATAACTTCTGTTGCTATTCTTCCATTTTGAAGATTTATAACCTTAACTCGTTTATAAAATTCAACTTTTCTTAAAACATTTAAGTCATTTATTTATGAATTTTCCGAATCCAATTTGATTAAAGTTTCTAAGTTAGTTTAACTTTAAGTTTAATTCTTTCCTTTTCTGCTAAATCTATTATAAACTTTTATTTATGATTCTTAATTTGGGAAACTCATTTATTCCTCTATCATTTTAATATACATTTGTGATTCTTTTCTTTATTTATTAATTCCTGGCAAAATAATATGAGAATCACTTAAAGAATTTTACTGAGAAAAAATATTATTCAATTAGACTTTGAGTTGATTATGTTTGGATTCTGGCATTAAGTTTAATGGCTTGTTTATTAGTTAAGATGAGTTTGATTAAATTTTTGGAAAATGAATATTAATTTCTTAAATTCTATCAGTCTATGCACCTTATTAGTAAATGGCTTCTGTTTTTAAAGGTACAAATACTTGGCTATCACTTTCTTTAAACTATTCTAGATTATTAAGAAATTAAGCAGGTTTTAAAGATCTTGAAATTTACGGATTAGATTAATGTGTATTTTCAACTTTTATATCAGGTTGTGAAGTTATTTTATGATGCAGAGCCAACATTAATATTAATTAATGTTAGAAAAAAACTTTAAATTTATAATCTTATGATATTATGGGTGAATATATGATGATGAATTTAATTATAATTTCTAATTCTAAAGTTGTATTTGCTGATCTTGATTTAAATATTAAGTTAAAAAAACTCTTTAAAGAACATAATCAGATGATGTAAATAACTTTAAAGAAATCATATTTATTCTTTTTATCAAATAATGAGATATGATTTGTTAAATAAAATTCAAATAAAGTTTATTTATTGATGAGAGTTATTAATGATAATTAAAATAAATTTCAAGAATTTTTACCATTATTTCCTTTACTTGTTTTTTTTTATTTCTAATTTTATGTTTTCTTTATTTTTTTAATTTTTTCTTTAGACATAAAGGATTCATTCCTTTTAGCAGATATGTAGATTTTAATACCTATTTCCATCATTTTTCCATAATTTTTTTTCTTATAATATTTTGATTTCCTTTTAAATAGATAAAATAATTAATTTTTTCTAATTCATTAGATAAATATTTTAATTTTCTTAAGACTTTTAAATTTCATTTTTAAAATTTTTGATGATTCTTTCATTTTAAACAGTGTATTTTTTAAAAAGAGACAAAAACAACAACATATTCATTTAATAATAATTTAGATTTTAATTCATCATTTTAAATAATTATTTACATAGAATTCTTGGTTATAGCTTAAAATATCAATAAGATAGACCATCAACATATTTGCAATTGATTTTTTGATAATCTTGAAATTTATTTAAAGACTCTTGAAAGCACATATTATAAACTTATCAATTCTCTAACTATAAAAAAGTAGAATGATTCCAAATGCATTGCTTTTTTTTTTGTGTATAAATGAGTTGCTTTAGATTGAAATATTATTTACTCTATCAAGATCAACATTATGATGAATTATTAATTTAATTATATTTGTATCAAAGATTAATCAATAGGGTGGATGAAATGAGAAGTTCATTTTACAAACAGATAGATTCATTTGGAAACATATAGTTTTTTAGCTTTGATAAAAATTAAAATATATTATTATTAAAGAAAATGGATTAAAAACCAGAGAGAGTATTTGAAATAAAAAAATGGAATGCAGTTGCATTATGGAGTTGGGATATAAAAGTTGATAATTGTGCAATATGTAAAAATCATATAATGGAAAAATGTATTGAATGTGATGCATAAGAAGGATAAGGAGAATGTATTGTAGCATGGGGTACATGTAATCATGTATAAATAATTATTATATTAGGCATATCATTTTCATTGTATAGAGAGATGGTTAAAGAATAGATAAACATGTCCATTAGATAATAGAAATTGGGAGTATCAAAAATATGGTTGAATATTTGTTATATTATATAATTAAAATTACATGGATAATTGTTATTAGTAGATTGAAATATTTATTTCTGGAAGATAATTAAAAGACTTGGATTATTTTAGCAAGTCTGATCCATTTGTAATAGTCTTTATAAAAAATAATAACTAATGGATAAAAATTGGTAGAACAGAAACTATAGATAATAATTTAAATCCTAACTTTAAGAAATCCTTTTAACTTGATTATGTATTTGAAGTAGTTTAACCAATAAAATTTGAAGTAAGAGATGATGATGGTGATACATCAGAATTAATTGGTTAAATAGAAACAACAATAGGTGCATTATTTGGAGCAAAAAATTAAACATCAATTTTAGAACTTGGAAAATAAAGAGGGAAACTTATTATTAGATGTGATAAGATATAGGAAGGCAATGAATTTATGATAATGAAATGGACTGGAGTGAAACTTATGAATACAGATGGTTGGTTTGATAAATCTGATCCATTTTTAAAATTTTATAGACAAAGAGATGATTTAACTTACATTTAAACACATGAAACTGAAGTTATTATGGATAATTTAAATCCATTATGGAAATTATTTGAAATATAAAGTGTTAAATTAGCATAATCAAATGATAAAAAGATAAAGATAGAATGTTGGGATTGGGAGAAGAGTGGTAAAAATTAATTTATAGGAGAATTAATAATTACAATATAAGATTTATAATAAAACAAAGAATATTAATTAACAAACCCTAAACATAAAAATCCAGGAAGATTAAGATTAGATTAATTTAGTACATATATTAGACCAAGTTTTCAAGATTATGTATAATAATAAATATAATAATTAATTAGATTAGAGGTGGATTATAATTAAATTTAATGGCTGCAATAGATTTTACTGGTTCTAATGGAGCACCTCATTAACCAGGAAGTTTGCATTTTCGATCACCACATTAACTAAATTAATATTAAATTGCTATTAATGCAGTTGGTGAAATATTACTTGCATATGATTATGACAAAATGGTTCCATGTTATGGATTTGGTGCTAATCTAAATTATCCAACTATGAGATCTGGCTAAGTTTCACATTGTTTTCCATTATCTGGAGATCCTAATTAAATTAATGCTTATGAATTATAAGGAATTGCNTATCATTTTCATTGTATAGAGAGATGGTTAAAGAATAGATAAACATGTCCATTAGATAATAGAAATTGGGAGTATCAAAAATATGGTTGAATATTTGTTATATTATATAATTAAAATTACATGGATAATTGTTATTAGTAGATTGAAATATTTATTTCTGGAAGATAATTAAAAGACTTGGATTATTTTAGCAAGTCTGATCCATTTGTAATAGTCTTTATAAAAAATAATAACTAATGGATAAAAATTGGTAGAACAGAAACTATAGATAATAATTTAAATCCTAACTTTAAGAAATCCTTTTAACTTGATTATGTATTTGAAGTAGTTTAACCAATAAAATTTGAAGTAAGAGATGATGATGGTGATACATCAGAATTAATTGGTTAAATAGAAACAACAATAGGTGCATTATTTGGAGCAAAAAATTAAACATCAATTTTAGAACTTGGAAAATAAAGAGGGAAACTTATTATTAGATGTGATAAGATATAGGAAGGCAATGAATTTATGATAATGAAATGGACTGGAGTGAAACTTATGAATACAGATGGTTGGTTTGATAAATCTGATCCATTTTTAAAATTTTATAGACAAAGAGATGATTTAACTTACATTTAAACACATGAAACTGAAGTTATTATGGATAATTTAAATCCATTATGGAAATTATTTGAAATATAAAGTGTTAAATTAGCATAATCAAATGATAAAAAGATAAAGATAGAATGTTGGGATTGGGAGAAGAGTGGTAAAAATTAATTTATAGGAGAATTAATAATTACAATATAAGATTTATAATAAAACAAAGAATATTAATTAACAAACCCTAAACATAAAAATCCAGGAAGATTAAGATTAGATTAATTTAGTACATATATTAGACCAAGTTTTCAAGATTATGTATAATAATAAATATAATAATTAATTAGATTAGAGGTGGATTATAATTAAATTTAATGGCTGCAATAGATTTTACTGGTTCTAATGGAGCACCTCATTAACCAGGAAGTTTGCATTTTCGATCACCACATTAACTAAATTAATATTAAATTGCTATTAATGCAGTTGGTGAAATATTACTTGCATATGATTATGACAAAATGGTTCCATGTTATGGATTTGGTGCTAATCTAAATTATCCAACTATGAGATCTGGCTAAGTTTCACATTGTTTTCCATTATCTGGAGATCCTAATTAAATTAATGCTTATGAATTATAAGGAATTGCTAATCTTTATAATTATGCTCTTGCTAATGTTACATTCTCTGGTCCCACATATTTTGGACCTATCATTTAAGAAGCACTTAGACAAATTTATTAATAATAATAAACTGAACAAAATGTAATCTTTAATATAATATTATAGGCATATACTATATTATTGATATTAACTGATGGAATCATTCATGATATGGAATAAACTAAATAATTGATTGTTAATAGTTCTAGAGTTCCTTTATCAATTATTATTGTTGGTGTTGGTAATGAAAACTTTTAAATGATGGAAGAATTAGATGGAGATTAAGGTATTTTAATCCTTAATTATATAGGTCTTTATTCTGGAAATAGAAAAGCAGAAAGAGATTTAGTATAATTTGTTCCATTCCGTAATTTTAGTGGAAATCACATTAATTTAGCTAGGCATGTTTTAGCTGAAATCCCAGAATAAATTGTTAAATATCATTAACTTATAGGTAAAAAACCTAATCCACCTTAATTTATTGATATTAATTAATTAGGCATGACTCAACCTAATTTACAAAATCTACAACCTGAATCATAACCACCTTAAATACCTAATAATGTTTATCCTTAAATTTAATAACCTAATGTACAACCACCATTTTAATAACCTATGTAATCTCAAATCCCATATTAACAACAAATTCCTCCTTATGTATAATAATAATCATTAGCATAATAACCTCCTTCATAATATTAACCATATCCTTATCCATAAAATAATAATTACTAATAACCTGTTTAATAATCCTAATAATAAACCAGAGCATCTGAATAAATCAATCCATCCAATTTCATGTATTAATAATATGGATAATTACCTTAAAATAATAGATAGAGTTGCAATCTATAATAAGTTCCATATTCATAATTACCCCCAAATTAATAAAATAATTCCTAAATACCAAATCATTAATATCCTCCCATCAGCCAATCTCAACAAAAATTTGGTTAGATTAAAAACCCTATGGAATGATATTTATTATTAATTATAAACATAATATATTAACCATTCTCAAAATAATCATCATAATCAGCTATATATAACTTTTATCAAGAATGGAGAAATTGGTATATTTACAAATCTAATCTCATCATGTTAATCACTAAATCTTTATTTAAAAAATATTTTTATTTGGGTTAGTATCAAAATTATATATATTATTACAAATTAATTATCATATNACTGAACAAAATGTAATCTTTAATATAATATTATAGGCATATACTATATTATTGATATTAACTGATGGAATCATTCATGATATGGAATAAACTAAATAATTGATTGTTAATAGTTCTAGAGTTCCTTTATCAATTATTATTGTTGGTGTTGGTAATGAAAACTTTTAAATGATGGAAGAATTAGATGGAGATTAAGGTATTTTAATCCTTAATTATATAGGTCTTTATTCTGGAAATAGAAAAGCAGAAAGAGATTTAGTATAATTTGTTCCATTCCGTAATTTTAGTGGAAATCACATTAATTTAGCTAGGCATGTTTTAGCTGAAATCCCAGAATAAATTGTTAAATATCATTAACTTATAGGTAAAAAACCTAATCCACCTTAATTTATTGATATTAATTAATTAGGCATGACTCAACCTAATTTACAAAATCTACAACCTGAATCATAACCACCTTAAATACCTAATAATGTTTATCCTTAAATTTAATAACCTAATGTACAACCACCATTTTAATAACCTATGTAATCTCAAATCCCATATTAACAACAAATTCCTCCTTATGTATAATAATAATCATTAGCATAATAACCTCCTTCATAATATTAACCATATCCTTATCCATAAAATAATAATTACTAATAACCTGTTTAATAATCCTAATAATAAACCAGAGCATCTGAATAAATCAATCCATCCAATTTCATGTATTAATAATATGGATAATTACCTTAAAATAATAGATAGAGTTGCAATCTATAATAAGTTCCATATTCATAATTACCCCCAAATTAATAAAATAATTCCTAAATACCAAATCATTAATATCCTCCCATCAGCCAATCTCAACAAAAATTTGGTTAGATTAAAAACCCTATGGAATGATATTTATTATTAATTATAAACATAATATATTAACCATTCTCAAAATAATCATCATAATCAGCTATATATAACTTTTATCAAGAATGGAGAAATTGGTATATTTACAAATCTAATCTCATCATGTTAATCACTAAATCTTTATTTAAAAAATATTTTTATTTGGGTTAGTATCAAAATTATATATATTATTACAAATTAATTATCATATAAATGGAACTAAAGGCTCTTTATATAATTAAATTAATATTTCGTCTCTACCTTTCTTAAATTAATTATTTATCAAGTATTCTATTGATAATTATAATGAATCTTTTTTATCTTAATTCAAATGCTTCCCAAAATATTAAAATGACAATTAACCATCATTGTTTTTCACTAATATTGAATGTTTTCTGTCACATACTTGAAAAATTTCAAATAAGATTCTATAAAAATGATATTTTAGAGTCTTTATATTTTAAATTTATTAAAAATCCTATACGATTGTTATTTTTTTATAAAAAAATAGTTTTTATACATGTTATATCATGCATTCTAATTTCTATTCAGAAATAGTAATTTTTCTATTACTAATTATTTTATAATTCAAAATCTGCTTATAACAGATGTTTCTTAAATAAATTAAGATTTAAAAGTCATTGCTATATATAGCTTTTTGCAGTTATTTAAAAAAAAAATTATAGAATTTAAATTGTATCTATTCCTAATTTGCTTTTTTGGATTAAATGATCGGAGAATTTTTGTCCAGAATATCTTCAGTAAATTAAACTAAAAAAAATGGTTGCTAATAATAGAATATTGAATATGTAATAGCTTACTTTACCTTTTTATTACTGATCATGATAGTATTTGATACTTAGTCATTATATTATGCACGCTGATTCTCTTTAAAAAAGAAATCTTCTAAACTTTATGTTTTATAATTAAAAGTTCTGAGAAAATTTTTAAGATCATTTGTGTCATTGCATAGAAAATTTAAAGATTTTGATACCTTATGTTGAAATTCAATTTTTTCATTATCAAAAGAAAATAAAAGAAAAGGTTAGTTCACTATTTTTGGGAAAAGTTTTTCTATAAAATTAATTAGATATTCATACCCCATAAGTTGTCTTTTTGGCTCAGGAGAAAATTGTTTCTACTTTAATAATTTAATCTTCTTGAACAATAACACAAAAAGACCATCAAAGTACATGTGGCTGCATATATGTTATAAGAACGTTAAGTATCTGCTAATATTATTATAATAAGTTTATAAGAGAATGTTGTAATAATTAAAAAGTATGATTCAAAAACATCTAAAACTAAAATTATTAGTATGTTGCATATAGTAAAACTATTTACAAATAATGGTAAAGCCTGAAGGGAAATATTTGGCAATAACACCTATTCATAAGTCATTAAGGAATAATTGAACAAAAGTAAAGCAATTTGAATGTATTTTATTTTCAGTTTGACTAATACAAGTGATATTATAATATAAATTTAAGTAGCAATTATTGCAGGTACATCACCATAAAGTTAATAATAAAAATCAAGAATAAGTTTGATCAAACTTATTATTAGCATTCCATAATGCCCACACTTATATATAGGCATTCTGAATTGTTAATTTCTCTATTATTGATATCCTAATTCAGATTAAACATCAAAGAACCTAAGGCTATATTTCTTCATTAATTTTGAGATATGAAATAAATTAATTCAATTAATATTAATATAGAGTAAAAAATTACTTGGTGTTTTTTTTGTAAGTTAAAAGAAATATAAAATAATTAAATAGGAATAACACTTATTTTATAAAGTATCGTCATTAATTTCTGGTTTCAAATGAAGTTGAATAAATTGAAAAAGTGAAAATGAACAATATTCCTAGAAAGATATTTAAATTGGCAAATTATTTTTAATATTATTTTTCATATCAATCAAGCATTTATTAGAATACAAATAATAAAATATTCGAATTCAAACATGTATATCATGTTTATAGAATCTATTTGCAATAATTGAAATTTGATTAAATTTTACTCATGAAAGAAAAATCATTATGTTTTTAAAATATAATTGAAATACATTTTGATATTCATAATTATATTGAAAACGAAAATTTTTGCTAGTATATTTGATATTTGAAGAATCTACTCAAATTCTGTTTTAATCGATTCATTAAAACCAATTTTGTAAAAAAGCTTATATCTAAAATTCATTTTTTGTTTTAAATATTTAAATTTTTTGGCAGTTAATTCCATAATATTTATTTTGAATCTAAAATTAAATAAATTGAATCAAAGAAAAGTAAAAACTGTTTAATATAAATAATTTTTATCAGCTTTTTTTATTACTCATAATCAGACATAGAATAATTTTTATATATTTTCAATAAATTATATATTAACAATTAAGCCTTTAGAATATAAACTAGATGCTGTTTACAAAAATTAATGATAAAATAAATTAAATGGAGATATGTATAAAATTTATTATTATTATTTTTTCAGTGTCTTATAGAAATTTACTAATAAAACACCAAATTGTTAAAAGAACATAATATAATCATGAGACTAGTGTCTTCTATCTAAAAATTGTTTTTCTTCTTGTCTATTAATCCTTTTATTGTTATGGGTCTTATATTTTTACAACCTGATTTTACTCATCAATTACAATTAATGATGATTGAAAGGTCACTTATCTCCTATTGCTATTAATTATTTTTTTTATTTTTCTATTAATATTTTCTAAATCTGTATTCTATTTCTCATCAGTTCTTACAATTTCAGATTTTCTTAAGTCTTCCTTATTAAGGTTAGGAGATGATAATTGATTTTTATGAATTGAAGAGTTTTAAAGACTTGGTAATGTACATTCACTTTTAATTATTTATTTATCATTTCCTAAAGCTACTCTTCTTCGTGCTGTTTATGGATACATATAGTCAACAACAATCTCTTCATAAATTTTCTCTTTAAAAAAATTTACAGGTACACTTTCAAGATCATTCAAAAATCTTGAAGGTCTAAATGGCTTATCTGAAGGTTTATATTACTGCTAATTTTAATTGTTCATAATATCTGCATAGCTTATCTTTTTACTCATTTCAAATATAAATTATCAATTAATGAGTTTTTTCATTTTGTAAATTGAATGGGAAATTACAGATATTTATCAGAATAAAAAAATATTCAAAATGGAAAAAAAAATAAAATAAGTTAATTTGATGTATATAATCATAGAATCAGTCTGAAGTTAATAATTAAAATTGATGAAAATTTTTAATGCTGTTACTTCATTCCAATTAATTATTAAATAATTTGTTTTTCTTATATTCCAAATTATACTACTAATTATATAAAACTAAATTTAAGATAATTTTTAAAATAATCATAAAATTTCTAAATTCCATTTTCAAAATTTACTAAAAGTTAAAATATCATGATAAAATTTGAAAAATTGCTTTATAAAACTAATTTTCAATTATCTAATTCACTTTCCTATCTATTTTTACATTGTATGAATGAATGCACATTCCGAAAAATTGTAATTTAGATAAATTTATTTTTCATTTCGATTATTATTTATCAAATAAGATTAGATTATAATGATTAAGTCTCATAAAAGATTTTTTGAAATATTTACAAATAATTAATTAACTTCAATAGTGTCTATTTTTAATTACTCTTTTAAAAAGATTTGTATCAATTTTTTTATTGAAAAAAATTAATCAATCATTTTATTATTATTTATATTTTAATTATTTGAATTAATCAAGATAGGTTATTTATTTTTGGGTAAGAAATTAAAAATTTAATACAACTTTTATTTAATCAACACAATGAATTAAGAAATAAATAAAATTTTAGTTATTTTTATATTTAGACATAATTTCATAGATTAGAAGCAATAAATTAAAAGTTAGATGTTTACCTAAATTTTTAATTAGTTCCTAAAGTTGGGTTTTTTCGTATTTGATATTATTACGAAATAAAACTAGCTGAATATTTAAGTGGTACTGCGGAAAAATCAAAATTAGGCTGATTCTAAATTTTAAAAGAATGTATTCTGGAACCTTCACCTAAAGAAGTTAAATCTTAAGGACTTAAAGATTTGATTTGAGTTGCGGATCCTTTGTGTATTTGACCTTATAATTATTATCGGTAAGTTTTAATACAAATAGGAGATTAGACTTTAATTGCTGATTTAATACGATTTAACATTTATTTTGGAGAGCGAAAAGGATATTGATTAATATATAATTTTTTCTATTTATATTCTTCTTTGCTTAATCGTTATTAAATTGCCATTTCTTCTATTTTTTAAGGTGTTAATTTCATAAAAGTAGTTATTTTACTCTACATAATATCATTTTAATTATTAAATTTGTTTTTAACAATTGATTTTCTTTTCTCATAAATTAATGGAGAAAAGAGATTTTGAGATGATTAGATAATTTTAGGAGATATTAAAATAGATTTTTACTTATTATCTTCAGGTTAAGTAGTAGTTTATTAATTTACTGTAATGGTAGGTTAAGTTTGAGCAATCATTTTATCATGATTTGATTAATTTCTTTTTTTTCCATTTTAAGTCTTATTAAAATTTTGATCATTACTAACATATTATTGAGTATTGATTGGTTTATAATTTGCACTTTTAACTCTTCTGATTTAAATTGTCTCTGGTGTATTAACTAAAAAAGGGGATGCTTTTTTATCCTATTTGATGATATATTTTTGATACTTCTAATTAAAAATAAGGACAATATCTAAGCATAATTTCCATATCATCATTTATAGTTATCTGATCTCTTGATATAAAAGACATTTCTTTATCTTTCATTATAATCTGTTTAAGGTTTTTAGCTCTCTCAACATATTTCTTGTAATTGAATTTTTAATCATTTTCTTCAGTTAATTAAATATTTAAACCAACTTCTAAAGGATAAGCATGTTTTTAATTCCATTAAATATAATAATTTTTTTTATCATCTCTAACTTTTTAAATCGAATTAACAATATCTGGATATCTTTATTCAATTCTTTTATAATCTACTCTATTCAATTTATATAAAACTCCCTCTTAACTTTAACATATAGCTTTCCATTTTCTTTTTTCTTAATCTAAAAATTCTTCTAATCCAATTGATTCATTTTTTCCTAAGATACATACTTCTACTTCTCTTTCAAAATATAATTTTTCATCACTTCCATTTCTTTCAAATTCCTTCTTTACATCTGTTACCATCTTAAATTCTCCTTCAATTATAAAATATAAACAATCTCCTTTATCTCCTTATTTATAAATAATGTCTCCATAATTATATACTTTTCTTTCCATAATCATAAATAAAGCTTTAATAGTATTTTTTGATAAATCTTTCAAAATGGCATTGCAACTTAAAGTTTCAAGTTAATGCAAGAATTATCTTTAAGTCTTTGTAGACATTATTCTATCAAATGAATCTTTGTCTAATTCCAAAATATAACAATCAGTTATAGCTACAATATCTGCTCCTCTTGGTTTTCTTTCCTTTTATAGAATACATTATTACTAATAATGCCAATTCACCAAAATATTATCCATCCTTTAACGTTGTTATTTCTTTTAATTCTTCATGAAACTTTTCATGTTTTTTTCCATTCTTTTTTGTATAAGTACCAATCATTGTTACAACCTTTTTTAAAACTTTAACTTCACCCTTAATTATGATATAAAATGTATCACCATAAGTATCTTACTATATAATAACTTCATTTTTGCTATAAATGTGTAATTTTGCATTTTCTGCTACATCTTCTAACATTTCTTCATAATGTTCATTAAACTGCTCTTGAAAAAACTTAATTCCTCTAAGCTAATCCATTAATAACATAGTTTCCTTAATAGTACGATATAAAACTGGTTTTAAGCATATTTCAACGATTTACTTAAATTTAGTAAAAATTTACATCAAAAGTGGATTTTTACTATATTTTATAGATTTCAACTGATTATAAACTGTTAGATCTCTTATTTTCAAATTGATCTTGTTTTTGATGATCTGCCATATTTTTAATATAAAATTTTATATTTTCTAAAGCAAATATAGAGTTTCAGATTATTTGAACAATTGCATCTAAAAGTATTGTATTTCTAGTTAATGTATATTTGAATCATCAACTGTAAAAATTGAGAAAATTATTTTGTAATAATTAACTACCAATAATTTATCCCAATGTCTTATATTTAATTTCAATAATTTAAATTAATGGAATAGTAAGCTGCAACAACTTAAGAGAAAACTCAAAATTAAGCACCAGCTCCATCTGCCTAATAGCCTTAAGCTTAATCATAAAAACCTAAAACAGTCTTATCAGAAATTAAACTCTAAATCTTATTATTAGAAAAGGCTGTAAGTTCTAAAGATATTAAAGCAATTCAAAAAGTATCCATATTTGTAAAAAAATTCAGAAATGTAATATTCATTAAATTTATTTAGACTGTAAAATCTCATCATTTGTGCAAACTCTATGGTACATTCTTTCAAAATGTAGCAGTTTAATAAGGAAATGATTATGATGCCAATTTTAATGAAGATTTAGGATTAAGTACTTAAGTTGTTTCAAAATTAAATAAAATAATTGAAGTAAATGTATTTATTCAATGTCTTTATCTAATTTGGTTATTTTAATAAAAATAAACAGAGGCATACGAATAAGTCAATATAATTGGCAAATAATTATTATAATAAGTTTAATAAAATAATAAAAGATATTTAGATACTTTATTAGGAGTTATTTATGAATACTTATCAAAATCACATGAAAAATTAGGTAAACTTGATTAAATTAGAGAGTAATTATATATATTATTATAAAAGTGTCTTATTTGAAGGTTATAGAAATGCATGTTAAAATAGAGATGAAAATGGTTAAGCTATTTTAATAAATTTGATATTGAGAAACTTTATTCATTACAACTAGTATGAATAGAGTTATAATTTTTTAAAAAAGACTGAATTTCCTGAACATGCTTTTGGAAATTAATAAGCAAGATTCTTATATTACACCGGACTTATTCATGCAATTAGAGGTGAATATTAGGAAGCTTATAAGAATCTTACTTAAGCAAGTCATAAAGCTCCAGATAATACAGCATTTGGATTTAAAGTTTAAGCAATAAAAGTGATTGCTTTGGTTGAATTATTGTTAGGTAATATACCAAATAGAGACACATTTACTTCTCCAGAATATTAAAAAGCCTTGTATCCATACTATAGAATTGTTTCAACTGTTATCAAAGGTAATTTAGGAGAGTTTTAATAAGAAGTAGCAAGATCAGAAAATATACTAAGAAGAGATAAATTATTTAATTTAATTTAAAGGTACTAAAGATATACATATTTTAGATTACCATAAATAGTTATCAAAGCTGGACTCAGAAGAATTAATCTCTCTTATTCTAGAATTTCTTTAAATGATATTCATTAAAAATTGAACCTTCCAAATTAATGTAATGCTGAATAAGTTGTTGCTAAAGCTATTAGAGATGGTACTTTAGCAGCTGTCATTGATCATGAAAATTAAATAGTTATAACTAAAGAAACTAATGATCTTTATGGAACTAAAGCACCTTAAGAAGCTTATGGAGAAAGAGTTAATATTTGTTTAGGACTATATAATTAAGCTGTTAAGGTAAATGATTTACAAAAAATATAATTAGGCCTTATAATATTAAAATCCAGAATATGATTATGGAGAAAAGTAAGCAGATGATGAATTAACAACTGATGAATTATTAAGTTTAGCTGAGCTTGACTTTTGAGTAACATAAAAATGTATAACCACCTAATATAATTATATTTCATTTAGAAGTATATTATTAATCTGTAAAATTGACTTAAGGTTCTTTATATAATTATATTAGCCATCTATTATTTTTCCTCTCTACTCTTTCTACTAAAGTATTCCATATTGATTTTAATAATGAATCCTTTTTCTAATTAATTTCCCTTCCCTCATAAGATACTGTTACTGTATCCAATATTTATACATCTACTTAACTTTAATGAGATGCTGCTTCGAGTATTTCAAAAAACAATCTTTTTAATTATATTACTATTGTTGTGATTTTATCATTTTTTGGATTAAATACTATTAATCTGCTAAATTTATATCCAAAAAATTCATTCAAAAATAATAAATTTTCCATATCAAACTATTAAGTTTTCAATCTATTTTTCAATATTTTAAAATTCAGTATCTATTTTAAACAACTATTTCTCATTTACCATAAATTATCTTAAAATTTTGAATTTAATGACTTCTATAAATTTTTATATATGCTTTTTATTAATTCCATTCTCAATTATTATGAATTTTTTATCATCTTCTTCATAATTATTTTACAATCATCAACTTTAATCACAGAATCATCAAACTTTATTATAAAAGTAGATGATATAGATTTCATCATAGAATAACGTATATATTATTTATTTTTACAATCTTTTGTTATTTCTATTCTTTTTGAGTGGAATTCATTAAGAGCTTAATTTTAGTATAATTTATAAAAAGTATTTTCTAATGATTCCAAATTGTAATTCCATTCTCTTAAAAAGGTTTTTAATTATTTGGAATTATTGCACTCAAATGGCATCTTACTTTAAGATTTAAATAAAAATTCTAGCTTATCTTCACTGAATGAAAATATTATATATGGATTATCAACAATTTTTGGAAAAACACTTTCTAAAAATATTTTAATTCATACCCCACATGTAATCATATTAACTCAAAAGGAAGCTTGTTCTATTTAAGGTATTTAATTTATATGAAAAAAAACACATGAAAAGCATCAAAAATAGTGTTGAAAAATAGATGAGATAAGATTTTTATGTTTCCACAACCATAGTGTAAATTATCTTAAATAAGAATGTTGATATTATAATAACTAAAGATTCTTTAAATTCTGAAATTAGTATTATAATGACACCACACATTGTAAAATTGCTTTAGTATAATGATAACGCTTGAGGACTAGTGTCAGTTTTTATTATAAGCTCATAAGCAATTAATATGTATGCTAACAATATGAGCTAAATGTTTATTTTGTGTATTTTGAAATGCAAAAAAAGAAATGATAATAACGTGTAAACTTGGCATGCAATCAAGATTGGTACTAAATCTAATTAATTTTGAAGAACTAATGTTATTAGTTTAAGGGTGGCTACAACTAATATGCAAGCAGATCCAAATTTAAACACAGGTATACTGATAGTATGTATTCTTTATTATTAATATTCATCTTCAAAGGATTTGTATTTAAACTCTAAAGTGTATTTGTTCATTGTTTCCTTTTTTACTTAATTTTATTATGTACTTTATAAAAATTTAATTACTTTTTGATTAATATTAACCTTATGATAATTGGTATGCAAAAATATTAATAAAAAAATAGTCAATTATTAAAAGAACAAATATATAAAGAAAATGAGAAAAAAATATTTATTTGGCAAAGAGATTCTTATAATATAGCAAATAAAATCACTTTACTGAACTACTATTGTTATATTGATTTAATGATAAATTAATCTTAAAAGTACAAATATATGATTTGGATGTTTAAAATCTTGTCTTATGCTAATAAAAATTTATTTCAAATAATATTGTTAAATTCTTATAAAATTTTTATTAATCACTACCCAGATTCTTACAAGAGTAAATAAAAAATTTGTATCAATTAATTGTTTTTGTAAAGTTAAAATCAAAAATAAGGTTAAAGGTAAGATTTAAAGGAATTAAAATAAAATTGCAAGCAAATTACAAAAAAATTATAGATAGAATATTATAATAGAATTAGCCTTAAAAATACTTTAAAAAAATAATAATGACAACCAAAGTGAAACATAATAATTATTTCTTATCAAATTGGTTTCCTGCACACAGGACATTCTTTACTTTTTAACTTCCAAACATCTATACATGATTTATGAAATGAATGAGTGCAATTTAAAGTCTATTAATTTTTTACAAGATCTTCCATACAAATACTACATTCCTCAACCTTATCTAATGTTTAAAATTGATGTTCTATGTATGGAATACAATCAATTAAATGATCATTCAAAAAATTTCTAACTATGTGATCACTGCAATATGGACAAGATATGAGTCCATATTCATCATTACATTAATGATCAGTTTCTTTTGGTTATAAGCATACACTGCAAATTTCTAAAGTATGGCTCTTTTTTTATTAAAAATTTTCCTAGATTTCTTCTATTTTTATTTAGGTGATTTTATTTTATAGAGGATTTTCATTATTTGTTTATGCTATTGAATTTTATAAACGCTGCATTGCTATATTATTATGAAGTAATGGTTAAAACAAATTATGAAATTTTTTTTAATTTTGTGTCTATGCAATATTCTTGATCTAAGGTTATTCAATATTCGAACTATTATGTTTTTGAATCTTTTTTGAAAATATTTACTAACATTATTTCATATTTTCGGCAAAAAGTCTGTGCTATTCATTAAATTTCCTATTAAATAGAGATGAAATAATTACAAATCATCATTATTTGTGTTACTTATTTTATTAATAGTATTTGATTATTTTTGATTGTTGTCTTTAGGTTTAAATTCTATAAATAATGAAAGTTATTTACAAGGAGTGCCATTAAAGTCATCATTATCATCAATATCAAAATAGCAATAGGGATTCATTATAAATTATAAATAAAATGATTTTAATCAATAATATTAATGATGTTTTAGATTGTTACGATATTATGTAGACTTAAAAATACAAACTCTAATACATAAATCCACAAATTTAAAATATTCAATGTAAAATGATTTTGTGCAAAGCAAATTCTATTATAATTTAATAGGGAGAAGTTGGGAAGAATTTATATCATGTTTTAAGTGGTTAACTGACTTGCTTTTTTAAAGAAGAAGATTGTCCTCCATAAAGATAAAAAATTGTGAGATAGCTATCAAATGATATTTTTGTATAATAAGTTCTACAGTTGGTTCCAAATATAACTTTATTGAGCAAATAATATTTCTAATCTAATTAAAACATCCCTTTTACATAACTATTTGTTGGGGATACATTTGGAGAAGCAAAAGGAAAACGTTCTTATTCAGTAGTTGCTGATAAAGATAGTATTTTGATTGAATTGTAATTTGATGAAAAGTATTGGAGAAGTTTTGAAATTCGTCATTCTTTTTTAGAAAAATTAAATGTAGCTAGCGATTTATAGTTATTAAGTGTTTGTTTAAAAGAGAAATAATTTAAATATGGAGATTATATATTTAAATAAGATGAATAGAGAAAATGGATATACTTAATAATATAAGGAGAAGTTAATTTTATTAATAATAATACAAATATTTATAATTTAGGAGCATTATAAATATTTGGATTTGAAGAATTCTTAAGAGATTCTCTAAGAAAATATACAGTTAAATGTATATCAGCTTAATTTTGTTGTTATGTAACAGATAGTTTAAATTATTTTAATATTATTTAGTTAGAGAAACTGGCAAAGGCAAGAAACTTAATGATTTAAGATATTATGAGATAAAAAAAATATGTTTCAGTAACTAATAGATCAAATAATATTACTTAAATTTCTAAAGGAGTTGGATAATAACAATAATTAAATAATTCTTAAGATAAAAATAGTTTTTATAATTAATATTGGTCTAAAGATTTATCTGAAATACCAAGATGGAATTTAGAATAACTTACTCGAGATGCAGGTGCATTACCAGGTTAAGGGATAATAAAATCAAAATAATATAAAACACCTATTCTTGATTAATCTTAAGATGGAAGTTTATAGAATTCAAGGAGAAATTCTATTAAACCATGCTCAGTTTTTGATGTAAATCCTGTTTAAAATAGAAAATTAATTAGAAGTTATATTAAAAGAATGAGAGCTGAAAAATACTCTGAATATCATTCCTGTTTAAAAGGTAATTGGGATTTATTTAATGTATCAAAAGTAACACAATAATATTCAGCTCCAAAATAACAATAAATTTCTAATTCTAATACATAAAGTTATACTAAAAGATAATAAGCATTAAAATAGAATTTAACATAGATGAATTCTATTTATGTGGAAGATTTCTCTTGTTCACCTGTCAAAATCATTTCAGATTAATCAAAACTTTAAAATGATAAATAATATAAAGAAATGTCAACTATGACTGTACGTCCATTCAAAATTTGAACTTCTCTTTATAAATATATATTAATATCAGCTAATTATGAAATTATAAAAATTTGAATTTCTTCTAAAAAAACTAGACTACCCTTATAGTGAAGAATTACTCCTAAATACAGAATAAAGATTAAACTTTATAGAACATTTAATGAAATTACATTCAGAGACTTTGTTCTAATATTTTTAAATTGATCATGGAGATATTTAAAGCAGAATAAAAGCAATTAAATGTCAATTATTAACAACTGGTATATGGGGATAATCTAAACATGGAAAAAATGTTGATCTTAATAAACTAATATAAGGAATTTGTTCTTTTGATTCATCATTATCCTTTATATATAAATTGGCAAAATGCGTATATAATAATTCGCAAAATTAAGATACCAATTTAGCATTACTTAAGGATTGTTTATAATACCCTTATCAATTAATAAATATTGCTTACGATCCTTTTGTATAGACTTTGCCAAAAGAAGATGAATTTGTTGATGCTGAAAGATTTTAATAAGTAGAAAATGATATAAATGATATTTTGGATCTTTAAGAATAAGATTTAATTAAAATCAATGAAAGATTATCAGAGGATGATTAACCTAAAGAATTAGGGAATATTAATGAAAAAAATAAATAAAATTATATTAATAAAATGAAAAAAGTGAATAAATTAATTGAAGACTTAAAAGGAAAGAAATAAGTATTAGAATAGATTTAGAAATAAAATGAAGTTAATGATGATCCAAGGTATACTTTAGTATTTCCAACAGAATATGTTCAAGTACTTTAAGATTACAATCAATTATAAAAGAATGTAGTTATAAGTGAACCAATTCCTGATTTAAAGTAAGTAAAAGATTAGACCAAAATTTTAATTGATTAAGAATTCTATTTTATTCAATGAATTATTTTATGTTTTCTAAATATAATAAATTATTTTTAAGAATTATTTAGAGTAAAAATATAAAAAAATCATTCACAGTTATATTATGCCAATAAATAGACAAGAAATTTAAAAAATTCAGGAATGGTATTTTAATAAATTTCCACAAAGGTTGTTTCTGTGATAATATTATTATCATAATTAGATTTTTTAGTATGATATTCAGATAACCTTCTAGATTTTTCTTTCATCATTGTAATAACAATATTTTTTTATGGTTTTTGTTTATTTTTCTTCTTAGATGAAATCGTAGTATGAAATTCAAATGGATTTCTAATAGTTTGAAATCGTTAATATTTAAATATGATATCTGCATCTTTTTATGCTGCACCACCAGATTTAAATAACTCAAAAATATCTCTAGTATTTAAGTATTTTTTAGACATTGTATCATAACAACAAAAGACTAATTAAATTATTTCTATAATCTAGAATATATATTACATAATTGTGTCATTTCTCTAATTTAAAATAATAAGGATCGAAAAACTGCTTATGTAATTGAATAAGGTAATTACATCAAGTTTACTAATCTTTAAACGCTTGCCTAAAAACCTAATTATTTAGTTAAATAATTCACTAACTAGCCTATTTAACTAATTGGTTTACTTATGGTTTAGTAATTTCTTAATAGACACTTGAATTTGACAACAATTTAAAAATTTCTTGAGTGTAAGAACTATCTGGATCTAATGATAAATAACCAACTTTCATTGTTTTCAAACGATTAGAAAATTTCATATATTTATTGTAAGTATTTTTTCTTGATGTAATTCCAGATGAATCATGTTAACTATTACACATGGAATATTTTTTTATAGGTTGTTAGTCCAATAATGATATTTTAGGTAGTTCATAACATTCAGAACAATCAGATAAAGTTTCTTTTTTAACTTTATTTTTAATAAGAAATTTAGGGTTGTATTCTAATTCTGTTTAATAAAGCAATTCAACATCGTATTTGTAGAGTGAATTAGATTCATTAAATTAATAGGTATTATCTTTAGTCTTTACTCTAGACATTATCATACTTGAATTCACTTAGGATCGATCTGCTCTACTTGATCTCCCTGTAAGAATTGTTATTCTTTCTTCTATGCATCTCTTGATTACATTTTATATATCGTACATCCTTTTAATTATAAATTATTTTCTCATTATATGGATAGAAAAAATAGAAAAAGAGCATCAAGTGTTAATTCCACTAATCCTGCTATGAAATTACTTGAAAAAAGAAGGTTAATGTTTGAAGTTCATGAGGCCTATGAAAATTAACTCTTTTAATTTAAATAGTAAGGTATTACAATTTAAGTTATTTTATAGAGGACGAATTCAAGTCAAAGGAAAAGGAAATCAAGAAAAAAGATGAAGAAATTTAAACTGAACTACTTAAATTTTGTAAAGAATTACAAGTTAATGAAACTAAAAAGAAAAAGGCAATTAGCTTATACCAAAGTGAAAGAGCGGAAAAAGATAAAAAAATTAAAGAAATCGCAAAATTATAACACGATTTAAGTCTAGATTAATAGATATTTGAAAATGTTGAAAGAAAGGGTACAATAATTCAAATTTATAAGAATAGCTGAGAGACTCAAAAAATATGTAGAATATTTAAATAGTATTATTAAAGCCTATCCAGATAAATATTCTGATCTTGATTCAATAACAGATAGATATAAAAGGCTTATGATATCACATTAAATTTTAAAATAAGAACATGAAAAAATGGAAATTGATTGCGAGAAAATGAAATTTACAATAACTCAATATGAAAAGGAAAAAAATCATGAAGTCTTATAATTAAATAATGATATTAAAGATTATCAAAAATTAATAGAAGAAAAAATAATAGAGAGAAATTAGTTATTAGCTGAGAAGGAAGAAGAAGAAAATAGAATCACAGAAGAAAATCTTAATCTTGGTAGAATATTTATGGCTATTGATAACATAAACTAAAGATGTTTAGATGGATATCAAAAAATTAAATAAGATTATGAAGATTAAAATAAAGAAAAAGAAAAGGTTATTAAATAAGTGAGAGAAGAAAAGAAGCCACTTAAATACTAATAAGAGGAAGAGAATTTTGATATTAAATGTAAAATTTAACTATATTAAAATTAGGTTAGTAAGCTTCACTTAAATTGAAGTAGATTGTATAAAATTTAAATGATTTTAGAAAGATTATTGAAGGTTGTAGAAATGAAATCAAAAATAAATACAAATGATTTTTTTATTGATGTTATGATCTTTTAGATTATTTATTCTCTTAGGAATTAAGATTTTAAGTAGTTTATATATAAATTTTATAAATATATATGTTTAAATTAAAAACTTTTTATACATTATCTGTTAACTCTTAAAAAAATAGTATGCAATTGTATATATGAAACAAATTAATGATTTCTATGTTAAAGATTTTAAAAGAGTATTTGAATCAACTATAATATTTACAATTAAGAAGTAGAGCTGCTTTTAAAATAATGTAAATTAATGAGAAATATTAAATCTAAAAATAAAACTTATAAATTTTAGATTTGGGAGCAGCTTTTGGTAGTTGATCTAAGATAGTTTCAGAAAATGCAAAGGTGAATAAAAATAAATTTTTTGACATTAAAAATAATGGTAAGTAGTCATGAAAATATTTGTAAGAAGTGGAGAAACAACTTAATTATGTAAATTATTTAAGAGTTTCATAGATAAAAAACCATTAGAATCTAGTGAATTATTTTATATAGAAAAAGGATTTGATTTATCAAAGATATATTATAAGATACTGAAAAAGTATCCCAATATTCATAGGGAATATTTAAATTAGATTAAAAAATATAATAATTGATTATAAAATGTTTGAATGAAATAAACAATCATTAATCTATACTCTTTAGTAAAGCTTAAATTTTTTCGTTATTCTAGATTTGATTAATAAAATTTTTATCATCATTTGTTAATTGATCCTCAGTTTTAGTCATCAAATCTAGAAATCTTTACTTAATAATTTTAAGTTTGTCTGTTTTAGTAACAGTCTTTTAATGAGAAATGATGTCTTCAACTAAACTTTTTTTTTTCATAGCCCAATCTCTATCATCTTCAATATAAAGCATTTCTTTTTATAGTTTGAAATGATTTTTAATTTATTATTTATTGAATTGATTAGATTTTCTCATAGATGCTTCATATAAATAGTTGCTTATAGATTAATTAAATGGTGGATCAATAGAATGAGGATCACTACTTTCTGACCAAATTTAATTTAAGTGATTTAAAATTTTTAAAGATTTTGGTAATTAATTTTCAGGCAATGAAATAGTATTAGCAAATGTAACATAAGTTATTTCAATAGTTTTTGACCAAGTCGATATTATTCTAATAGGAATCATAGAATTTAATGTGAAACTCTATAAATTAATGATTGAATTACCAAAGATATGGGTTCAAACTTTTCTAAGTGATTTAATTTAGAATTAGTACCACACTACATAATTATACGATCATTTGTAATAATACTAGATGTAGTTCTTCCAGCTGAAACCCATAAAACAGATATATTCTATGGTTTTGGTAATATCTAAATTTTAAATTTAATTAATTTACTTCATTTTTTAATTCTGAATTTCCAAGTTAACCTCTTTCACCCCAACCCCAAGTATAAAATTTATTTCTAGTTTTTGCAATTACATGTTTAAAACCACAACAAACTTAAAAAACTTTTTCAATATTAATCAGACAAGGTTCATGTCTATATCTTCGATCACCTAATCCTAATTCTCCTTCATAGTTTTCTCCCCATGAATATAATTATCCACTTTCACATAATGTCACAATAAATTGATTTCCGCATGAAATCATTTTTGCTTTCTATTTAATAGGAATATGAACATTTAAATTGGATAAAGAATATACTTTATTTTCACTTACTATATATTTCTTAGATGATACAGTACATTCTTTATTAAGATAATGAGGTTTGAATTTTATTGATTTTTGTTCATCACCATATTATAATAAAGAACCATCAGCTGTTGTTACTAAGATAAAATCATCACTACAACTGATAGACTTTATTCTTATAAATTCTGGGAATATATTCTTTTCTACAGTTTCAAAACTATCTTTATTTAAAATCAATTATCCACTACCGAATTCAAATAAAGCAGTTCCACCTAAAGTAACACATAAAGTACTCTCCTCTGTTGTAAAATATGATTATATTGGATGATCTTTTCTAAATTATTAAATTATAATATTAAGTAAAGTTCTTGAGTAAGAATAATTTGGATTATAACATTAATAGATATCAGAAAGTATGTCAATATCAATCGGTACAGAAAATAATGCAATTTTTGGTAATCTTGGTCTCCATTAAATCAGACAAGTTTCTAATAATGGCTAAATTTCTTCATTTTCAATATTATCATTTGTTAAAATCCATAAATTTGAAGCATCTTACTTTTATTATTTAATATTTTTTTCCCAAGGTAAAACATATGATTCATAATTCTTTTTATATGTCATTTGTTTCTAAAGATATATTCTTGCAAATTTTTAAACACATCTTGCTGCTGATCTCATTCTTTGAAACATTGTTGATAGTAATTTAGTTCTAAAATAACCTTAAATTAAATAAGCAGCATCATGAGCTTTTCTAAATTAACTTCTAGCTATAAATCTTCTAATTGCTGCTTAAACTTTTATTACTGAACTTTCCATTTTTATTTTTCGTCCTGCATTCTTTATTTGATGTATTTATTTCTTATTTTTTTTTCTAACTTAGTTTCCTCTAAAATTAGATTATATGATTACAGCCTTCTTAATTAATATCATTTACCAAGCATCATCAATAATTTTTTAAAATACGTTTTTTATTTCTCTTTCTTTTCTTTCTTATTTTGATTAAACAACATATCGACCAAATTTCTATATTTTACTAATAGCTAATTTCTTTCTTGCTACATCCCTCAGTACATTATATCTTTCAAAATATATTTTCAAATATGATGCAGATTTCTCATATTTTTATTTCAATCTTTTTTCATGCAATTTTCTATACCAAGCTTAAATTACAGATGCTGCTTATATTCTTTTTCTGACTAAAACCTTAAATCGAATTCTTTAAGCCAAAGTACGAAGAGTCATGGCTATTCTCATCATCTTTTTCAAATGTTAATTCATCTTATAAATTTTATATGATCTTTACAATTTGGCTGCTCTTTAATGTTTTAGAGTAACTATCTTATTGTAAGAATCTTCTATCATTTATAATCCTGTATTACGAATAAAAATCTTTGTCTTTCCAAATAATACCTATTATTAATCAATATGAGGCATATGCTATTTAAACATATCTAAAACCAATTATCTAAAATTAATATCTGGTTTTTTTATTAATTTATTATATATTTCATTTCTAGTCATATCAGCAAATCTTTTGTAAAAAAATTAATATGGTCTTCTAATACTGTAAGATTCTTTTCTAACTTTTAAAGAATCTAAAACTCCTAAATATCTAATTTATTTAAGAGTCATTTCAGATTATACTTGATTTGGCATTTTATTTTCATTTGGTTTTATACATCTAATAAAATGAACATCGCATTAATGTAATTCTGTCATCAATTCAATCATTTCTTTTTTTATTTTTTAAGATATAAATTTTTCCTTCATTCCTTCCATTGTATATAATTATTTTAAAAGAGCATTCTTAGTTTAACTAATCATAGCAATAGTTTAAGAACTCATTTCATCTTTATTTTTTTCTCGAAATCCTGTTACTGTATAACATACATCCTTTGCTGTATGTACTAATATAAATGCGGGATCACTTGGCATTTTTGGTGTTTTCACTAATTGATTAGATTTATGAGTTGTTCTGATCTTTTATAAAAATCCATCATCACTTGATTTTACTTAACAAGACTCATCTAAAATGCTAAATATTCCTCCTGGTTATTTATCTATTAATTCTATTACATTAGCATTATCTTAAAATTCTAATTATCCTAAATGATCTTTTAAACCTTCTTCAATAAAAATCTTTTCTTCTTCTTTAAAAACGTATTGAATATATAGTTAATGCAATTTTTCATTTGTATAATTTATCATTATCTATTCAAATCCATTTTTATCAAAAACTTCAAATCCATAAATATCAAGCAACCCTACAGAAATCTTAGACTCTACTTTAGGTTTTAAAACTTTATTTAATTGAATAACTAACCAATTAAATAATCTATCATAAATGTCTTTCGCCAATGAATCTCGAGTAAATTAACATTCATCTATTGTTAATGGAGACAATATAGTTTATTTGTTGATAATTCTTGATTTAAGAGTCAAAGCCTAAGATAGTTATTGATTTGACAATTGTAATAAATGTTCTACTAAACTCTCATTCACTGAAGCTGGTTAAGTATCTGTTAAAGTACTATTATCAAATTCAAGATTTCCTAAATGTAATACTGCTAGAACTATTTAAACTATATTTTCAAAATCATTTTGCATTCCTAATATTGTAAAACTTTCTTAAATTTCTTTAAACATTTCAGCATCATCTACATTTGGAATTGTATAAGTTTTAGAGGAATTTAAATAGTTAAACTCTTCCATTTTCATTGTTACTCCAAATTTATTTAAAAGTTCTTTAGACAAACCTTATAAAAAAAAATAAAATATATGAAAATTTCTTTCATTTTTACCTTATTGATTTATTCTTGACTTTTCCATCAAGTAATTAATTATTTCTGCCCCCTTAATTTATTTACTTTTTTCATCTACAATAATTCTAACATATTTTCCAAATCTTGATGAATTATTATTCCTAACTGTTTTAGCATTGCCAAAAGCTTCTAAGATTGGATTGCATCCTAAAATTTGATCCTCAATTTTATCTTTTGAAGAACCATCCGAAGCTATTGATGTTAATAAATTCATAGAAAATTTTGCATTCTCAGTTTTTCCTGCTCCACTTTCACCTGATATAACAATTGCTTAATTTTTTTCATTCTCAAATAATTATCTGTAAGCCTGTGCTGCTATTGCATATACATGAGGTGGTAAATCTTTGATTAGACGATTCTTTTTAACAATATCATCTATATATTAATTTCTGATATCTGGACCCATCAAACCATGAATTTATTTAAATGGATTAATGACTAATAATGTTGGACCAACATAAGTAAAAATAATATCCTTGGCAAATCTATAGATTAAATTATTTAGTAATTCTGCATCATTAAGAATTTCCATATTTACCATATCATCAAACCCTTTGTTTCCTAAAATAGTTGGATCTGCTCTTTCTAACACTTATGTTGGTTTGCATTAAATTTATCCACCAGATTCCAATTTAATAGTGATTGATTTACCATCTGAACTTATGATGATAGCAGGCATAAACATAGGGTCTTTATTATCAAGATCTTGCCAACACAATGCATTTGGGACTACCCAAGATAAATCTACTTAAGGTTATGATTTTTTTGCCATATATTTAATTATATTTATCAAATTGGTTCTTCATCAGAGTCATTGTCATCATCATCTGCATCTGGATCTATAATTTTTGAGTTTTCATTTTTTATTATATGATTTATGATAGAAGAAGAATTTCTCTTTTTTGTTTCATATTCATCTTTAAAGTCTTTAAAGTGATATACCAATATTTCTTCATATATACAATCTATTTTATAGTTTTCCTTTTACCTTTTAATTATTGAAGTGTCATATTGTATTCTTCGAATTCGAAATCAATTCTTTATACTGGAACTGCAATAGGCTAAATAATATTTTTATTAAAATACTTCATCATCTGGACAATGTAAAGCAGATAAATATGGATGTCTTAAAGCATCTTCTACAGTAATTCTTTTTTTAGCATCAAATGTTAATAAACTTTTCAATAAATCAATAGCAAGATTAGATGCATTAGGAAATAATTTATTAAAATCTTTTCCTGGTCTTTTAGGTAATCCTTTAGCAATAGTTCTATATTTTTCTTTTGGAATCATATTTAATTCTTATTCAGTTGGAGTTCCAATTACTTCAAATGTCAATTCTATTTGATTCTTAGTATCCATTCCTGGTAGAAATGGTTTTCTTCTTAATAATTCTGCAAAAATGCAGCCAACTGACCAAACATCAACACTTTATGTATAATTTCTCCATGATAATAGTAATTCTGGAGCTCTATACCATCTTGTAGCAACATAATCAGTTAAAACACCTGCTTTAGCCTAATTATGATTTATATATATAATAATAGTTACTTTTAAATCAGGAATCAATGCTCTAGCCAATCCAAAATCACAAATCTTTAGATCACAATTACTGTTAACTAATAAATTACGTGGTTTTAAATCTCTATGAACTACATTTGCAGAATGTATATATTTTAGACCTCTTAATAATTAATAAAGGAAAAATTAACAATGCTCATCAGCAAGATTTTGATCTGACTTTATGATCTATGCTAAATCTGTTTCCATTAATTCTTAAACCACATAACTAAATCATTCTAATTTATACATATCTTCAAATTCTTCTCTTGATTTTGGGAGTAAGATTGTATTGATTCCAATTATCTATTATATTATTCATTTATACATTTTCATGTTATAATAATCTTAGTAATCTCAATTCTCTTAAAGTTCTCTTTGTAAATATTTTATGTTCAAAAGCTTTTTCAATCTTTTTTATTGCTACTAAATTATCTTCAGAGTCTAATGTATTATCTCGAGCTGCTACAACTATACCATATGCACCTTAACCAACTACAATTATAACATCATAAATCGATACTATTGTCTAAGATTTCATATTTATCATCAATCTCAAATCTTGAGCCTAAAATTGTGCTCACTTTCAATTTACTCTTTTTATTTCGATAATTTGAATAATGTTAAATTATGTCATCTGGAAGTTAACAAGGTTTCATTCGCTTTATAATATTAATTTTTTATTTTTTGATACTAAGCTTATTTAAATCATGCATTAATATAACAAAATTATATAAAAATTGGCATAAATATAAGTATGCTCATTCAATGAATACTATAGCTTCTTCTAAAACTAATACATTATTATATATATTCAATTGTTTATAAAGAATTCTTATTATAAAACCCATAATATTGAATCAATTAATAAATTTTGTTTTCACATTTATTTTCATTTAACAAACTATATATATTTTCAAACTCATTTAAATTATTAGTTTTATTGTTCATCATCATCTTCATCCTCCTCATCTTCATCTTCATCTAGGATTTGGTCTAATTATTTGGCATTATCATTATTAACAATATGTTTCATAATTGAATAACCTTTTTTTATATTAGATTCATAATCCTTTTAGAACTCAGGATAATGATAAAGTAATATTTCTTCATATATACAGTCTATAATATAAATAGTAACATTTACCTTTCCATTATTCAATATTCAGATTATACTCTTCAAATTCAAAATCTAAATATCTAACAGGGACAGCTATCGGCTAAGTTTAATAATTAAATACTTCATCTTCAGGAATATGATATTTAGATAAATAAGGATGTCTTAATGCTTATTCTGCAGTAATTCTTTTAGATGGATCATATTCAAATAGTTATCTTAATAAATCAATAGCTTCCTTAGTACCATTAGGAAATAACTTCTCAAAATCTTTTCCTCTCTTTTTTTGCATCTAATTGATACTAATAGATAGAGGAGATTTTGGGGCCATTTATAAGACTTATTCATTTGGTGATCCAAGTACTTCAAACATTAACTCTAATTAATTTTTTGATGAAGCTCCTTATAGAAAGATTTTCTTTCTTAACATCTCAGCAAATATACAACCTACAGACCACATATCTATGCTTTAATTATAATCTCTCCATTATAAAAGTAATTCAGGTGCTCTATACCATCTTGTTTATACATAAGGACTATAAACCTTTGGTTTTAACTAGAAATTTAATCTTATTTTCAATACCTTAATCTATGGATCTAGAGCTCTTGCTAATCCAAAATCACATATCTTTAAATCACAGTCTCTATTTATTAACAAATTTTTTGGTTTTAAATCACGATGAACCACATTAGCTGAATGAATATATTTCAAACCCCTTAATAACTGATATAAGAGAAAGCATATTTATTCCTAATCTAATTGTGTCTATTATCGAATGATTGTAGATAAATCTGTTTCCATTAATTCTTATACAATGTATCTAAAATCTACCAGGTTTTCTATACATATCGTCAAATTCTTCTCTCGACTTTGGAAGCATTATATTCTCTATAGATATAACCTTATAGATATATATTATAATGATACATTTTCATGACTAAGCAATCTTTAAAGTCGTAATTCTCTCAGTGTTCTTTTAGCAAATAATCTTTATTCAAAAGCCTTAACTATCTTTTTTATGGCAACTAATTCTCTTCCTTAATCTTTCTTAGTGTCTTTTGCAGCAAAAACTACCCCATATGAACCTTATCCAACTTAATTCAATAGAATATCATTACTTACTTATACTCAAGTATTCATATTATGGATCGATTACAAATGTATTTTCACCATCCTATATTATTGATTTCTATGCATTTGATCTAAATGGAGAGTAATGTTGAACTATTTAATATGGGAGAGTATACTATTTCATTTATATTAATATACGACATAATACAAACTTAATACAATTCACAAACTTTTTTTTCATATAAATTGAATCGATCGCTCAACAACAGAAAATATCTTCTATCCATATTCAGAACTATTTATTTATTATAGTATTTCTGGATGTCTTTTCATTATTCCAAGAACTGGAATGATTTATTACTGATCTAACTATAAGTATTTTTTAAAAACATAGTTTCCAAAAGGATGAGTAGCAAAAGCTACAAATTAATAACTAAAATTTTAAATTAAATCTACTTGCTTTCCGAATCTGCAGCTAACATTATATTAGTTACAAATTTTATGTCTTCTTAATCAATTACTTCAAGAAATACTTCTACAACATTACTCCCATATTTGTTATAAGATAATGTTTAGAAATTACTCTTAATAATTTTGAAAAGTTCCATTTTTTATTGTTTGAAATTACTCTTCAAAATAAACTAAATTATGTAATTACCAAACTCGCATATACATAATTACTATGATGCATCCATAATTTAGTCTAATAAGGATAAACTATATTGTTTTTGAAGCATAAACTAAATGATTCTACATCCATATGTATGTTAAGACATAGAATAGACTGATTATTCTATATGTTTCTTCATATATTCACAAATCTTATAATCAAAATTGTCCAAACAACTTAATAATACAAAGCAACCATTATTATCATTGATTAATTGTCTGACTTATTATTTTATCTCATCCATAAATTCAATTGAAAAATGATAGTCTTCATCTTTTAAAAATTCTATCATTCTATGTATTACTCTAGAAGCATATTAATTTTTGGATAATTCAACTAAATGTCCTTTAAATTAGTAAAATAAACTGAATTTCCATTATTTTTCACCTAAATCAATAATTTTATTGAAATACCTGACAAAAATATTTTTTAAACCAAATAATTTCCAAATAAATCTTTTGACGTCTTAATTAAATTTTTTTCAATAGTCTCAAAGATCATACTTCTTTATAAAGTGGTGCCATTATCAAAAATCTTTTATAGATTTCTTGAAGCATTTTAATTCCCACATATTTATTCCTTAAATAAAACAATATATAATTACCAAACAATTTCTAAATTGCAAATCATCTTGTCTCAACTATAATTGAACTTAATTATCTTCTTATAGTGAAGGATGACTGTTAAATGTCAAATATAAAGTTTAAACCTAAGTAATAGGTTGCATAGTTTGATGTTTTTTAGGGGAAAATTATAGTTACTTTAATTCATGATGAATTTTAATTGAAGGCTTCTTTTCTTTTTGTCTTTCGTTAAATCTAATATTTATAATTAGAATATATACATATAAGGTTGTGTGTTTGTGGAATTGTAAGTTAAAGTGTCATTTCCATAATTTTCTCCATGAATTTCAATTTATTCAATGGAATTAATCAAAGTAGGTTAAAACTCTTTGGCGTTCAGTGATAATTTACTCTTTTTTCTAGTTTATTTCCTTTCATACATTTACACTTCACTTTCATCTAATACATTGTTATTATATTCACATACCACTAAGTATTGAACCAATTAATTGTTTTTCTTCGGGATCCATATTGAAATGTTGTTTTTAAAAATACAAAATAAGAATATTTGTTCCCTTTTATAATAATTAATTTAATATATATTTAGACATCAAGCACTCTTATTTCTAGAATTCTTATTTTCAAATCTATTTTAATACTTAGAATGATGATATTACTCATAAGAGTCCTCTGAAGATTTTAAAATTTTAATATTGTTCAACTATTCATTTGGTAAATTTGATGAAAAACAATTAATTCTTGATGTTCTTAATTATTAATCTGAATCAAATCTTTTTCTATTTATAAAATTTTAAAGGTATTTTTAGGCTTCATATTTACCTTTGAGCTCTAAACAAGATCCAATAGATTTCCTTCTTTTTTTTTCATTTTCTAATAATTTTTTTTTTCTTTCGTCTTCTTAAAACATTAAATTATTAGATTCTTCTAGGAATTTTAATTCATTTTCTTAAGGTACAAAAAGATAAGGATTTTGAAGTAATTGATCAGCAGTGGGTCTATTCTCTTATTTTGGAGTCATCATTTAACAAACAATATCAATTAAAGAATCAGAATATAGAATTCCTAATTAATTAAAAACTAATTTATTTACCTACATCTTTAAAATGACGTTTATTGATGCCTCTTCTCAATTCATGATATTGATTATCAGATTTTGGTAATTCCTCTTGAATCATTAATTCAAAGATAGTGCATCCAAGTGCAAAAATATCAACTTTTTATAAATCTATTGGAGTACCAAAATTCATCTAGATAAAGTTTTTAATACATATTCCATGATTTCAGGAGCTGTATATCTTTGATCCCCATCTCGAATATCTTCCTCTTCTTATAAAAATTAGAGTCTTGATAATCCAAAGTCAGCAAGTTTGTAACTTAAATCTTTTTTTTTAAATAATATATTCTCTGGTTTAATATCCATATGAACTAGATTTTTGTTATGTAAAAACCTTAAACCTTCTAGAATATGTTTTAAAATAATTTTGACTTCCCATTCTTAATATTGTTATTAATGCTTGAGATTGTAATCACAGTATTCCATAACTAAAAAAAACTAGTTTTATTCAATCCAGCAATTGTAATACTGAACAATATGTTTAGTGTCACTTTAACTAAATAACTTTGCTAAAATGCAGGCTTCTTATCTAGCATCACTATTTTTTAAGTTCTATTTAGGTTAAGCCTTCGTCTTTTTGATTGCATAGATGGATTAGTCGAGAATATTTCTGCATTTAAATACAATAGCAAAATTTCCTTATCCAATTTTAGCTATTTCTTCATACATAGTGTTATATTAAGATGGGATTTCCAATTACATTCTATTATTTTAATCAGCATTTGGAGCACTAAAGGCTCTAAAAGTAGAAGACCCTCCACTATTAATATTAAATGCTAATTTCTATTATCTTATAAATTTGAATATACTTTGAGAATCTATGCACCTTAATGGATAGTTTCAATAGGATTTATATTTAATCGCATAGCTCTTTATTTTGGATCTGACATTTAATTTAATTCAATTCGAAGAATAAATATATTAACATAATCAAACTAATCTTCTATCATTTAGTAATTTCTTTATGTAATATACTTACCATGCTGTTACTCCACAAATAGCCACAGTTTCAATAAATGTTAAAATCATCAATTATTTATTTATCTTTTATACATCAGCTAAAGCACCTTTAGATTTTAATTCATTTAATTTAGTACTATAAAAAACATCTCTTATTTTTTGTAAGACTCCTTAAACTCCATTTTCAATAGGATCTATATCATTCTATTCGATTTCCTCTAAAAAAACGATAAAAAAAATAGATGTACCTTTATCAGATTTAGCTACATCTATAGCAAATTGAACAACTTTAGACTCTTTTGCTCTTTTATTTTAAAATATTAATTAATAATCTCCTTTTTCAGTGGCATTGAAATTAAATACTGCTTCTTTTTTCATCATCTTGGCATAAATCATTGAACCAGAAGGATCGATAACCTTAAAATCAATAGTATCCGTAGTATAGATTGGTATAAAGAATGTGCCTCTAATATTTGTAGGAGTTTTCTTGATTGTCTCAATAAATATCTCTTCGCTTCCCTTATCAATTGAAAATGAAATCATATCATCAGGTAGAAAGCCTCTCATATATTTATCCCAATCTTGCATGATTTCTTTGGTTTCTTCTATGCTACACTAAGAGATTACGAAGAGACTCAATAATATTGGAAACATAAATATATTAATCAATTAAATTAGAATGTACTCTAACCACGTATATGAATTTTTTTTATTTTTTTCTTACTTTCACTTACATCAATTACTCTATCTCTTTCTTCCAAACTTTCTTCACTATTCAATCTCTCTTAATCATTTCTATGTTTCCCAGAAGAAGATCTTAAATGCAATAACTAAAATAAAATCATTTTTACCTATGGATTTCTTTAAGGAATTCCAACGCAAGGATTTTGCTTATTAGGAACCTTTAAAGATTTCTTGAATGTCATTTAATTTAAAACTTTTAATCTTGAAACAAAATTAAAAAACTCTTATAATTCATTATTATCTATCTCACACTAAATTGGCATTTATACTAAAAATTATAATTTATATTACATTTAAGTCTCTTTGATGAATCTTTAAACTTTAATAATACATCATAATGTCTCTTTGATTCACTATAAATTTCATATAAACTAAGAGCATCTGAATTAGGTAATGTAACATATTGATCAATTACCTTTTCTATTTCATAACAAATAAAACTTTAAAATCTCCATACATCAAAATAAATGTATTTTTATATTTCAAATATGTGAATCTCAGATTTTAAAAGAACTGCAGCACTATTAACAAGATTTTACATTTTATAATGCCATAAAAACATTAATTTAGGTTCAATATGATCTTTGTCATTTAAATAAGGATAAGAATTACGACAAGCTGCTCTATAAAGATCGATATTAGCAGCCAGACGTTAAAGATAACTAAAATATGCTTAAGAAAATTATTAAATGTTTAATTCCTCGTTAACGTTCATTTCAGTATAGAATTAATCGTTCTTCATGCGAGTTATCAAATCAGGTTCTGTTACTAGATTGTCTGAGTAATGTTGTTCTATTTTTTATATTCTGCAATCCTTTAATTTTATTGATATTTCTTAAGTTATATCAGCACAATGTAACATTTAATGGATAATTGCAAGTAATTATATTAAAGATGTACTTCCTGCCATTGGCTTATACTCTGATAGATAATTAAAAAGACGATCAATATAATCTAAGTATATTTGATAAAATTACTGTCATTTTTTATTAATAATTGAGCCATTTATTTTGTCATCTATTTTAAGTCAAATTAAACATAAGAACCTACAATCTAATTTAAAATCTCTTAGAACTTGTATTATTCACTTTAATTGATATTAGGAGTTGGTTTCGAATGAAAGAGAGAATAAAATTTGCTAAACAGAGACATTTATATATAAATTAAAATAATTAAGGTATCTCATTAATTTATGGTTCTTTTAAATATTATTAGTTAATTTTAATTAATATTATGTATTTTATATTAATTGCTTCATTACTCACGATTGATCTTTTGGCATAATCAAATTTGAGACCTGCTTAAAAGAAATTTGAATCTGAAACAATAGAAGAAACAATAAACAGAGTATATTTCAAACTAAAAAATAGATTTCCGCAAAAATGAAAGACAATAAACTTAAGTACACATTTATAAATTCATTTCCAAATACACTTGATACAACTGTAACTAACTATGATCCAAATATACCAGATAGTTTTGTGATTACAGGTGACATTACAGCAATGTGGCTAAGAGATAGCACTAATTAATTATGGACTTATATGGAGTTTATAAATAAAGATAGCAAATTATAAAATTTAGTTAAAGGAGCAATAAGTCGTCAAGTTAATTAAGTATTAATTGATCCCTATGCTAATGCATTTAATTATCAAAAGAAATAATCAGAATGGAGTAATGATAATACAACTCGATGTTTTTTAGGAGTCAATGTACATGCAATGTCATAAAATTTGCATGAAAGGAAATTTGAAATAGACTCATTAGTGGCTGTTTTAAGATTATCTATAGGTTATTATAGAGAAACTAATGACACATCAATAATAAATTTCAAATACTTAAAGGCTGTTTAAAGAATATTGAGAACATTTAGAGATTCCTAAGCAGATTAATAAGAATAATTCAAAAGCTTTAGATTTCCATATACATTTTAAAGAAATGGTAGATCAACAGATACTGTAATAAATGGTATAGGGGAACCAGTGAGAAGAACTGGGTTGTTGAGAACATTTTTTAGAGCATCTGATGATTCTACAATCTATTAATTTAATATTCCAGAAAATGCTATGGCTTCATCAATTTTAAAATAAACAGCTGAGATGTTGAGTGAAGCCTAATTATCTTGGTCTTTAAGAACAGCAGCTTAACCATTAATTGGAGAGGCTTTAGCTTTATCATAAGAGATAAAAGATGCAATTTATAAATATGGAATAAAGGATGGAGCATTTGTTTATGAGGTTGATGGAATGGGTAAATAAGTATTTATGGATGATTCAAATTAGCCAAGTTTGCTTTCTTTACCAATTTATGGTTTTATAGATATAGAAGATCCATTGTATTAGGCAACAAGAAAAAAGGCCTTAAGTTCATCAAATCCTTATTATTATGAAGGTACAGCAGCCAAAGGTATTGGTGGTCCTCATATTGGTGCTAATTATATTTGGCCAATGGCAATTGTAACTTAAGGATTAACTACTTATGATAAATAAGAATTAAGAGAATGTTTGAGAATGTTAGTAACAACTACTGGGAATAAATGGTTTATGCATGAAAGTTTCTTCAAAGATAATCCAGATAGTTTTACAAGATCTTGGTTTGCATGGGCAAATGGATTATTTGGAGAGTTAGTCTTAAAAATAGATAAGTAATATCCAGAGCTATTAGAAGAGAATTATATATGATAATATGAAATAATATTCAGTTTTATTTAAGTAAATATGCTCTTAATCTCATAAACACTTTAATATCCATCTTTTCTGCTTTTGTTGTTAGATTTTCTATCATTTCTAGATGTGCCTTTAGAATTCTGACTTTTGAATTCTGATAATTATAAAGTTGTTATCCCCAATAAGAATCTCTTTCAATTATGGGAGAAGTGATCTTTTTGTATAAAGAATTAATAATTCTTCTATAGAGAACTATGAGAGTTTCTTCATTAATTAATTCATTTCCATCCAATAATTGAAGATATGTTTTTAGAAATTTGATTAAATCTAAATTGAATTAACTTTTCTTTATTTTAAATTCAGATGTTAATTAATTAAGACTGATTCCTCGACTATTTTGATTTATTAGTTCTTTGTATGGAATATAATGTAACTATACTAATTTTTCAATATTAGTTAAAAAATCGTACTTGGTACTACAATCCATAAATATTCTGAATTTAACTCTGTCATATTTATTTTTATTAAGTGCAAATCCATAATACATAAGTAAATGTTCATTTCCTGAGCATCCATATAAGTTTAAAACTTGTTCACCCTTTTCAATATCATCTATAGCTCTTGCTGTCAGATATGCTGGACATGAAAGAGTTTATTATTATATATCTGTATACCAATCATGTTCACTTTCATCTAATGATTATTCATAGTAATCTCTTATATAATCGTCATTTACTGCAGCTTAAACTTTAGAATTCCTATTATTTAATTACTCTTATTAATGATTACTCTTATCAATTGGCTCATCTTCATCTTCTGAATCATCAGGTATCATTAATTTGGTAACCCAAACTTCTTATGATCCTGTTCGAAGTAATTCCTAAAACAATTTTATTAATAATTTCTTAACTATTTTAGAAGATCTTTCACTCTCATTTACTTTCAAATCTTTTATTAATTTTTTATCCTCTTCACTAAACCATTAATTATTTTTCAAAATATATTTGTATTTCATTTAATTATTTTATACATACTCTTCTGGTTAATGATCTTCCTATTCTAAACCAAACATTGCCTTATTCTTTCCATGATTTATCATATCTATCATAGGTACTAAAAATGAATATGGATAATCATTATTCACACTTAGTCTTCTATTCATACAATATCTATATGCCCAATCATAGTCTTTACTACTCAATCCTAGTTCCATTATCTCATCTTTTGCTTCTTTATAGTCTTCTTCGAATTCTTACTTCAATTCTCTTAAATAATCAAATGGAATTTCTTTATCACAATCTTACAAACAAGTAGGATTAGCTGACATCTCAAATATTGGCTTTAATCTCCCATGTCTTTGTGTTATCAAATAAAGTATTAATGTTTGAAAATCACTTTATTTATTACCAATTTATTGTAATGATGGATATATATGAGGATTCCTCTTCATAATATCTATACATTATTCATTTTAGAATACTGTGAATGCACTTATTGCATATTTATGGGAAACTTTCATCAGAATTTCACCTGATTAAATATTATCAATAGCTTTAATCCCAAACATACCCCCAAAATCTTCCATTTCTACTTTATTCATCTAAATTCCATCTCTCAAATATTCAATGTAATTATTCTTTAATTATTACATTAAAAATAAATATAAAATAATTTCATTTTTAATAGTTGTTTTTCCATGAGTAAATTCCATCGTACTTTTTATTACTACTACTTTATTCAATCTTTTTCTCTTATCCGAATTTCTTTTAAGATGCATTTTCTCCAAATTTTAATTAATTTTATTATTTGTATTACCCTTTTATCTTATCAAATGAAATTTGGCACTATCAAAATAACAATCATATATTTACATCAAAAAATGGAGATGTCATAGGATGATTTAATTTATGGCTATTTTTCTAATTATCTTTTGAATTCTCTGTTTATAATGTACGTAATTTAGACTCCTTTATTCTGTAAAATAAATTTTTACTTTAATACTCATATCCCCAAAATCCTTATAATCTCTAGTGCTATCAAAAGTATTCCATTTAATCTAAGGAGAAAGACTACGTTATGGTCTTAACCACTTTCTTTCTTTGTTTCCCAATTCTTGTCCAAAAATATCAGAGAATTATTAATTTTATTTCTTTGACTTAATATTAACCTCATTCTCTATTATCTTTGAGGGGCTTTAATGTTTAGGGCCCTCTTAATATTATTCTTGTTATTCCTAACGTTTCCTTTACTTAGCATAGTCTTTTCCAAATTCTGCTTTCTCATTTACAGATGTGAGTATTTTACCATAATGCACATTTGTCCATTAAACTGATGTATTAATTACTTATTAATTTTAGGGGGATTTAGCAATCATATCTAGATTTTTAGTATTCTCAAAAACATTGCTAGATAAATCAACTTGCTTTCTTTATTTATCATTTCTATCTGTTAACTGCTTAGTAATATTGTAATTATTCTTAACTTCATTAAACCTTTAGGATGTTTCTTATTATCGTTAACCATTATCCTGAATAAAATAGAAGCTTTGTTTTGGTTAATCTTTTGGTCTGTGTGGTGATTATGATTTCAGATTTGAAGATTAAGGATTGTATTGTATAATCTATGACATTGTATCTTAAGGAGCATATTGTTTTCTTGGAGAGGAATTCTGATTGTTTAAATTACCCTTAGTTTATTGATTTACAGGCGAATGATCATTTTTCATTGTTTATATAAAATTTTGTTAAACTTTATTAATTCTCTGAAATGATTATGATTAATCTCTTTATCTTATCTTGATATATTTAACAATAGAATCAAAAATAAAATTTTTAAATTTCTATTTAAACATAAATTCAAAACCATTATGGATATTTCTAAAATATTGTAAACGTTCTTCTTTTGATAATTGAAAAGTAATGATAAATGATTTTTAATTTAATTAAAAATAATAATTCCTCATTTTAATAAAATCAAATCTCTAGCTAATTTAAGCAGTCTATTTTTTAAATTTTCATCCACTTCTTAATTTAATTAAAGTCCACTACAATATAAAATCTCATGAGTTTTTGAAGTCAATTGATCTTATTTAACAATGATTTCTCCTTCTATTTCATCAGTTGGATCCTCCTATTTGAATTTCTTGTTTTGATCCCAATACCATTTATAAATCTTTTCTTTTGGTAAATTTGTGATACTAGCTATTTCTTTAATTGTATTTTATCCCCAGATTTATTGTTTTTGGTAGAAATCATTAAGAGTGTCTATTTGTTTTTTTGATTTTTTGAAACGGGAACATTTATTCTCTTTCTACATTAAATTAATAATTGAACAAATTATGTAAAGTGAATTAGTAGCTATTTAAGAAAGTACTAAAAAAAGTGTTCTAAAATATTTATTTAAATATTTTCATTTTATTTTAACAGAAAAAATGGTATAAATATATTTTTTATATCATAAATATTCATAAATGATATTTCCTTTTTTAATAACCTTCCAAATAGGGGAATCAGCAATTTAATAAATAAGATGTTCCCAAGAAGGTGCATCTAAAATAAGAAAATCTCCCTGTTTTCCAATTTCAATAGAACCTATAGTTTTATGTCTATTAAGTGCAGCAGCAGCATTAAGAGTAACAGCACATAATGCTTCATTAGGTCTCATTTTTAGATTCAAACATGCTAAACTCATAGCAAATGGTAAAGACATGCAATGAGCATTAGGACAATAATCAGTAGCTAAGGCAGTTGGTACTCCATTATCAATCATTTCTCTAACTGGAGGTGGTTATAATTTCAAAATGAATTAAGTCGTAGGTAAAATAATACCAACTACTTTTTTTTCAGCCATTGCTTTAATACCTTCTTAAGATAACTAAGAATTATTATTATAAAAATTGTACATGTTCTAAATGAGATATAGCTATTGCTCCAACATCAGCACCCATCTTACCTGATTCTAAATGATTCAATTCTTCTCCATGAAAAGATGGAGTCAATCCAATCTTATTTCCAGCTTATAGTATATTTTTAGATGATTCTAATTCATAAATTCCTTTTTCACAAAATACATCCACAAATTCAGGATGGATCTTACCTTCATCCATTAATTTCTTTATTTATGGAATTTAATTATTAAGAATATCTTCTTCTGCTTATTTCTCATTCATTCCTGGTGGTAGTGCATGAGCACCTAAATATGTTTAAACTATTTCAATTGGACTTCTTTTACTCACAGCTTCTATTGTCAATAATTATTTAATTTCTCCCTCTGTTGATAATCCAAATCCAGATTTAGCTTCCAAAGTTGTAGTTCCATTTCTAATCACTCTCTTTATAACACTTTCTAAAATCTATTCTAATTCTTCTTAACTTGATTAATTTACACATCTAGAAGTATACATTATTCCTCCACCTTTATTATGAATTTCCATATATGTTGCTCCTTCTAATTTCATTTTAAATTCTCCAGATCTATCACCTGCATAACATGGATGAGTATGTGAATCAATTAATCCTGGTAATATACATCTATTTCTACAATCTATTGTTTTATAATTTTTATATTTTTCATCAATATCTCCAATATCTTCAATCATTCCCTATTCGTTTATTGCCACTGATGCATTTTCTAAAATACACAGGTCTGGATTTCCAAATTTAAATCTCTCACCTGTTTTTGAAATACATACTATTTGTTTTGCTTTTGACAACAACATTCTAAAGTTTATAAAATATCTTTTTTTAATAATAGAAATGCGTACGTCATTTATTCATTATTTATCAATATTCTTATTGTTTTTTTTCTTTCATTAAATCAATTTTATATTTAAATTCATAAAAGAAAAAAGGTACCATTAATTGTACATATGGAAATTTTATCATAAGTATTTCATACTCTTTAATTTGATCCAGCACTTCTATTTCTTAATTGTTATGAAACACTAGGACAAGGTCTGGCAAATGTTCCATTTGAATTAGGTCTCCAAGGTCTTTCATAAGTTTAAGTGGAACTCAATTTTTCGAATGTGTTTTATTTTGTTTTTATATCTGGACCTCCTTCTTCCATGTATTAAAGTACTTCGAATGTACCTTAAAACCCTTTTTTATTTGAATTTGATGGTCTAAATGGATTTCCTTTATATATAGGTGGTTTTTTTTCTTAATTAACTATTTTTTATACATATTGTATATCCTGCTCCATCTAATAAAATACCATCTGCAGTAAAGGGTCTATTTCCATGACTAGTTGTAACAAATCTTGTAGTCCCAGGTAATTATTTACTTTTATGTTGAATTCTCTCTTTCCTATCAATTTCCTCTTATCTATCATAAGGATCAGGAATATATTCAATCTAACTAAATAAATTATTTATTGTTGTTCTGCCTAATCCTTTTTTTGCAGGATTTGTTAAAAAATTTCTAGCCTAAGTAATTACATTTCCAGCTGAATTTCTAGTTTTATAGATTTTATCATTATATTCTTTCATATGTTCAAATTCAGAATGTTTACTGAATAGGTTAAATTTTTTACACAGATTTTTAATGATCGTTTGGCTTAAAACTATTAGGATTTTTAATGGCTAGTTCTTTCTCTTTGTCATAAATTTATTTTGCTTTAAATTAATCTTTATAAGGGTCATTTAAAGATGTATAGCCAGGTTCTGAAAATAAAACAGGCTCATGTTTTTTTTAGAGTTTTTTATTTATTAGAATTCCTTTCTCTTTACCTTGGCCTTGATAATTAGAAAATATCCTATACTTTTTAAAGCATCGTTATATTAATCTCCCAATAATAAAGGAGGTGGTTAATTAAACAATCCATGACGCTCTCTTACATTATTTATCAATCATACCTTTGAGAGATGTTTTCTAAGTCACGTATGTAATTGTCGTTGGAGGGAACTCTGTATTAAGTTGACATCAAATATAAATAATAATAATAATAATTAGTTTTCATATTTGTTATCATAAACATATCTATATTCTATAATCTTATTGTTTTATCTCATACTTCTTTGAGTTTTCCCACCCTCTTTTTTAATCTCCAGTATTGTTATTTTATACAAAACATGAATTAGAAACTTTAGTTTATTAATTACCTTTGTAGTTTGGGGATAAGTGAAGCAAACTATAATTTTTAAATTATTAAATTGAATTTTTGTTAAAGAATTCCATTTCTCAATTGTAATTGGAATTGGATTAACAGTATCTCATTCTAAAAATGGTCTTATCAAAAATATTTTTTGATTTTGTATATAAATATATTGAAAAGTAAACAAGAATTGCAGAATTTTAAGTAGAATTGAATCCAGATTTCTCATGGTTAAATAGTTGGTTTGATAGAAATGATTTTAAGTGCAACCATTAAGTAATTAAATGTTTAAAGATAATTTCATAATTACATAAATCATTCAAGTTATTCTCTTTCATACAACTAAAAATGAAATTAGAAATATTTACTGGTCTATCTTGGTCTTCTTCATCATTATCATCATCTTCTCCTTAATAATCTTCATCTTCTAATTCTTCAACATCATCATCTTCATTGATAATTTGTTAGATTTCAACATCATCTTCTTTATTTTATTTTCTATCAAAATATTATTTTCCACTAATTTTTTTCATCATTTCTTCTAATTAATTAAAATTCTTTTCTCTTTTTTTAATCTCATAAATCTCTTAATCAAATTTCTTCTTCCAAGCAGTGAATGTTTCAAGACTAACAGGTGTATTTGTAGCAAATTTAGGCATAGGTGGTATATAGATATAACTATCATCTGCTTTTGAATTTTATTGATCGTATAATTCTTATAAATACATAGATTAATCATAAACATAATCCTAAAAATGTATTGATATATAATTACTCTTAATGATTCTACAACTGCAAATACTATTGGTTAACAATCAGCTTCTTTTTCATGTTGTTCAATTACTTATTCACATATCTTTTTTGCTCTTATTAAAAAATCCTAAGTAAAATTTCTACTTAAGCCTTAAATTTCAAAATGAAATCTTTATGATTTTAATGGATAATCATCTGGGAAGGCAATGAAAATTTTGCAATATACAACATTTTCATGATAAAATTAATCTGCTGGTACAAATGGGGCAACAATAATTTAAAATGAATAAGGATGCACATCTTTTAATTATTCAAAGTCTGATAAATAGATGGCAGATAATGCATTAAGTTCATCTTTTTAGAAGTGATCACATTATTCATTATGAGTTTGGATCATAATTAATTATTTTAATAAAATGCATAAAATAATAGAATAGATAAAGGAATTTTATGATAATGTACCAAATATAAATGAAATCATGCCTTCTTCTTTAATTTAGCAGCTTATTTGGTGGCAATATCTATTTTTTTTAAAGCATTAGCTCTTCTTTATTTAGCATTTAATCTCTTAGCTCTGAATTTAGTATGATCTCTCTTTGGATTTTATTTAGCAGCTCTCTTAACTCTATCTGAACTCTTTCTAATTTCATCATGAATCTTCTTGAATAATTCTTAAACAGATTTAACTCCAGCCTATATAAATATAATTTAATAAATATACAGTCTTCAAAGTTTATTCCCAATTATGGAATTAGACATCAAATTTAGATCTTCCATCTTTATTAGTCTTCTTTTCTTTTTATAAAAGAGCCATATATTTATCAACATGAACACCAAAGATTCTTTCTTTATGAACATTAGCATCATATTTTTCTTTTTTATCATTATCAACAACGAATCCTGGGAATCTTCTGTTATTGTGTGGAATGTGAATACCACCATCAGCTGCTCCTTTTAAGGCAGCAAATACTCTATTTCCGAGTGTTGATCTAACCAAACCAATATCAAGAACAGCAAAGAATGGTCTTCTTTCTGGATTCTCTTTATCAGCTACATCATACAATGTTCCATCTATTGTTTTATTACCTTCATAGAATTTATCCATCTTTAATGATTTAAGTGTTCTTCTGGCTAATAATAAACCTGTGGCATATGCAGCAGCATAATTTGT